AGTTTCGGGGAGCACACTGCTGCTGTCACGCGAATTCTGGTATCCCCGGACCAAGGCTTCTTCATTAGCGGATCAGATGACGGTACTGTAAAGATTTGGGACACGTCGCGTCTGGAGCGTAATATCACCCGGAGATCGCGACAGACTTACAGATTGGGTGAGAATGTCAAGGTCACAAGTCTGGTGTTTGTAGAACAGACTTATTCGTTTGTTGCAACGGGGAGTGATGGGAGTGTACATGTGGTACGTGTAGACTACCTCCAGAGCCAGGAAGGCAATGCCAAATTCGGAAGACCTCGACTTCTTCGCGAATATCAGCTTCCCAGGGGCGATTGTGCTGTATGGTCGGAACACTACAACGGAGACAGCAGGTCAGTGCTTTTGTTAGCCACCAATACCTCCAAGGTCATCGCACTAGACTTGAGAACCATGGAACTGCTATATACCCTCAATAACCCTTTGGATCATGGAACACCTACCTGCTTCTGTGTGGAAAAGAGAGCACATTGGCTGCTACTAGGGACTTCGCATGGCGTACTTGATCTCTGGGATCTCCGCTTCAAGCTCCGTCTCAAAGCCTGGGTATGTCACGGAGCATCGCCTATCCATCGTCTTTGCCAAGTTTTCTTCCCAAAGTTGAAAAAGACTCGATTGTATATTGCCGGTGGTAGCGATCAGGGAGAGGTCACAGTATGGGATTTTGAAAAGCACACTTGTAAGGAGGTATACCGTACGGGAACGTGCAAAGACATCGGTAACAAGAGCACCACACTCATCGATCTTGATGAGGAGAAACCTGGCGGTATGCTTGGCCGCTTTGCAACCAGCGTTGAACCAACAGCTAGCTCAACAGCCGACCGCGGTATTCGCGGACTAGCAATACACACACAGGCTACAGATGAGAAAGGCGAGCCAAAGCACACATTCCTCCTTACTGCAGGTCCGGACTGGAAAGTCCGGTATTGGGATACCAGTCGAGCAGAATCATCGATGGTTGTGAGTGGCCTAGAGCTTGATGAAAGCAAGCCAACTTACACCGCTTCACAACCGAGCCCAGATACTGTCGTCATTACTGAGAGGTTACAGCAGCCTGCCAACCAAGTGAGTAGTGCAAGGGACAGCAGGCCGAACACTTCAGTCAAGAAGGTACCTAGCAAGTCGTCAAGATCAGGTGCTATCGCGTTGCAGCAGCAGTATCTGCTTAAGAGTCATGTGGACCGTATACTAGATGTGGCGTTGATTGAGCAGCCATACGGTATGGTCATCTCAGCCGATCGGTCTGGAGTCATCAACCTTTTCATGTAGAGATTTGCTTCAATAGAACACGGCAAACTATCGCTATTTAAATCACTCGTAACCGGATTGCGCGTTGTGGGAGTGTTCTGACCGAACACGTTCTCGGTCGTGCTATCGCACCAAGGTATACTTCGAGCAAGATGGTAGCCTCCAGAAGAAACAGGACGCTAGCAAAGCAGCCCCGACTCATTCAATGGGTAAGGGACCTTGCGGATCCTTCTCTATCAGCACGGACAGCATACTGATGCATTTATCATGCCGAAAATATTGATACTTGGTGTATCTTTCCTAAAACCATGCTCAGAAAACCTCACGGTCGCCGGACTCCGATGCATTTCGCGTCTTATCCGGACGCGCGTGATCTCCTTCCCAATTCGTCTTAGCCAACCACGAGGCGTTCCGCATATCTTTATCGACATCGAATCAGCACGCGACTTAAGCACAGGTGAGAGCTCGACGCGATATCGGGGGTTCCAAGTTCTTGGTACCCGTTCCTGTTCCTGCAGCGACTATCTTCCAAGTTGCTCAGCTATATGCCTAATTCAGTACAGTCGCTATGCATGTGGCGCAACCAAAAGCTGGCACCGGTTCGACCGGGACAGGTCGCTGGGTGCCTATATAAAGTGTGGCTTCTCGGGTGTTTATGGTACGCCAGGAAGGTTGTACGCCGCTTCTGCAAAACTCAAAGCTTAGACGCCCACGTCCTTGTCAATCGGTCAGCATGCGCCTCTCTCTCAATGCTGCGCTCGCAGTAGCGCTAGGTCTTGCCTCGTCTTCAGATGCACTCAAGATCCTCATGGGTAACGATGATGGATTCGGGAGCGGAAATCTGAGAGAGCTGTACAAGTTGTTGGTCGATGCAGGCCACGAAGGTAATGCCTTTCATCAATTCCAGCCCTGTGATGCCCGATGCTAACTCCGCGCCAGTTCTTGTCGTCGCTCCGGCGCAACAGCAGTCTGGTAAAGGCAGCACTGTTATCTGGGCCGAGTCAGCAAACCTCACTACCCCATCCCAATACGACATCATTCCTGCAGGCGCACCAGCAGTCGGCCGTGATCCAAACGATGACAACATCTGGTACTATGATGGTACACCTGCTGCATGCACCTTCGTGGCGCTCGACTACGTGCTTCCACGTTACTACCCCGACTGGCATCAGACAGCTGATCTCTTCGTTGCCGGGCCAAACTACGGCACGAACCTCGGTCCCTTTGTGATGGGCTTGAGTGGAACTGTAGGCGCAACGTTTGCCGCTGTATCGCGCTCAATCCCTGGAATTGCCACGAGCGCGAGCAACAAAGCGGTGCCCTACTTCAACGTGACAAGTGCCTCAGATCCCGCTGCTTTGGCAGCCAAAGTCTCCTTCGAAGTCGTCAACGAGTTCATCAAGAACACACCAGAGGGGCAAAAGGTTCTTCCTTTGGGCTATGGCGTAAATGTCAATATACCCGAGCTTGTCAATAGCACCATGCCCCCAGTGATCAAGACTAGGCTCACAGGTGAGGCCAACACAGATGTGGCAGTTTTCAACGAGACGAGTGGCCTGTTCACGTGGGACAACGTCGACCCTCTAGCTGCTGGCATCAACGCCGCGTATAACGGAGACACAAGTCTGCCTGGTGAGACGTTCGTAGTCGCTGGAGGCGGCATTAGTGTTAGTGTCTTCACCATGGACTTCTCTGCGCCGAGCATTGAGTACACCGAAGCAGTGTATGGCAAGGCTGAGAGCTTGTTCAGCGCTAGTCCTGATGCGAACGCTACTAGTTACAGTAAGAGGATGGTGCAAGAGCGTATGCGCAAGAGGGGCGCCATGCTGAGCGGGCGCGACGGCGGAGCGTAGAAGTTTCGCGTTGTTCTAGCCATAGTCATGTCATTAATAAATCATGCTACTGTAATAGCGGGAGCCATCTGTCCGTGCCCCACACAAGCCGTCCCTATCAACATCACGAACCACACTCAAACGTGAACATAAGTAATCATCTCTTCTCTGAACACCAAGAATCGCTGGCGCATCGCGAGCGCCATACTGTATTTGGCGACGCGACAGGCACCCAACAGGCCAAGCTTTTGCCAAGCTCATGCATACCGGTGCCACAGTAGCAGCTTCTGACATCCGGACGGTTTCACAGCCTTGTTGTTCAGGAACAACATCCAGCTCAGGCCATGCAGGATTGCGCGATCCATTCTCTGGCGACGCATAACGTTTGCAACTCCAGGCAGAATTTTCCGACTCGTGGGAACTCTTTCAACAGCCGCCGAATCGAAGTGCTCGTGCGCTTTGCGCATAGAGCCTGATACTCCAGGTCGTGTATGAGACGGCGCCTTGGGAGGCGCTTTGGCGGGATAGCTCGGCAACAACGAAACCTCAGGATCGGAGCTCTTGCTTCGGGTGTGTCTAGCCTACAACAGCGCTGTGCAGAAGATGCGTATAAGAACGCATTGCAAACCTTCCTCTTAAGTTTCTTATTATCATCAAGCGTTTTCAATCATCTCCCTTCAACTACTAAACATATCCAGCTTGACGCTGTGACTTCAATTCTTACCTTCTTTTCCTCTATCATCAGCTGTGCTGTTCCTACGAATTACTTTTTGTTATCTTGAATATCCATTCCCCACATCTTCACCATGTACTTCCAGTCCTTCGCCGTTTTCTCGCTCGCCGCTCTCTCTGTCGCTGCACCCACATCTAGCAAGCGCGCAGTGTTGGCCCGTCAAAGTGGACCAGTTCTCGCCGACACAACCTACAACGACATCTCCATCTCAGGTGGACAGGCTGGAAATGCCCAAGCCGAGGCCATGGCGGTCTTCTCGGCGCTGGACCTCCAGAACCCTGAAAACATCGATCCCGCAGATCTCACCTTTTTGAACGAAGTCAACCAAGTCGCCAATGATGCAGAAAAGGAGGCTTTTAACCCCGCAGTGGAAGCTGCTACCGGTGATGAGGCCGACCAGATCCAGGTATGTGACTTTGCATGACGGCGATGTAGCAAAAGCTGACAAGTCGGCAGAACGGAAAGATCAAGAACAAGGTCCTGAAGCTCATGGCCACTGTCATCAAGCTTCAGGCTCAGCAAGCCCAGGGTGACGATTCCGTTGCCGACAAGCTTGCGGAGGAGATGACGAAGCTCAATAACAACATCAAGCAAGACACGGCGGCTGCCGGCCAAGTGTCCATTGCTGAGCCTTTTGACGCCACCATCTCTGGCGGAGGTAACTAAGAAGCGGGGGTGAAGACGAGGATGATGGAATAGTCGTACCATCAAGGTTGGCAGCACCATAGTACGAAGCGAGATGCTTGTGCGCTTCGCGAGCGTAACCAGCTGTCTAAATTACCATTGCAACCTGTGACATCTGTCACCAGTTATGAATATACCTATGTCATGTCCCAATCCTCACTCGTGCGCTGACAATGTCAAGACAAGGCTGAACCTCGATCGTCGTGAACTATGCAAGACTCGAGGTCTCGATAACGCTGTCTCACGTTCCCCACTTATAGCGTGGCCTGATGGCCGGAACTTGAAGAACTGCCGAACATGGAGCCTCGGAACGGCGTCGGCCTCGCGTCATCGTGTGTTGGTCGACTTTAAATACACCCGCCTCGATAACAGCACTAAGCAGCTTGATACCAATCAACATTGACCTTGACATTGTCGTTGCATTTGTTGTCTGTTATCGTGATCCTCGCGCTCGCATTGGCGTCACCATGTCGAAGCTCTCACCAAGACTCAAGTCGCTCATCAACGCGGCGCATTCGCGCCCAGGCCCCGTACCAGCGCCACCAAGGATACAGGCTGTATACAAGCGCATAGAGCAAGAAGCCACAGATCGCAAGCTTGGGCGACCGTCATGGCTCGGCATCTCGACAGCCGCGACCATGACGATGAACTCGCCCGAGTCGATGATGGCCCTGTACAACAGCTCAGCTACCGCCAGACCAGAGAGTGAAGGTGTCGCGATAGCAGAATTCATGCGCGAGATCGGTCTGAAGTGCATCGGCTTCAATGGCGTAAGCATTTGACCTGGCGCGTGAGAAGAGGCCGTGTACTCATACTCGTTGCAGATACCGCGCACCATCAACATGTTGAACGCCTTTCGCGCCGAACTCCCCTCGTCAGTCGCGTCCTCCCTAAACACCAAACCTACGCGCTTCCCAGACCCCTCCAACATCGAACACATCAACAAACGCGGACGCGCTCTCTGGGATGCCATCTACCGCCCCCTAGAAACAAAACTCGAACACAAGCTCGGCGACGCGCATCCCGATCTGCCCGTCTTCATCATCAACAATGAATACGGCGGCCTCTTCACCGACCCTCCCCGCAGAGAAGGAGCCACCGTGGGCCGCATAACAACCAGCTTAATCGCCATCACATGCTTGAGGGCGCAGCAAGGAGTCGGACCCCAAGTGCTCAGCCACGTCTTTGGCCTAAGGAAGGCTTGGGAAGATGGCACCTGGAAGCAAGAGCCTGAAGCTGGCCAAGAGGAGGGCATCAAATGGTTGGTTAGCGACGAAGGGTGTACATGGATCCTGGAGAAGGTCGATGAGCTTGTTGAAGCTCTTGGGGGAGGACAGGGGAGCACCTTTGCACCCATCAAATCTAAGCTTTAAGAGCAATATCTCGATGCCATCATGAGATGATGAGGAGAACAAGTCAGCATCAGTTCTTCACAAGCGCCCTCTTGCAAGTATACGATGCAAAAATAGATGGAAAAGGACTTTGTATCCAGTGGGCTGGAAGCCCAGCACTAGCCGTGCTATCTCATGAGCCTACAAAAGTCTCCATGTCGGTTAATTCCAAGTACGTAATCCTCGTCGTGTACCTTCCACATGGCCCATGCTCGACCGCGCATCCCAATTGTTTCGGTCATACCAATCGCCCGGTAGCAATCCACCGGTTAATATCTCCATGTTTCCTGGTAGTTCAGCCGGGCAACGCTTATCTCCAGGCCTTACCCCGCTAAACATCCCGTAAAGCTTGATTTGAGCCCCACTTCTCCAACATTGTGGACTAGCGCTATGCGCTACTTGAGGACTGGCATCCAAAAATCCGATGGGTACTCACGTCACTCCGTGAAAGCGATACGCTAGAGGTTGTGATATCGGTAGCGAGTTTATCCTAGATCCGTACGTGCTGGATAATTGAGGTATGCCGCAAATCATCGTGTCGTCATCCATGAGAACGCGATTCAAAATGTCTCTTTCCGTGTTAGGGGTTTCTGGTTGGCAAAACGTGAAAAAGTCATAAGAGAGGTCACCAGACAGTACTTCTCCCAAGCAAGATAAGCATATTAATGCAGAGATGGCAAAGATGACTACGACATCACTTCTTCCACTGCTTTATGCAAGTGGCATCTGCGCCCAATATGTTCCTGTGCCATGGGCATACACACAAGACGAGCCTCCTGTGAAGGTCACCGTTGATGCTACGGTACGATATCAAACCATGATTGGGGGTGGCTGCTCAGGAGCTTTCGGCGTCGCCTGTGATCAGACCGGATCCCAAGGGCTTTCGCCCTCGAACCAACAACTCGTCAGCGATTACCTTTTCAGCGAAAACCTGGGAGGCCTTTCCGTTCTACGCAACCGAGTCGGTTCGAGCCCTACCGATGGCATTCTTGGTAGCTGTCCATCGACACCTTCAGCACCGGCCAACTATTCAGGCCTAGGAATGAACGAATCCACAGCCGACAGTTGCCAACTCAAACTCACACAGCAAGCTATGAACGCCAATCCGGACCTTTTTATCTACGCCGACGCCTGGTCTGCTCCGGGTTGCTTCAAAACCGATTCCACTGACATCAATGGCGGGCTGATCTGCGGTGTGCGCGGAACCAATTGTACGCATGACTGGCGACAGGCATATGCTGACTACCTTGTGGAATATGTCAGGCTGTATGAAGAGAAGGGTATCAATGTTAGCTTGATAGGGGCTTACAACGAGTAAGTGTCTCTCCACAAACTGCTCGTAGGACATACACTGACTTTGTACACCTGCATCTAGACCGGATTTCAATCCCGTCACTTACGCTAGCATGGACTCTGACGGGTATCAGGCTGCAGACTTCCTGGAGGTACTCTATCCTACCGTCAAGAAGTACCGCAAGGACTTGCAGGTATCTTGCTGCGATGCTACTGGTGCTCGTCAAGAACGTAATCTCCTCTACGAGTTGGACCAAGCTGGTGGCGGTAAGAACTACGATATAGCGACATGGCACAACTACCAAAGCATGCCAGAGCGGCCCTTCAATACGCAAGGTCAGCCCAATATGGAGACGGAGTGGTCAGACGGCAGCGGCTCCTTCAACACGACTTGGGATACGACAGGGCAGCTTGCAGAGGGTCTACAATGGGCCATCTATATGTAAGCAATATATGTTAGCCAACGCCAAGGTCAAGCCGGTGCTAATATTGTGGACAGGCACCAAGCCTTCGTCTTTAGTGACACGTCCGGATACCTACACTGGTGGTGTGCGCAAGACAACCCGGGAAATACCACCGGTAGCGATGCCATTCTCGTTCGCCTGGATGGCGATACATTTGAGGTCTCTCGCCGTCTCTGGGCTTTCGCCGGCTACTTCCGTTTCGCACGCCCAGGATCGGTTCGCATCGATGCCATCAGTCCCGCAGAGAACCTCAAGGTCACGGCGTTCGAGAACAAGAATGGTACGCTGGCTATCCCTGTTATCAACGAGGCGCATTTTGAGAGGCAGGTTGAGGTAAGTATCGGGGGCTGTGAATTAGCTCTGGGTGTTGCGACTGCATATCTAGCAGACAATGAACACAACAATACGCTGGTTGGGACTTATGGAGTGAATGGGTCAATGTTCCTGGCTAGTATTCCGCCGAGGAGTATGACCACTTTTTTCCTCGAGTGAATTTTGTTGGTGGAAGTTTCAACACTTACTCCTTGGCTGCAGAACATTTCGATTCCATTTGGTGGAACGTATTGTATAGAAATAATCACCCAACGAAATGTTCAAGTGCATTTCTGGAAGATGGCGATAAGACTTTTGCTCATGCTCTTATTTACTGTGCTTCGGAAGCTAATCGTACACCAAGATTCACGAGTTAATGTCCCCAGCACAGTTATATTCCATCACGGCCAGATTGGTCTTGAGATTCTTTCTTTTTGCTTCAAAGTGATTCTAGAGCAGGGTTCACCGCTCTCAAAGCCCTTATAGTGACATGCGCGTAATAACAGGCCAAAGATGTGAAACGGAAGTAGCTGGAGAAAATGGTTCATGTACCTAAGGTGAATAGAGAGTAGCTATTATGTGGTTGTTAGACTGGAAGTGTAACTGATGTAATACAATACCCTGTCTCCTGTGCTCCAAAATCACCATTCATCTCCATGAGTGCGTCTTTCATCGCTCACTGAGGCAATTTACCACGATTCGGCCCTCTCACTACTATCTAACCGTTTGCGAGAATTTGTTCGCTTGCGGCATCAGCAACCGTACCCCCAATCAACCCTGCCTGCCACCCGCTCATCAACCTTGACTCTCCGTGCAGTAGCCTCAGGACCACACGCCACATATATGCAATCAGATACGGCAGAAGCCGCTCATTCAGCCATGACAAGCCCGAATCTTCCTCTGCAACCTCATCCGGAACCTGCACAGATCCCGAATCCAGGACACAGTCAGATGATGGTGCCTATGGGCTTCGCAGCGCAGCTGCGAGCAGTGCAAGAAATACAGCAAGAGCAGGCAGAACGTATTTCCAGATTGGAGCAAGAGAACGCGGATCTCAGGAATTTTGAACGAAGCAGTATTGACGTCGCTGATCGGGTCCGAGCACTTGAGCAGCACAAAGCCTATATTGCCGCGAGACGTAGGGAGGCAGTCGGCCAACTTCTCAATATGCGGACCCTACACCAAGAAGCCGACAACGCGTTTCAGCTGCGTACATCAGACATGCAACCAGATGATCTCGAAGGCATATTGGGAGTGTACGGCACCATGTTGACCACCACAATGAACCACCATCAGCGTGTGCTTGCCCAAACGCGTGCGAACGGCCACTTCCTTACGTATGCAACACCGATTCCTCAGACTCAGCAGGGGACTGCACCAATGCAGTATCGCCACGCGTATTCAGCTGCGTACTCCGAACATGGGTACTGCTATGTCCATAACATGCCTTATCACTGTCGTGTTTGCAGTAAGTGACCGCCGCTCCGTCTCGATCGCCAGCTATTGACGACATCTTGTGAATATATCAGGCAACCGGCATACTGACGTTGATGCTCTACGCATCCATCATGGCCCAGAATCGAGGAGCCACTCTTCTTGAGTAATGTATAGCAAAGTGTTGAGTTGGAATGGAAGTCAGCAGGGTTGGCGTACGCGTGGTATGGTTCAGACGCTTCTGCGCGATATTGATTGAACCGCTGGTACAAGTGGCTTCGGCTAGTTGATTGTTTCAGCTTTCTATTACGCGTCATTCATTTGGACGCTGGATCACACAGCACGGACAAAAAGGAGAAGATAATTCGCCTCTGGAACAGCATTACCAATCTTGTGCACTTGTCTGGCTGTACTTTTTTACCTTCTCAGGTCTGATGGAGTAATAACATAGTCGGTCGATGAAGACACTCGACATGAGCGACAGACTTTTCATGCGTCCAAGATTGAGACTCTTTGCGGGACACGCGTGCAAGAAGGTGGCTGTACACAGGTATCTAGATGTAGTTACCATCAAAACAGATGAGTATAGCAGAACGACGACACGACGCTATCATGTCGCGACGCGTTACGACACGCTCCTGAGGTTCGCTAACACGAATGAGGCTAAGCCTTGCCGGACTTGATTGTCGTTGTGCCAGCCTTCCTCGCGTTCTATCCATCGCGACTCCGGAGCCTCCCCATCAACAGTACTCCGCCGTGATGATCTCCGCTGCCCTCTCTGCGATGCCATAGATGGCTGTCTGGATGTGTGCAGAGATGATCATCGGAATTACGCTCGCGTCCACAACCCGGAGATTCCCCACGCCATAAACTCTCAGGTTTGGGTCAACCACGCCACCGTCTTTCTTCGGCAACATTGCACAAGTACCTAGTGGGTGGTAGAATGTAAATACGTTATCCCTGATGTACATCTCCCACTCTGCGTCCGTTTCGGTGTCCATACCAGGGTCGAATTCGGAAACCCACACGTTCTTGAAAGGAGCAGTCTTAGCCATTCTCCGCGTATACTTTGCTGCTGATATCAAAGCCTCCAGATCATAGGATGTACTTAGATATCTCGGGTCCACTAGGGGCTTGTTCAGAGGGTCAGATCCATTGATGTGTACCGATCCTCTGGCGAATGGGTGCTGGACACCAGCAAGAAGTGTCACATACTGCTTACTGTAGCCAGTTGTACCGTTCTTTGGATATCCAGTCGTTCCAATATAACCATCGCTGAATACGACCTCGATATCTGGCGCTCCAGATTCATGGCCAGTGAGCAGCTCAAGCTTTTTTCGGTCCACAGGGTTTGACATGTTCGCTGATTGCATCGCCAGTTGGACGAGCATGCTGTCATCGCCAAGAGCCTGTTTCCACTTCAGAAAGCCATAACAGCTACCAGCGTATTGATACAAAGATGGCTGGCCACGTTTCCAACGTTCCAACTCAATAGCTGCCAATGTCGTGTTGTATTTCAGAATATCTACCCCAAGTACATCAGGTTTGAGTTCGTATGTTGTTTGGATTCGGAGATGATCCTGTAAGTTTTCGCCGACCCCAGGGAGTTCGATAACTTGCTTGATACCAGCGTTGTTCAACACGGTTCTCTGACCTATTCCGGAAAGTTCCAGTATCTTTGGGGAAAGTAGGCTCCCGGCTGCGACAATTACTTCCCTTCTGGCTTTCACTAACGTGCCGTTCATGAGCACGACACCAGTCGCCTTCGACCCTTTCATGTTGAGCTGCACTCTGTGAACGGTAGTGTTAAACATGAAGGCCAGGTTATCGCCAGCTTCTGGAATATAATCAACTGAGTAGGACCGTGTGTGATTGGACACGCGATACGTGGCAGGCTGGTACATGACACCGAGGTTATTGCCATTCAACGATTGAAGGTTCTCCTGCAATCCAAGACTAGTCAGAGTTGGGACACAAGCTTGGAGTTGGGGCGGTGGATTTTCGGTTAGAGCGACTTGAATCGGGCCTCCATATCCAACACCGTCGACGCCGTACTGTGCGGTGCCATTCTGGCGTTGAAAGTTCTGCAGATCCGAAAGTGCGAACTTAGCGAAGGTTTCACATACGTTTTGTACCACTACGACTTACCTCGGTTTTCAGCATACTTGGATACATGTTCTGCCACCCCCACCCCGGGTTCCCAAGCTCTTCCCATGCATCGTATTCCTTGACAGTGGCACGATTCCAGACAAGCAGATTCAGGGCCGAGGTTCCACCTAGGACCTTACCACGGTTGTGACCTATAGTCCGATTGTTTGCTGCAGCCTGTGGCACAGTCGGAAGACTCCAATCATATGAAGAGCCAAAGGTCGAACCTCTCAACCCGGGTATATAAATTCGCTGCTCGTGGCGTCCGTCCGGGCCAGCTTCGATTACCAAAACACAATGACTTGGCAGAGCCTTACTGAGTCGGGAGGCCAGCGCAAGGCCAGCTGTTCCACCACCGATGATTATCTTGACAAAGGCTCAGCTTAGTCTTGGGTATGCCATCATGTTTGGGAAAAGACGTACGAAGTCGAAGCTGACAGCAGGCACCTGACATGGTGTCGCACTGGCCGTAGGTACAAGACCCAGCACAGCTGAGAGAAAAAGATTCAAGATGAGCCGCATGAATGATTGACTTTCTGGATACGAGGAACGTAGTTGCAATGAGCCTCTTGTGTGGTGGTTGTGTTGAGATAGAAGACCTGAACAACAGAATATAAATGGCTGCTGGGGCATTATTTAGGGCCCAAGATCTGGGGAATACTATGCAGTGCAAACAACTATAGCAGCGCCCACATTTCCCACGATTCAAACGATCCACCTCCCATACCCATCGAGCCAATGCGGGTCGCAGTGTGGAGGATTCAGCATCGACCGAATACGATAGCCGAGCGAAGCAACGGGAAGTTCTTTGTCGTGCTAAGGTTATCTCTAGAAGGTGCTCGACGTCGGCGTTTCAGATTGCAGGGCATCTTGTACAGCGAGTAATGATGATCCAAGAGGATGATCCTAGTCCTTTTATTGGCCAGCATCACGCATCAGTATAGCCGACGGCACGTATCTGCATATCGCTCATGCAGGTAGGGGTTCTTACCAGCGGAACCAAGGCGCTGACCGGAAAAACTGCCAAAGTACGTCCATATTTCATCCTCGCCCTGAGAAATTCCCTTCAGTTTCGCGGGTCAATCACGTTGACTATACTCCTCTTGAGAGCTTATTCACTGTGCTCACGACACTTCTAGTATACGCTTCTTTCTTTGACAATTTTATTTACCAGATGACACCAAATCACGGACCTATTGCCATCCTCGTGAACACCTGGCAAGCACGGTGAGATCGCGGGTTGGCTAATTGGTACAGTTCAGTGGGATCCGCAAGCGGGCCAAGCGTGAGTGCTGCGGAGTCGCAGCTGCAAGCGGCACGTAGCGGATCAGCAAGGACAAGCCCTCCGGTTCGACCCAGTGCGGCAGGACAAGTAGTCACCTCAGCCATGGAATGCAGACAAGTATACGCCCGACGAGTTTCTTTACGCGAACCGGCTCATGTTTGTGATACAATGATGTTTCAAAACGGCGTACAAGTCCACGGAGGTCCATCTTCACCACACTGCCATGGTTCTGTGACATCGAGACACTCAGTCGATACTTCTAACGTGGCCAACGTACTATTGTGAATTGAACAAACACTTTCATACTATCCTTTCAATTGATACGCAAAAAGTCACCTATCACCAGCCCTACTCATTGGAGTACCACTGCCATCTCACTAACAGGCGTATCCACAACATTCTCAATATCAACAGCCTGTGTATCGATGTCAGACTTGACCCTTCCTCACTCTTCCTCATGTCAATGCTTCTCCATCTCTGGACCCATTGAGTTGAACGAGATTTGCACAGCTTCACCAATCCTAACATCCTTGTAGGCTTGAACTTATGAGCTGTGATTCTACGTCGCGACAGCTTTGGACATCCACCATTGGCGGCGGAGCTATTTTTTGGTTCCGTTCAACGAGGGCGACCTTGGACTTTCGAAGTGCGACGGTGTCGCGCTGTCACTGTCGTAGCCTACGCATTCCATCTCAGCACCGACATTACGTGGGATGCTGGGTGAGAATTGTGGTGGCGTAATGATAGAAGCTGGTGATGGTGCTTGAGATGAATCGCTGTGACGGCTTTGAACGGTGTCAGACACTGTATCTTGACTGTCAACACTTTTGCGCTCAATGTTATCACCGCGTAGGATATACAGCCACTCTTTCGCGTCGAAGATCTTTCGAACTTCTCGTTTGCCGTCATTCAGTTTCAGTCTCTTCTTGATAGCAATGATCTCTTCTTCAGTGAGAATGACTTCTTCATCGAGGATGGGCGCAGATTTGCCCAAGAGAAGTTGATCGAGCGTTGACTGCTTCCCGGTTGTCGACTTCTCCCTTGAGCGATGAACCATGTTTTCGTAATACGGCATCCAAGATGATGCCGTAGGCGCTCCAACGCCAGACTCTCCGATGTGGCCGGAGTCCTCTTCCCGCGTATGAGCAGTCTTACACGCATCTTTTCTTTTCTGGGTACACAAGTCATAGTGGCGTGTTACACTTCGCAAAAGGATTTTAGTATCATGCTTCTTAAATCTCAGCGCACTTCTCTGCTGGCGCATACGGTTCTGTGGTTTGCTGTTCGGTACATGCAGCTTCAGAGCAGCTGCGAAATGGCTTATAGCGGACTCCCAATCGCCTAAACCAGCACATCCTCTTCCATACCAGTATTTGGAGCGTGCTTGTAAGTCGTGGTTGGATATTGCTTCAGCCAGACGTTGCGCGTACCTGGCACACTTCAGAATATCGCGATAGTGGTTGGGTGAGGATAAATTTGGACAATGAGTCCAAGGTTTTGGTTCGACAGCATTAGCTCTAGACTGTAAGACCTCGCAACGCAACAGGTATAGTTGACATTGAACCATTCGCATGCGATTCCTATATCCATCATGCTCTGTCAATTCGGTAGGAATACCGTCAAGAGTGGACTTTTCCGTTGTGCCGTCGATGCCAATAACGTCGTCATCTTCTTGAAAAGACAAACTCGATGGTGACGCGCGCTCCCAAGATCGACTTTGCACTTCTGGGAAAGGCAAATCGCTAATGAATGCGCGAACATCCTCAATGAGAGATTCGTTGTGCTGGGGAAGCTCATCAAGAGAGGGACACACCCCCGGCGATAGTATAGCATGTATAGACATTTCGAACTCATCAGTCGGGAGAAGAAATTGTAAGATTTCCTGGTAATTTGGTGTTGTGACACAATACTGGCGAAGCAGTTGAGATAAGATAAATACGTTGTTTGATTGCGCAGTCGCCTGGTGCAACACACGACCAGACGTCTTTGTTCGTAGTATGCAGCCTTGCGCGACATATGGCAATTGCGACAAAGCCTGCCGGAATACCCAGTGCAATGGTTGAAAACATTCGATGTACGAACAATGAGATGCACCTCACCAAGGGAGCCCTGGTGGTGAAGCTCACCACACGCCGAGCTATTCGTGGCGTCTACCTTGCCTTCTCGTCACGATAGACTAGTACGACTACAGGACGTTACTCTCGGTGAGGTCCATCGCTCGCTGACTTAACCCAGCGGTAGGGTAAAGACACTCGTCTCGCTTTTGCGGCGGCGCGCTGCCTAAGCTGCGCACTCGTACGTCTGCGTTTATTCTAGGGAAGATCAGCATGCCGAAAATCTTTCAAAGCTAGGGCCCTAAAACCTCTGCATTCTTATCTTCCAGTTGAGCGAGCAAGCCTTCCATAGTGCGACTCTCATCAAAGCCCGACCGACGCTTGGCACAGCGCAGCAGATGCTGGTCATCATCGTAAGACTTTGAAAGCTCGCAGGCTTTAGCAGAAAGTAGTTCGTTGTCACTGATGGTACTGAAGGCTTCTCGGGCTTGGTGCAGTAGACGTAGCTCGTAACATAATAGGCTGCGCTGAGATCGTATCCTAGGTAAGAAGTCCTGGAGTTCGGAGAGACGATCGCATAAGTCTACAGCTTCGCTACACGTAGCTAGCGCATCGAGGAGCGCGTCGGGTCCTGAAGCGCGTAGGACGTTGCTCTTTAGGAGCAAGCCTTCGGCGCGGGCTTTGCAGCTAAGCGGGCCGCGTAAAAGACGCTCGACCTCGACCAAAGCAGTGCCGTAGTTCCGCTGGGTAGTGCACTCCTGCACACGTTCGAACAAAGGGTTGATGCAATCCTCTGAAGACAAACGTAGTTGACGATACTCAGTCCTGATTGGTGCATACACTGCAGCTGTACCAAACGTGAAATCGACTTCAAGATCTTCGACACCATCGAGGGATGTAGGGCGGTGGTTGTCGCGCCCATCAGAAACTGCCCGAAGTCGTTGATGTTGAGCGCGCTCGTTCTCTAGCTCAGCTTGCGCGGCAAAACATACGTCCTGTAATTGTTGCAGGCGGTTTGATTGCGTCTCGAAAGCCTCTTTGTATTGGATCGCCACGGCCTGCCAAGTGTCTCGGTCAACCTTGAGGTCATGGACGATTTGTTCCATGTCGGCAATGCTGTCCATGGTGTCAGAGGGTCTCGTAGTAATGCACAAATCAATATGCTGTTCTGTGTTTGCAGTGTTGTGTGAGGTGACGGAGTTCTCGATCGATTCCAGGCGATAACATACTTGAGTTGTGTTTGGAGCAAGCGTGGCCTGCGAACGGCAGCTGTGGTTGAGGAACCTCGACTCGTGCCTTCCTCATGGTGCAGCTCGCAGCTTATGTGAGCAACAGCATGCAGTGACAGAAGAAAGACTTGCCAATGACATCTGCCAAGAGAAGCAGGTTGTACATTAAAGGCCGCCTCAGATGTTGAAGCCGCCATGCCTCGATGCTTCGACAAACCTCCAAAGGCCAGCTTCTTCGGCGGCTTTCTTGACTAAAGCTACCTCATACAAGTCTACAGGACGATTGATGTCTGAATACCTAATGTCTTTTTTGGTCGAAGCCGATGCTTCAGCACCGCCTGGCTCAACGACATCTTGACTTGCACGGCCGCGCCGCTCCTTACCCACATGGGCTCTCGGGAAATACTGTTCCATAATGTGAACCATGATGTCTTTGCTCACATTGTCCGCAAGCCACTTCATGATCTGCCTACCCTCTTCCTCTTTCCCCGGCATGACCAGATGGCGCACAAGCACTCCCTTTTTGGCAATACCGTCTGCGGTGAAGCAAAGGTCGCCGACTTGGTCATGCATAGCCTTGATGCTTTGCATAGCCACCTTTGTGTAGCCGTCGGCCTTGAGCAACCGCCGGCTTGTCTTGTCACTCCAGACCTTAAAGTCGGGAAGGTAAATGTCAACCAGGCCGTCCATTAACTGGATGCTCTCCAGCGAATCAAACGACGACGTGTTGTAAATGATGGGTATGCGCAGACCGAGCTCACGCGCGTGCAGGATGGCCAAGCAAACCTGGGGTGCGACATGCTCGGGTGTAACGAGGTTGATGTTGTGTACCCGGCCCACGTCCTGCAGCTTCATGAACCACTCGGCAAGCTCCTCTGGCGTAAGATCGAAACCATTGCGCTGGTGGGCTATGTCGTGGTTCTAGATATAGATTTAGCGCACACATGACCATGGAATAAGAGGCGTTTACCTGGCAGAAGACGCATCTCAGATTGCACCCAGAGAAAAAAACTGATCCAGAGCCGTTGTGTCCCTGGAAACAGGGCTCCTCTGGTCCACGTTAGCGCGCGCAATCCCGGGCTTCGACAGCTTCGACCTACCGCCAAAATGAGGAGCGATGGTATTCACCTTCACAGTCTCGGCTCCTATCAGGCATACGCCCGTCGTCTCGTAGCGGTTGACACCGCAAAGCCGAGGACACAGGTTACATTCGCGCAAATGCGCGTACGCCAGGGATCGTTTCTTCGCGGCATCTACCGAGGATAACAGTTGGTAACGCGGTATGTAGTCGTCGAGCAGGTATGGCGGCGCGAGGTAGAGGCTTCGTCGGAGAGGGACGTGTTGGACATGAGGGGCAGCGAGTCTGGCCGAACCGCGCTTCAAGGCGGGTCGCAATCTCGAGAAGGATGCCATGCTGGCAAGCTCAAAGCCGTCATCGATTTGGTGAGATTACAACGCGTACAGTTGGCTATTGAGTGCGATGCTCAGGCTACATGTGCGATGCCATAAAGCTGAGGATGACGACGGCGTCATTGGCCGAGACCCCAAAGCCGCTGCATCGCCGGACCGCTACGTCACCCCAACCTCTCCACTTCCCAATGCTTTCACCTTTCCTCCTGAATGTGGTCGCATCGAAACACAAGTACAATATGTTACACGTAGCCTTATACACGAGCAATTACTTGCTTCTGGCTTTCTCCGCTTCGTATCACGTTACCATCGTACCAATATCTCACGTATCCAAGGCACTCTATGTAAAAGCTCCACAACGAGCCACTGGTCATCAGAGGCTGGCTACTACTTTCCCGATCACACTAGGTTATGATCCTCTTCAGCTGTATATCTTCCGAAGATAATGGGGCTGGCCCCAGATAAGCTGGTCGGTCCCGAACACTCTGATCCTTTGTCGATAGCACTTTTCAGATCCGATACTTGTAGATGCAGGCAATACTCACTTATCATCTTGTGTAGGCATAATACGTGTTTGTACGCGTCGACACAGTTCTTCTTCAGTTTTACAACTTGTGGCATGCTCGGTGGAGCATTGGCTATACAGCCTCATCCAAGGCCAGGAAGCGCCAAAAAGGGTTATGCTAGTACACAAGCTATGCGCATCTTATTGCGATTGAGAACATGACTTTAAGCATATCATTCCAAAGTCACAACTCGACTACGATCTCAACGCCGCCAATCTTGGAGATACAGCGGTGTGATGAAAGTTTAGGAGCTGTGTCATGAGCACTGATATCCACATCACGCGCTTTTATGTCATCGCATTCCGTTGCTGCTCCTGAAATTTGGCTTCAGGTAGCACGGCTTATTTGATACTTCGAGAAGACTGGACGTATCGTGATACCAAACTTCACAGTTGTTCACAACAAGGCAGCGTGCATGCCTAGCCGCTGATGCTCCGCAACATAGTACATGACTTGTTTCATCACAAAACCTGAGTTTACTTGTTGGCGAAACAAATCATGAGCAGAAGCTAATGAATTTGACAAGTTATCAAATGAGTCATGCGATTTCTGCAACTACCCGTCTGGTACCTCAGAACTACCTGTACTTTGGCCCTCAATACTAGCGCACTGTACCGACACGCGAATGACAGCTGCATCGCACCTTGTTTTCTTGCAAAAAGTTGATTCATCGCTGCATTGTTGAGCACATTGAGCATGTATTCGTGTTACCGTGACTTGTATTGACCCTTGTATCATTGAACTTCGCCGCATCAAAGTTGGCTATTGTGACGCTGTTCGCTGCTTCCTTGGCTACAGCGAGTGCAAGTTCCGTTCTGTTTGTAGACATTCGCTTACGTCTTACAAGAACCTACGCAAGAGCGTCACGACCTTGATGTTGACTTCTGGATCGCCAGGCAAGTGTTACAACGCGAGTCTTGATGTGCTTCACTGTCGGACATAAGAGCACCAACAGTGAAGCATTCATATCTCAGCATCCGCAGCTCCAACTCCAACAAATTAACAGCCTTCATCACCTCTCGTATATCCAACATGCGTGTCTCAGCTCTCCTTCTCGTCGTGTTTAGCCTACCAGCTTTTGCGACCCTACTTGACACGCAATTCCCGCATATGCTTCTGCCTCTCAAGAAGTCTCGGCCAGATACCGCTTTTCTGACCCAGAAAAACGCGACCGTCATCTACGACGTACGTGTTAACAACAATACGCACACACGCAATCGTCTGGATCATACTTACCTCTACTAGGACAGATCCCTTAATGAGCAATGGACAGCCGTCAACTACGATGTCCCTGACAATGCCGCAAATATCTGTCGCCTCCGATTCCTCATCAACACTGACATCTTGAAGAATGCCCCACTCAGCCTCAAAGGTGAAGCACCTTTCGCCATCAACATCTCACGCATCGAACCCAAGCTTGTCAACGGCGGCACTACCTGGAACAACAAGCCAGCCATAACCGAGCACTACGATACATACGTGCTGTCTATGAACGGCGCTACGGAGGTTGTCAGCAAGTGGTTTTCGTGTCCCAAAGGAAATGTAGCGCAATTCGTAATTCATCCTGCTAGCAAGAGATATTTGGACGTTTACTGGTTCGAGCTAAACTACGGTGCTGAGGATGGAGGCCCACACGGCGTCGTGTTGGAAATGCACACCTGAGCTGCAAGACACCATACCGCGAATGACTTGATGATTGGTACCAAATTGTAGTTGGAGGAAGGCGAACGGCGTGTGAATGGAGTTGTTAGTGATGTTTTGGGCTATCCTCAACATAGAAGAACCAACGCGTTCCATAAGCTGCGCTCCTTCTCATACCAATATCCCGCCCCGACCACGATCAAAAGTCACCGCGAGAACATTCTACTAATATTCAACTAACGTCTATCCATCCTTAGTGGGCTGGCAGTTTGATGTATGCATCTCTTCATAGCCCCTTCCTCGACGTTAATCAGCTCACAGCGAGAGTCCTTAAGCAATCAACCATATCTCAGCTTCCAGTGTTGTATTACTTCTCGTCGCTTGTTCAATGACCGCGGGTACATTCAACTAACCGATCATGTCTGTTTGTGTTGAGATGGTCATAAGTTTCAAGTAACCGAAGGTGACTGCTGAATAGTATTGCAGCGGCAACGTTGACGCAACGTAACGATGCGTCGTGCATGTGACTCTAACGCCACTATTGGGCCCTAGGTCTTGGGTACTCTGTTTCTTCCTCAAGTCATCTGTCATCTTCATCTCTTGCCAGTGCGTCAATAATCCTCCCTAGAGCTCTCTCCATCAACCCAGCTCTCCCTGTTCTTTGCACAACACCAGTAAGCTCAACCTTTGTGGCCACGGGGGGCTTGAGGTCTATGAAGAGAGCATTCCGATGCGTGAGATCCGTTTCTTCAAAAACTTCGATGCCTTGTTCGTCAAGCGTCTTGATGACAACGATGCCGGGCGGGTAACGATGAGGGTAGGCGGGTGTGAGGGTGCGGAGTTCGATAGCGCTGTCCGTCATGGGGCATGCTTCGGAGGTTTTGGACGGTCTGGAATCTGTTGGGCGAATTTCATGACAGGTGCTAGGCTCAGTATGGATGGTTTCTAAGGAGGTTTGCATGGTAGAGGTTGAGTAGGTTGATGACACGTATGCTGAGGTAGTGTATGGCGATTTTGGTTGCAAATTTGGTGTTGTTTGTGTCTCTTTATCGGCATATACGTGTCTTCGAGGCGCTCCTTTGACCCTTCGTGATGGTTTGGGTGCTGTGCAATTCTCGCTGGGTATTCGCGTGCGGCTGAAGGTTTGACCGTCATCAGATGTGACGAAAGCACAGTCGCTCCTGGAATCTTCTTCTTCGCTTATCTGATGGTAAACGTATTCATGATTGCCGTATAGACGTCGAAGTGATAGGTCCATACCCGCGCAATGCGAAAAAGAAATGTGAAAGACCGATACCAGTAAATGAGCGTACAAGGGGTCGCCTTTCCTTGAACTCATATATCCCTCAAACGCGGCATCGAGGAATCCTTCGACAAGACCTAGGTAGTGTTGTGTTGTAGAGAAATACCGCACGCTAATCCCAAATAGTTGCTACCTCCAGGATACCATATGAGGAGTAGCAGTATGTGGCGTTCGGCGACGAATAATCCTTGAGCCAATAGGGACGTTGACCTTCGTATTTACCAGAAAAATATATGGCTGTGATCACTGGCCATACCTATGCATTGGCTTTATGTTCCGGGTTTGTAGCTTGGATGGTGTTCTTTGGCTTTTTGCAAAAAGCTTGGAATGTCTTTTTTGCCAATTCCTTCAATTTTTTGCAGATCGCTCGTTCGAAATCGCCGCACTTGGGGGCTGGTTTATCTACCGTACTGGCGAGTTTCTCTTCAATACGCTGGATGTACGTATCGTCACTTTTTTTGGTGGGTGATTGGCGAGATGTGCGGCTAGAGATCCTTTCGGAGCTTTGAAGCCCAATTGTGATGTCGTTACGGCGGCTTTCGGTTATGCGAGAATATGCGTTTCCTTGAACAAGGAAGGGATATGCGAAGTATCTCATAGCTGTTGTTGTTGCTGTTGTCGTCGACGTCGTTGTGGGCACGGTGTCTTGTGAGAAAATGTGTCTTTGGCAAGATACCTATGTAGTCTGACGCTGTTCTCGTTGAACGTTCATGTTATATGTGAATAGAGAGAGACAGCGCGCGATAGCAACGTTTTCAGTTTTTGTACCCAGTACCTTTAGATGCTGTATACCTAGGGAGGCCTTTGATGGTCAATTCGCGTAAACGAACCGGCTGTACCATGTTTTATCGACCACTTCATCACTGGCGTTGAAATGGTACAGAGCAGACGAGCCACTCATAATTCCGGCAGAGCATACTATATCTAAGACAGAATCTGCCCACAAACCAGAAACACTGTAAACATAGTGGGTCCGCTGTACCATGGTAGCTGGACGGCGCCGATCTCGCATGATGCAATACAGTAGGTTATAGTGGGGAACAAAGCAATGCGGTAGCATTACATGGACTAAGGCTTCTTCACTCTGAACACGGCCGTTGGATTACAGAAGCATGAATATAGCTATGCTTATGCGTTTTGTTCTTGGCCTGTCATGATTCATGTGATCACAGACTGCCCAGGTGAGGATCTAACCCCAATAAGGAAATATTTGCTAGCGCGTTCTTCTACCACGAGCATTTGTAATGTTAGACGCACACATGAACACCACAAACGGGTATAAATTGCAGCACGAGGGATCTGAGATACATGAAAACACATCCGCTAGGTCCTACCTTCTTAATCATCACTTGCTGCTCTTTGTGCTTCGCGCAGCGTCCGTCTCTTAATATTACCTTACGATGTCTACACACTCTGCAGTTGCGACAGTAGCCAAGAAAGCACGTCTTGGCATAATCCAAGTTCCTACTGCTACACCAATAGAGCAGCAAGTCCGTGTCCGTGTCGAGTGGACAGCTTCTACGCCTTTGGACCTTCATCAGAACGATGGCGCTTTGCTCGTGAAACATCCTCAAATTCTTGGTGACAGTGTAGCTGGTACAGTAGTCGAATTGGGGCCAGATGCTAAGAGACTACAAGTTGGGGATAAAGTCTTCGGCTTCACCTGGAGGACCCAAGTAGCAAAGGCTCATCAAGAATTCTGCACAACGGACGAATGGCTCTTGGCGAAGGTAGACAGTGTTGAGTCTCCCGGTTGATTAGGCTGATGCTGACATATTGCAGTTACCAGACGGTTTCACTCTGGCCGAAGCTGTAACGTTACCCAACAACTTCGTGACAGTATTCCATTCCTTCACAGCCGATCTGGCTCTCGAAATGCCCTGGCCAAAGAACGAATCTTATGTGCCAGGTCATGTTGATGTACCAATATTAATCTGGGGTGGCTCCTCGTCCGTCGGCCAGTTCGCCATCCAGATTTTGCACTACTACGGCTATAGGAACATCCTGACAACGGCGTCTCGAAAGCACCACAAGAAACTACGCAACCTTGGTGCAACCCAAGTATTCGATTACAACAATGCAGATGTTGTTGCATGCATTTCAGACGCTGGTGGTGACGAGGGCATTCCTTTGATTTATGACTGCATCGGCAGCCAGAGCGGTAGCATCGCACCAATCGCCAAGATCGCGAAACCCAGATCGAAGGTTGCAATACTGCTACCGGTGATATTGCGCGATTCAACCGAGACGCAGGATCCAGAATATGAGATGGATGTGGGCAAAGTGGCAGAGTGGAGCGATGGTGTCGACGTCAGGGGCGTGCGAACGCACTTCTACCTAGACGTGAGTATAGCTGGTCCGTTGCTCAGGAGCGCACTGCTAACAGCACATAGAATGAGTACTTCAAGCACCATCTTCAGCCCGACATCATGCCCGCTATGTTGAAGACCGGTGTCGTGACACCACAGAAGCAAAGGATGATAGATGGTGCGACACTGCTGGAGAGAGCACAAAATGCGATGGACATGCTGAGACGTAAAGACGTGAGTATGGAACGACTTGTGTGGCGCGTCAGTGAGACGTAGTCACAGGCGCGATATCGACACTGGTCGCATACGTCGTGATCCTGCAGGTCAAAATTAGAGGTGTAGAAGTGGAGAAGGCAAAAAAGACTCGGGACGCTGAGGACTTGCGCGTGCCCCACCGAAGCGATGCGCTGAGGCTTAGCACACTGCAGGCATGAACACCAGCCATGACCATCCGTAAGTGTAGCGAATCAATCCTCTGTTCATTGAACATCATGACATCTGAAACTATAACACGATGAGCCGCTTGCCAGCTATAGTACCTTGAACAGTAGCCAGCCGCATTGTCACGAGCTTTTTGACTGCATCTATTCCACACCCATCACTCTTCCTTGATCACACCTCTTGGCCTCGCCTTGATCACCATACTCAGGTCGCATACAGGCAGGTCCGGCACCGGCAACTCCATGATCGAAATTATCAGAGCCAGCAAGAAGTAGAAGCCTAGCACGCTAGCCGCAAAGAAGCAAGCACCTGTACCCGTAGCCAACCTCATTCCAACCACAGCATTTCCATTGGAAAGGTTGAAGAAGGCCCCAGCGCCGAGACCAAATCCGATTGTCGCAAACAAAAAAATTAGGACAAACACGACGTTGACGCGTAACGAGCCGAGGAGGAATATGAGGGATAGAATGCACATGACGATAAGGTAGAACGCTGTTGGGTGCCAGATCAGTTTCACACACCGCCTTGGAAACCCGCGATTACTTACCATAACTTGCTAGAAATACTGATGTCTGGTTCGACGTGCCAGGACTGCCAGTGCCACTTCCATCTGGGTTGAAGTATCCAATCGAGTTGAAAGCAGGAACGAATGTTGTTGCGTAAGCAAAGAAATGCGCGCCATATCCGAGGAATACCATCATTGGGAATGTATTCCCAAGTAGGAACTCTCCAATACCTGCGAGGACAAGGAGCATACCGCCGAAAAATATGTTCACTGTCCCGGTCGCGACGCTGAGACCACCCGAACCCTGCCAGCCCACTACGGTTATTGTCAGACACATGGAAGCAAGACGCGAGGATGTTGAGATGATAGTGGACGTACTGAAGGCACATGCAAGTGGCATAACGGCAATCGAGAAGCCCAATACACCCACTGGCGTTGGGTTTCCAAACCGTGAACGAAGGTCCCCCGATACTCGTGTCTTCGGATTTAGAAACAAGCGCTCATAGAGTTCTGGAGTGAGCGTGACCGTCTTGGCAAGCTCATAACGCAGCTTCTCTTCGGAGTCATAATGCGCATCTTGATGTCGGTTCACGGTAGTTGAAGAGTAGTCGTGACTGGTCATCGTAAAGAGCACTGTGGATGTTTGTAGTGATGAGGAATGAGATTGCGCGCACCGTATAGCGACAGCTCTTGCTCAGTATTTAATCAACCCAACAAGTTGGAGTTGCATATGGTATAGCCGCGGCTAACGTGTCTCGTGAGTTGAATGCCGGGTCGATTCCGTCTTCGATACATGTCTCTGTCGACTCCGCATTTAATCGAGACCACGGTATCGCGACATTCCCGTCCTCCGGCCACTAGCGTGATGCTATCAATGAACATTTGATAGTAGAACTAAGAGATTTGACAAAATCTATGCGCTTGTCATGAGTAACAATATACATGTTTTTCCATGTGTACCTAGGGATGACCACTTCCTTTGTCACCACTGTGTTCCCAAAAGGATCCTCCAAACAATACCTCATGAAGAGCTTATGTCCCTGCCACTACACATCTGGATCTCTCGTAAAAGACTGCTACTAGAGACGGAAGCGACTTCAGCTGCATGGTTGATCGCTAGACGGCTTACATTCCGATGGGACTTGATGGTGTAAACATGGGCTTGAGGCTATTATGGGGTACAGTTAAGCTTCCTTAGCATCGACTTTCCCCGCATCTCTCAAGAAATTACCCGTAGACAAGCGCTTGCACATCTTCAACAAGTACTGTACTTGGTAGACAGAGCCGTCGGCCGGACGCAAAGGGGCAGCATCCGGTCGAATGGTACAGAAGCGGCAGCCTAGTAGATGTCATGGCATCAATCGAGGCTTCCCTCGAACAAAGCTGCGCGTTCTTTAACCACTCTCCACATTTGTCGCATCGACTGAAGATGAGCTCAGCGTTTTTGTTCAACTGTGTGGCGAAGCAACCTCGGAGATGAACGCGTTGTGTTGACGAAGGATGGCGTTGACTCAGCATCGTCACATGCGAGATTGAGCGACCCCACCAATCTCCGATGGGCTAGAGCTGGTTGGTGACCCCTTCGGATCCAGCTCACTGCAAATTCTGCAGACCTCGTCAACCGCAAAGAGCATATCTTCAACGCCTCATATGGCGCTTGATGCATCGCCAAAAAGGTAGCGCGCGGTACAGCTGTATATGACGCAGTTGAAGCTCCTGCAATACGGCCAACCAGGTTGGTGGGGACACGCCACAATCTCGTTTCTGTTCCTTGCATTAAGCCTCGGGACACCTGAAACCCACCGCACGTTCACGACCGTTTCAACCCGGGATCATGGGCGCTTCAACCAGGTAAGCCGGTTCGTCTATACTGCTGTCTCGAGCTAGACAACTACGAGAACCGGATGGTGTCCTGTCAACAGGCATGGTGGCCGCTGTCGCGGGAACATGTTTGCTTGGCCCGCGGTATCGAACAGCACCCTGCCATCTTAGTTGCGCCCAGGCTTTTTATGACTGGTGGAGTAACGATTCAAGCATGACAAGAAGACCCACGCCACGTCTGGCATCTCAGGAACAGGCAGGGCATCGGTGTCGTCTTGAATCGGGGGCACAGTCAAGCGTTGTTCGAGGCTGCAATCCATCGGGGACTCGTTTCGCATGTTTAATGACACGGCCCACAGAATGAGTTGTGAAGAGGAATAGTGCCATGTTGTCGTACTGTATATAGCTCTCTTGGTACTCTCGGTTTCCTTCCCATCAAACAACAGTTTCTTCACTTCCAACTACAGCTTCTTTGTGCATCTTAGGTCTGAGACCTCACATTCGTTCTTTCAACACACACTCATTCATTACACTCGTTCACAGAAGCCAGACTTCAGTCAATCTTTACAGCAACTCTCACTCTTCTCGACCAACCCATCAACCATCACAATGAAGTCCTACACTGTCGCCGCCGTCATTGCCGGCTTTGCGTCTTCCGTCGCAGCCCATGGCTTCATCAGCGAGCCTGCTCCCCGTATGCCCGGCGATGGCCTCAAGGCTGCCTGTGGTGACCAGGTCTACAACACCCAGTCTTCGGACCACTACGGAAACGTTCAGGGTGCTCTCCAGAACCTTCAGGGTGACCACCCTGACTGTCGCATGTGGCAGTGCAAGGGTGTTCCCTTCTCTGACGCTGGTGAGATCTTCGAGTACACCGCTGGTCAGGTCATCCCCATGAAGGTCGAAATCCGCGCGCCCCACGACGGTGTTGCCAACGTTTCCATCGTCAACATCGCCACCGACAAAGTCATCGGCAAGCCCCTCATCAGCTGGGACGAGTATGCCCTTACCTCCTCTCCCATGTCTGAGCACCCTGACTGGACCTCTTTCGACATCACCATGCCCGATGTCAGCACCGAGTGCGCCAACAAGGGTGACTGTGTCATTCAGTGGTTCTGGGACGCTCCCTCAATCGACCAGACCTACGAGTCCTGCATCGACTTCACCATGGGCGGTGGCTCCGGTTCTGGCAGCGGATCGTCTCCCGCTCCCTCAGCTTCTGCTAAGCCCAGCGCTTCTGCTTCCCCCGTCACTACTTCCGCTCCTGCTGCCAGCTCCGCTGCCCCCTCCAGCACGGTTCCTGAGGCTACCCCCACCCCTACTGCCGCTGAGGAGGCTGCCACCCCTGTGGCCACTGGTGGTTCCGACTCTGGCTCCGACTCCAGCCTCCCTGAGTCTTTCACCATCGACACCTTCATCACCTGGCTCCGCGCCAACGCCGGCACTGGTGTCGCTGACAAGGTCCGCCGCATGGTAGCCGCTCAGCGCGCCCACCCCCGTGCTTTCCGCGTCTAGATGATCTTGACATATGATCGGTAAGACAAGTACGATAGACAAAATTCCTGTATTGGGCGAGAAGATGGTTAGAGTTACTGTTCGATTCTGTTGTAAATATACAATTCAATGATGCATATTATTTGCTCGCTTGAGCGAGGCTGAAGAATCTTCAATTGCGTCTTGCCTGTGATGTCCTCGGGGAATACATAGCCACTAACTTCGTGATTTTATTTTAATACGGTTGAATTGATGTCTTCTGCTTCCACAGTGTGAGTTATTACTGGTGGTCGTCCACGATATGTATTCGGACGAACTCATCGAGCAAATATGGTTGGGAAACTGCTTAAGACCGGAATAGTCGCATAGGACAAGAAATAATTCTCGCGTGTGCAAGCTTGTCTGGCTTTTCGATGTGTTTTGGTCGCTAAATTTGCTGAGTCCATTCCCTGTATGGTTTTGGAACCATATTGACGTGCTTGTTCTGTCAGTCACGATGATGAAAGACCGAGAGATATGGAAGCTGTGAAGCGGGCGGCTTTGCGCTCATATCAATGACGTCATCGAGCCCGAACGACGCGTCCCGTTCGAATTTACTTAGAGAACAGCGGAACCATGGGTGACATATGTGGGCTCCATTATAATACATGCTAACAATAAGTTACAACATAAGAATAGAGCTTCTACGCCCCCACGGATGATGTCCGCTCCATCATCGTCCACACGACTATTCAACGCCGCTGAAGCTCCCCTGACTCCATCATCAGATGAACATCGACTGAGAATCGCATTCATACAGAAAAACAACCACTATTATACACCACATCAAAGTATACCTAACAACTAACGATCGATACAAGTGACCACACTATCCAGGTGGTCAACGTACTGTGGTACAAGAAAAACAGGGGAGCACGTTAGAAATCCAGATGCACTTTCTAACGTTTGCGAATACCGGGATGTATGGCTGCTAGGTCCACTGGCAGTACTTGCTCCTAAGCCTTAACACTGATTCTGGTGGTAGCTTGGAGCATTTGTCATTTTTTGCACATCGTCTTGGTGCTGCCAGAAACTAAAGACGTCCTCCCCCACAGCATCGCCCACAGCGTATGTCGGTGAAAGTTCCATGTCGGCGAGACATACGCCCATCTCAGAATGTTGTGCGAAAGGATTTGCATTGCTGATTGTGTCTTCTGTGGAAAACGGTTGCACATTATGCTGCCAGTGCTCGATCCCCGGAAAATCCGAAATACCAGTTTGGTCGGTGTATGCAAAATTGCTGGGCGGAGCTAGATCTGAGGATATACCATGATTCCAAGGACGGAGGCATGAGGTCATGTTCATGTTTGTTGGCTTCGTATCGTCAGGGGTGACCGACACTATGGAGCCATTCAGTGGCTGCGATGGGGGCACGAAGGGCGATTGCTGGCCTGGCGAGACAGAAAGTCTTCGCGAGATGTGCTGGGAGTGATAGTTATATGGCTGCGCCCGTAGTGGTGGTCTGGACGGCAATGCCGCAGATGTGTTGTGAACATGGAGGGATCGAGGTGAGGGATGCATCGACGGTGCCTGAGGTGCCAGAAAAGTAGGTGGGGGGCTCAATGCAACGCGCTGCATCGTCTGCGGGGTCAAGTACGGAAGTCCTGATGATTCGAAAGCCTGTTGTGGCGTGGTATCACGAGACAATGGCGTCTCAGAGGCTGCTGACGAGTGATTTCGCGTATGTCTTCTCCGTGAAGCAGCGACGGTCCGGGACCTCTTCGATGCTCGGAGGTTATCTCCCACTACACAGCTACCCTTGGCGTTCGGTCTCTTGCTGTTGCCCACCCGGTTCTGGTCCTTGCGCTTAGAGTATGCCTTGGGCGCGTTGACAAACATGCGGATTTGCCAAGCTGAGCACATGACGTTCTCGCAAATCGTCTTCTCTAGCCGGAGAGCTTCGACGATATTATCCAAACGGCCGGCGCAGTTGGTGTCCTTGTCTTCGTCCTCACCCTTGCGTTCGTCGTTAACGTAGTCATTCTGCTGCCACCCGCGGAAGCCCATCTTCACCTGCTCGATTAAACAATCGAACACCTTGTGGGCGTAAGCTTCTACTAAGTCCGACTGGTAGTGTGGTTCTTCAACCCATCTCTTGAGTGCGGTGGATCCAGCATTATCTCTGGCGTAATCTCCGCAGATCATGGCGTTGTAGATGCGCTCAACGTTGATGTTACGATTGCGCTCAACATGCTCGATAGTTGGATCGTTAGCAGGTTCTCTCCACGGTTCACGGTTGAACCGCATTTTCTTACGACGGTATTCCTTCGCTTCCTCGGAATTTTGGAAATAACCACGGAATGGCCCATAATGCTGACCTGCCGCCTGCGGTGGCGCGCTGCTGTTCCTGGACAATGGCATAGGTGCAAGCGAGGGAACTTCTGCGGAATTAGACCGGTGGTGCATTGTATATGCAGAGGGGGAATTTTTTGTTCTGACTTGGCCTTTTCGATAGTTTGGGCTCGTCATTTCAACATAGTTCTCGACGCCACGTTGAAGCTGGAGCTTATTATCGCTGTAAATGTCGCCCGGTGTCTGCATCGAAGCACATCGATCATACGAGGTGAAATCTTCCCCACCGAATCCGATGTTCGGCGTGTGAGATTGGCTAAGGTCGTTTGCAGTCCCGTAATGCTGGCCGCAAGACTCACGGTAGCCATGCGAGGATTCCAGGTTTCTGGGACTGTCCTCGAAGTAGCTTCGATCGTTGTCTGTATTTGATGAGATATGGGAGTGCCGCTCGGCAAACATATCACTAGGATCGTGCTCGATTTGACGAAGTGATGGCTCCGCCTGTCGCGGAGGTTCCTTCATGTGATCGCTGATGCTTCGTGTAGGGCTGATATGTTACTTGTAAGGTTTGAAGCTTGGAGGAAGAGAGGGAGTATTGGTGCTAATATGTAGAGGAGTTTGATTCGAGAATGTGAAGAAGGGCCGAAGATATAGAGTAATCGTATCAAGTGCCTACACCTATCGTGAAGAGCAATGTCTCATATGTTCGACGAACGCCCATGACAACCGTTGCGTCGGCCCGTAGCTCAAGATTCGCATTGATTATGATGGCACTCACAGTGTCTTGTGACCAGTCTGCGTTGGAAGCTCGTGGGGTCACTGAGGCTATGGAATGCGTTCGCGACTGCAGCCTACAAACCCCCACAACGTTTGTTGCATGTACCATGTGCGGCTCAACTACGTGTTTGAACATCAGCTCCTCCTGGTAGCGCACTACACACGTGTTGCGGGCCGCGATTTGCGACAGCGATGTCGCTTTCCAGACTTGGTAACAGGACACTCATGGTTCGCTGCCATCTACCCATCATGTGTTCATCCCGTGCTTCTCAGTATCTGCGAGGTGAGTGGAATTATGCAGCTGCGACTTTCACTTTTCCATAGCTTCTAGACGTTATAGAATCATTTCCAGGCTTCTACAGGCTAGGAGGTGGCTTATGATGGCTGTACATTCGTAACCAACATGTTGCCTTACATGCTACGCTGGCAATCATCTGTTACAAGTCCACGGGAACATGTGGCAAGAGCTCACTAGCAATTCAAAGGCATAGGAGCAGCTTGAAGATCGCATGCAAGGTAAAAGCATGTGGTTTGGGGAAGTTGATGATTGGACTTGAAATGCGCCGTGCTTCAAAAGGTCTCATTGATATGGCCAACTTATCCCGTCGTCACTCGTGTGATCCGGCCTTAGCTTCGAAACACATCGAGACACCTTCCAAGTCATGCGTGTATCGTCAAAGATGTGTGCATGTGTTTACATCATACCTGGGTAGTGAAGGTCATCTGTATCTCTCCTAGCCTCTCAGTGCGAATTCAACAGGCATTACACGCCTCTATGAATGTGTATCAAGAGCGAAAGCCATGTCTAAGATGAATCCTGGTTTGAAGATGGGTCTGCTCCTCGTTATCATCTAGCGTTCCAAACCGACCGAGCTTATTCGGCGCACTGGGCTTACTCATGTTCCTGTGAATCTTTGCCATCTCTGCCTGCCAACTTGGTGACGTCAGGCCTCATTATGTAAGAAAACCAGTATTAAACAAAGATGCTCATACATGAAAGTATATCACCATCGGGTTGTCCTGTCTCATTGATATCACTAACATCCGGGTTCTTTCGGATAGGTCCTCGTTCGTCCATCAAGTCCAGAAGTTATACAACAATCAATTTTCTATACCAACGTAGTTCAGTTCGGCCTACCCTTAGAAGCCAAGGATCTTGGACCACCAAACCAATATTTCATTGACGTTATCGCATCATGACTCTATTTCTGAGAAGACTGGGCTTCTTGTTGACTATGACAGACGCCGAGTTGGACTTGAATTCCATTTGGGTACCCGCGCTGATATTGCTACGACGCTTCCCGTATGGTTATATCTCGAAGTTGATAACCCAGAAATCGTTCTTGCCATCTATTCCATCACAGTCTCTCATTGTTAGGACGGTCTTATCGCCCTGAGGGACAAGATGACGTTCTGGCCGAAGCATTTTCTCTTTCGCTGTATTGAAGTAAGGAAAAGGTCAACCTTATTCGCGAATTGTCGGGAAGCCGATACTTAGGTATTCGTTGAGCAATTCAACGGTGTGAGTATGTAAGTAGAACACTCCATAGTAGAAGCGTATTCTACAGGATTTATCCCTTGAGGATGACTATCAGCCTGGAGCGGTAGTGATAGAACAAAGGGCTAGAAGGCGATGCGGGGCCGACGGATTGAAGAAAAGTGGCAAGCGGTGATGATGTTGCACAACATTCGCACATCAGTGGGCCGGAGACTTGTTTCTGTATCGAATTGTGTATGTGGCAGGTTCAACAAGCCGCTGAAGGCGTCAGCAGCACCAGAGAATGGCACAACAATGGTTCCGCGCTCTTGTTCCGCACTTTTAGTGGCCTAATTCCGCTGTCCCCAACGAACGGTGCGACTTCCCCGCATGAGCCGGCCACGCTTCACGTAAAGTCTGGGGAGCCCGCCATGGCTGAGCAATGGTAGACAAATAAAATGACCGACCTTCCGCTAGCTAAAGCGTAAATCCAACTTGTGGCTCGCAACAACCTTTCGAACATCTTGTTGTTTTCGGCAAGCGTCGCAAGGAGCCACTAGCGAGCGCCATGATTTCCACCATCCTACCACTGCTATCGTCGCAGTTTCTGGAATACCCAGCTCGCTCGTTGTTCTTGTTGATAATATGCATTCCCATATTGTATGTTATTGGGAACGAATACGTGAGATACTCCCGACGAATCAAGGGTTTTCCCGGACCGACCAACTGGCCCTTGGTGGGCAACATTCCAGACATCAAGGTTAATGCGGCCGAGAAGTATCGTGAATGGAGCAAGACTTTTGGCGCTGTGTACCAGATACAGCTTGGAAATGAGCCGGTAATTGTCGTCAACAGCGCGGAAGCCGCGAAGAAAATCTTTGGTGGGAACAGCCAGGCGCTGAGTTCCAGACCCGTATTTTGGACTTTCCACAAGGTGAGCTGAACATTAAGGGTGCCCCATTACTTCGCTAACTAACAGCAGGTGCTTTCAAACACAGCCGGTACGACAATCGGGACATCGCCATTCAATGATTCGCTAAAGCGCAGGAGGAAGGGTGCTGCCTCGGCACTCAACAAACCTTCGATTGCGACATACATCGACCACCTCGACCTTGAAACGAAGGAATTTGTAAAAGACGGGTTTGAGTCAGGCCATGCTGGTACCGTTGGTGTAAACCCCATGCCCATGATTGAGCGTCTTTCACTTTCGCTCGCTCTGACCCTCAACTGGGGTACAAGGATGAGTAGTCGACATGATCCAATGTTTCACGAGATCTGCGAGGTCGAAGCCGCTATTTCGAAATTTCGTAGTACGACTGGAAACTTGCAGGACTACATTCCCATCTTGAGACTCAATCCCTTCAGCTTCGGCACCAAGTCTGCGAAAGAGCACCGAAACAGACGAGATGTCTACCTAACGAAGCTGAATCGCGATTTGGACGAACGGATGGAGAAGGGTACTCACAAAACGTGTATCCAGGCAAACATTATCCGAGACAAGGAAGCCGCGTTGAACAAGGAGGAATTGACGTCGATCAGCCTGACGATGTTGTCTGGCGGTTTAGACACCATCACCACCCTCGTTCAGTGGAGTGTGGCGCTGCTGGCTCAAAGGCCGGATATCCAAGAAAAGGCTATCAAGGAGATCCGGAAGTACTACTCGGAAGACGAGCCGCTAGCGGATGCGTACGATGACCAAAAGTGTGAGTATGTTGTCGCACTGGTTAGGGAGTGCTTACGGTACTACACTGTACTACGCCTAGCGCTTCCGCGAGCGACAGTCAAGGATATCGTGTATGAGGGCAAGGTGATCCCCGCAGGCAGTACAGTGTATCTGAATGCATGGGCATGTAATATGGGTGCGTCGTCCTCCTTGGTTCCCCTACCCTAGAGACTGCGATGCTGACTGCAGAGTAGATGCCGAAGTTTGGAGAGATCCGGACGAGTTCCGTCCTGAGCGTTGGCTAGAGCAACCCGACGCCCCGCTGCATACATATGGCCTAGGTTACAGGATGTGTGCAGGCTCATTGTTAGCCAATCGCGAGTTGTACCTTGTCTTCCTGCGGACGCTGAACAGCTTTGAGCTAGTACAGAAATCGGAGGTGGACGTGCATCCTGTCAGGGGCAGCTCAGACCCTACCAGTTTGGTGACGATGTGCCGACCTTACGAGATTCTCTTCAAACCTCGCAACGAGCAGATTCTGCGTGAGGCTCTTAGGGCAGCAGATGAGCGATTGGCCGAGTTTGAGAAGGCGTAAGCGGCTGTGTTTGTAGATTGATGCAGTGTGGGGGTATTGATTAATCTAAATGGCATTTGGCGTCTTGGAATATAGTCGAGATGAGGTGGTTTGTTGTGAGCAATGACGAAGGCGTCGGCAGTCGGTCATAGGCGAGCGGGATGATGCGGTGCAGGGATGTAGTTCCCGGAAGGACAATCGAGGTTATCGCATCTCCAACATGGCCTCTTGCACTGCCCTTGACACGCGCTTAGCCTTTATCGCATTGAACCTCTGCGCCGCATCTCTGGCTCCGACAGCGTGAGACACAGAATCTCGCAAAGCTCCCACACCGGCCGCACGTAGAAGCGCACGCGACACTTGTCCCCTACATCGCCATGATCGAGCACGCTGAATGGTAGCGACGAGACGCGCCACAGACAAGGGGTGGTTGCCAGATAGCTTTGTCCGGGGCAGCATGTATCGGAAGGCGATACTTCCGGGCGATGAAGAGCTGGGCAAGAAAGACGACGACCATAGATACAAACCCGCGCGGCGTTCCAGCTGGTCGGGCTGGAGCCACACGTTTCGCTGGCGGCGGCGGAGGATACTGCTGGCAGCAGTGGGCTTGTTCCTGCTGTACTACTGCTTCCTCAGCGGCTCTGACGACTACCAAGAGCCGGACGAGCCACGATATCGACGACGGCCAATCACATCCACATATCAGAAGCCGAGCGCGGACGGCGACGACGAACCCACGGGAGCGCCACCGGGCCTACAGAAACCGAGGCATGGAGAGGCGGTCCCTCGTACATACGATGGACAGATACGCTTCTTCCGCCTCGCCAGCTCACTGCGCTCATCCGCCTCGGCAACCGGTGGCTATGAGAAGAAGAACAGAAACATACTATTCGCAATGTCGAGCTTGAAGAGTGCATCGACGCTTTTGCCCATGGTATGCGACATGTCGCAATGGAACAGGAACCATGTACACGCGGCTTTCATGGGCAGAGAAGATATACCAGTAGACCATCTGCTAGAGATAAACGGGATAGACAAGGTCAAGTGTCCTGCTGTATGGCACGATGCGCGACCGGATTACATGGAGTATGTACCTCAAATCCTTCCCAAGTACTTTAGGGTTATGCTGCAGTCGCATGAGCAGCTCCGAGCTTCAAACCTCGTGCATAAACGGCCATGGCTAACTAGAATGTTGCCTGCAGGTATAGTACCGATGTTCGCGCTGAGACGGCCGTGATGGGTGCTATGCAGCATATCAGCAGCTTTCTCCATCCTCAAGCAGCCATCATCGACGATTCCGTCTCAGAAGACCAGTTCTTTGTCCGAGGCATGCGAACCAAAACGGGAGTGCTTAAGATGCCTCTCATTGAAGTACCAAAAGACAGATTAGAGGACTTTGCTTGGGTCTCACGGCTCGATGCTGGCTCACTCAGGCACTGGCACGATCCTACCGTAGACATTCTCATCCAAGTACCACCAGACTCTTCCAGCGTTCTGCGATTACTGAAATCAATCAAAGACGCCGATTACAGTGGTCTGAGACCGCCTCGTATCACCATCGAGCTGCCAGCCGAGCTCGACATCTCAGTAAAAGAGCACATTGAAAGCTTCAAATGGCCCCCACATAATGATAATCCCATAGCAGGGAGCGGACTCAGTATCAGACGCCGCATCTCAAACCATCGCCACAACCAGGAGGACTCTGCAATTCGCTTCTTGGAGTTATTCTACCCCACCAACACGATCAACTCCCACGTATTACTACTCTCTTCGCAAGCGCAGCTGTCGCCACAGTACTTCCACTTTGTCACATACGCCTTGTTGGAATACAAGTACTCGACCTACGGCGCAGAGGACAATGACAATCTCATGGGTATTAGTCTAGAGTTGCCAGCGGTGCTCCTCGATGGCAAGACGAAGCTGGAACCCCCGTCGACAAGCGACATGCACACTGACCGATACAAGAAGCTGCATCAAGGTGCTAAGAGCGTGCCTTTCATGTGGCAGGCTCCAAACAGCCACGCGGCATTGTTGTTAGGAGACAAGTGGGCAGAGCTGCATTCGTTCCTCGGCAATCGTGTGGTCAAGCATCAGCAATCAGCCAAAACGACATCTCGGGGAAAGTTGGTTTCCGAGACACTGCCCGCATGGACCGAGTACATGCTTGAGTTCATGCGCGCGCGGGGCTATTCGCTGCTTTATCCTGCGACGACGTCCAATGCGTTGGTTACGATTCATAACGAGTTGTACCACGTCCCCGAGGAGTTCTCTGCTATGTCGCCCAGAGACGGTCAAGAAACACCTGCCATGCCGTTGGAGACAGATGCACCATTTCTGCGCGCCGATACACCACCTCAGTCTCCTCAAACTTCCGAAACACCCGTCATTTCAGACACAATGCCGCTGCATCAGGCGCTACCTTTCGACGGCGATCTTCCCGAGATCCCTCACCTGTAAGTACTCCTGTGCGAACTGCAGGTAATACACAGACTGACTTGGTACACCCACATTTAGACCCCAGCTTCTCTATGACGGACAACAAATTGCTCCGGCAAACATATCCACTGTGGCAAGAGAGTACGCAGACATGTTCCGCAAGGAGGTTGGTGGCTGCAAGATACCCAAAGGTAAGCACAAGAAGTTTGTCGGGGGTGAAGCAAGCGACTTGTTCTGTTTTGGAGAGGACGATGATGGCGACTGGGTCGAAGATGAAAGCAGAGAGGTGGAGATGTTTGATGCGCCGATTGATGATCAATTGGAGAAGTTGATCGAGGATGCACTATCTGCTGTGGCGACATCGACGAGGGAGCGGACCATGACCAAGCCCACCATTGTGGCGGATGAGGCATAGCGCAAAGACTAGTATGGCGAAGTTTGTAGCTGGAAAAACAAAAAAGTATTATGCTGTAGTATTATGTAATCAGACGAAAACGCTGCCAAGGCTAGCGATGCCTCTTCGGTGATGACGCTGGCATGGATTTGGTCGGCCAAAATTTCCATGGAGGATCTTCAACCACGAGGCAACTACACGCCCGCCCCCAAGTTCTTGCTGCAACTGCACCATTTCCTCTAGTTGTCTTCTGGCGTTTACAAGTCTTGCTTTTGTTTCTCTTGGTTTGTTCGTTTAATACCCCCCATAGACTTTGCACTGGTCCGGACGCTTTGAGGAAAATGCTCTCGCGAGCCGCAGGGCGGAAACTCCGCAGAAATGCCTTCAGGACGCCCACGACCCTTTCAGACCAATTAACGCTGCCATGGCTCTGCCCAGCGTTGTCACGGAGGACCTCGTACGCACCTTCCGCATCCTCGACAAACACACACGACTCGAGTCGACGGCAGCGGCAACGGCCCTCTTCACTGTCCATACGGCACGAGACACGCTCCCTCGCCACATCCGCCGAACTGCAACCCCCACCTTCCTCGCCGCTTTCCTTCGATCCCTTTGCGCAATCCTTCGGGCGCCAAGTCCAGTCTCCCGACCTCTCTCGCATGCCGCAATGGGACCCTCGAAATCCCCTCGTCGTCCGAGACTCGCTGACTGCGTTGCCTGCGTTGCGTCCCCGCGACGGCGTCGTCGGTGACCTCGTCGAGCTGCACCAGAACCTATACGCATGTCTGCGCGTCGGGCGTCTGGACCGGGCCGCCATCATCATCGACCGCCTTGCCACCGTCTACAACAAGGATGCGCCAGAACTCATCGACGCACACAACGCCTACTTGCAGACGCTGCTCGACCTCGGCCAGCTCGATCCTGGTGTGGAGAGCATGAAGAAGATTGAGACCTGGTGCAATGACCACATGCTAGCCAAAGATGTCCCACCAAACGCGCAGACATTTGTTACCCTGATCCGATCGGCCATGAACTTTCTGGAAGAGGGTGACGACGAGGCCGCAGTACGAGAATACATCGGCACGGCACGGGAATATGGCGAAGACATCCTCGACCAAATCAACGCTTCGCCCGAGTTCTCCGATGAGGAGTGGGATCTGTTAATCCGCCTACAACCAGAATCCTTCCAAGAACCTCCGCCCGTCGACCATGTTCAGCATCTCCATGTCAGCACGCCCTCGGGTCGCAAGAACCTTATCGAACACGGCCTGGTATCCCACCCATCACAGCCGATCAAACCAGTTAAGCAGAAGGGCATGGGTCTGGACTCGCTGAAACAAGCTCTTACCATTTTCGACGATGAGGCCCGCGTTCCGTACCCGCACGATATGCCAGGAACCCAGGAAGAGAAGGACCAGGCCTACGCATACGCACGCCAATTACAGATGGAACAGGATGGCATCGAGGCCGCAGTCAGGAGATGGAAAGCCGAGGACGAGAAACTACAAGAAGTGGGCGTCTATGGCGTCATGAACAGCAAGCCTATCCAGGCCGTCATGTACGGCTGGTACTCCGCCCTCGTGCCGCTGTTCAAAAAGCGTATCGAACAGGCCAAGGAGGTTCTGTCCGATTCCAAAAAGTCCACGGCGCGTGACGAGGTTGCTGCCTATGGTGTCTGGCTGGAAAGGTGCAAGCCTGAGAAGCTTGCGGCAATCACCGTTGCTCGGGCTACCCAGGCCGCAGTGAAGGCCAAGGATGAAGACAATTCTGCCTACAAGATATCGGCCCTGTCTATCGCCATTGGTAACGATATCGAGGAATACCTCGACGCTGATTCGCGGGCTCGGCGAGACGCTTTCCTGAGAAAGCAGCGCAAGCAGACTCGAATGAACTTGATCAATCAACTTTCCAAGGAGATCCGGGAGGCGCCTTCCAGCCTACCATCTTTGAAGACGTCGTATCCACTCGAGAAGGCCGATATACCACTAGGGGTACGAACAAAGCTTGGGGCTTCCTGCTTGGAGCTCTTGCTTCAATCTGCAACCCTCACCGTCACCGCAAAGGATCCAAGGACAGGGAAGCAGATATCCCGCAGTATGGCCGCCTTCCACCACGCAGTCGGTTATCGTAACGGCAAGAAGGTTGGCTACCTTGTGCCACACCATGAGCTCTCTAACAAACTGCGAACCGATTCTGTTCATAGCATCCAGACTGTCAGGCTGCCAATGGTAGTCGAACCGAAATCATGGTCTAGTTACGAAGATGGCGGATACTACACTATTCCGCAAAGAGTCATTCGTTCAAAAGTCGGTGATACTGCGCAGAAAGCCTATGCCCAGTCAGCCATAGAAAATGGTGACATGTCCAAGGTCATGGCTGGCCTCGACGTGCTTGGCAGAGTACCTTGGCAGATTAATGCCCCTGTTTTTGAAGTCATGGCTCGTGTCTGGAACTCGGGAGAGACTATTGGAGCTCTCGTTGGAGAAGATTCCATTACCAACTACACGCGTCCCCAAGAACCTCCAGCCAACGCGTCAGTCCAGGAACGATCGAAATGGAGCAAAGCTCTGAAGGAATACGAGAATCACATCGGCGGTCTTCACTCACAGCGATGTTTTCAAAATTTTCAATTGGAGACAGCGCGAGCATACCTGAACGAAAAAAAAATGTTCTTCCCTCATAGCGTCGACTTCCGAGGCCGCGCATATCCGATCCCACCCATCCTTAATCATATCGGGTCTGATCTCTCAAGGGGACTTCTCAAGTTTGCGCACGGCAAAGAGCTTGGTACTGTGGGTTTACAATGGCTGAAGATTCATCTAGCCAATCTTTACGGTTACGACAAGGCTAGCCTACGCGAACGCGAACAATTCACAACGGACAACCTGGACGAAATTCGCGATTCCGCGACGAATCCACTGGATGGTAGACGGTGGTGGGTAAAGGCGGAGGATCCTTGGCAATGTCTGGCCTGTTGCATGGAGCTGAAAAGAGCTTTCGACCTACCCGATCCGACTCGGTTTGTATCTCAGTTTCCAGTTCACCAGGATGGAACGTGTAATGGACTTCAGCATTACGCAGCCTTGGGTGGTGACTATGCTGGTGCTCGCCAGGTCAACCTTGAACCCTCCGACAGGCCGCAGGATATTTATACTGGTGTTGCTGAACTCGTAAAAGAGATGGTCGCAAAAGACGCCGCCGAAGGTCTTCCAGTAGCGTCCTTTGTTGACGGCCACATTACGCGAAAAGTTGTCAAGCGAACAGTCATGACTAACGTCTACGGAGTCACCTTCATGGGAGCGAAAGAACAGGTACACGACGAGCTACGTAACTTATTCCCTCATTTCGAGCCTACAAGCAAGGTCCGGGCACTTGGTGCCGTCGCTTTGTATGTGGCGCATAAGATCTTTGACGCGCTGGGCAAGATTTTCAATGGTGCTCAGGAGATTCAGTACTGGCTTGGGGAATGTGGTGAACGCATCACGACATCGATTACTGCCGAGCAAGTCAAAAGGATCAAAGACCGCTTCGAAGGATTGGATCCTTCGAATGCGTTGTATGACCCGAAGTTTATGGCACCAAAGAAGGTTACCACAACCCAGCTCAACAAGTTCAACAAAGGCATGGAGAAGTTTCAGACTAGCATCATTTGGACAACGCCACTCAAGATGCCAATTGTCCAGCCATACAGGAAGGAAAGTAACCAGACGATCAAGACTAAGATCCAGAACATTACGGTGTCAAAGAGGTCTCACCAGAATGAGGTCGATAAACGCAAGCAGCTACAAGCATTTCCGCCCAACTTTATTCACTCTCTCGACGCAAGCCATATGCTGCTTTCGGCGTTGAAGGCCAACGAGATGGGGCTCGACTTCGCCGCTGTCCACGACAGCTTCTGGACACACGCTTCTGATATCCCCAATTTGAATGTCATTCTTCGTGACGCATTCGTACGCATGCATAGCGAGGATGTTATCGACCGTCTTGCTGCCGAGTTCTCTGCGCGTTATGCAGGTGCTATGTACCGAGCGACTCTTTACAGCGGAGCAGAGGTCAGCCGGAGGATCTCAGAATGGAGATTAAAGTATCGCCAGGAGAAGAATACTACCACAAGATCAAGTGGCAAGCGATACGGAGACACCTCCTTTGAGGAAGTTGCACTGGAGGCTAAGCGACAGGAATTGCTGAAAAGTGAAGATGCCGAGGAGAGGAAACAGGGCGAGGCAATGGTCACGCCGACCAGCATCTGGCTTGCGGACCAAGACTTCAAAGCATTCCGCTCGGCCAGACTCGCTCTGCTCGGTGAGTCTAAAGACAAACAGTCTGCCGATAGGGAAACAAAGACTATGGATGAGGCATTGGGTGATGAAGTTGATGCTATCACCACCACTGAGTCAACGATCGATGTTGTGGAAGACGAGGCCCAAGATCTCGCAAAGGACCCACAAAGCGGCGGTGTAGCCAAGAAGAAGAAGGCGTCGTCTGGCCTCGGCCACGAGAAGAGCACAATTCAAGTATGGATCCCGCTCAGCTTTCCACCTGTTCCGCAGAAAGGTGGGTGGGACGTATCCCGTCTCCGGGAATCCAAGTACTTCTTCTCTTGACTCAGCCCAGCGCTTCGGGGCGATGCTGAGCGCGAATTCTTCGCGCCAGACGAACGCACCCCGGTAGCGATTGCAGCAACACAGAAGATTCGCCAAATTACACTGCAAGGTCGCCTGGGAGAATGCGGTTGGAATGTCAAGATTCGTCCAGAGGCGTGGTGGAGGGAAGATCACCCCGGCAGTTCGACGAGAGAGGGGCGGAGGGGAAAGATTGGAGAGAAGAGAGGAAGGAAGAAGAAGGGTTTATGATTGATTGATTTACCATACCTCTGCGATCGGCGTCATGGCGGGTTTACTGTGGATTTTTGCATTGCTTGGTGTTTTGGTAGGATCGGATACTGGAAACCCCCCTTATGGTAAAGCTTTGTAAGAAGGGGAATGATACCCATGAATGCCCATAAGCTAGAGTACTTCACCTATCGGGCTTGTTGTACTGAATGTTGACGATTACCGTTTCAAGACTTTGTTGTGCTCCTACAGCGACATGTTAGGTCTATCGGGTTCGCTGAGTAGAAAAACGTCGACAATAAACCGAGGTTGACCCTAGCGTTGGGAACGCACGTGGGCAGGCAAGGGGACTTTGCGGGACGCGGTTGCCGCCGCGAGATAGGGCAACTCGTTGTTGCGACCATAAACCGCCCCCACCTAACGACTCCGGCATGTCTCCACGTCAGCCTTATCTCTTGCCTGCTTGCCTTCTTCGCCCTATCGGCAATATACTGGCGATACACGATACCAGGATCGTTTGCAGCCAGGCGAGAGGCGTAAGTCCTTTTGCCAGAAGCAGCTACCACGCAGGCGTACTTCATGGGCTCAAGCCCGGCAGCCACCAATATTTTGGAGCGGCTCGTCTCGTGCAATCAAGACATGGCAGACATAGGGTAAGGCTAGACAGAGGACCTGATAGCAGAAAGGTGAGATCGTGCAAGACCTGACGCTGGTACTCAAAAGTTCACCGGTGAACAATAAGGCTCGGGATCCGCATTAGACCGCCTCCCATGGGGCCCTACACAACCACATTCCTATTGGATATGCCACTGGAAGGCAGCCACTGCGAGATATACGAGGTGGCGCTGCAACCTAGTGACTGTTTGTTAAAGCCGAGGCGCACCCAACCTGCCAGTTGCACGGCGAGTTCTGCCTCGCGCACCCTGCGGTCGACATGACTACCAACTTCAAAGAGTGCGCCAAACGATTCGCAGAAAACTCAACACTCCGCGAAACATGGGGTTGGCATGGTAAGATCATCGGCATCGATTATAACTCTACGACTCAGATATCCCGTGAAGGGTGCATATACCTTTGTGGTAACGGCGCGGATTACTACCCGTGGAAAGACGTTTCAGGTGTAATCACCACTTGGATACTCCCAATCATCGGTGTTCTTTTGCAGGCACCTTTTGAGAGCAACGCAACTCAACGAACATTGTTGGCCATCACGCGGTGGGTTGGCTCACCCATCGCATCGATATCCTACGTCCTATGGAATATCAAAGTGTCTGCCAAGGCTGCCATGATGGTTGACATGGCTGTCAAGTATGACGAGACCCCCCATCGCAAGACCGACTTCGGTAGCATGCGAGACTCTATGTATCTCTTGCTGGTTATGAATCAGTACACGCTAAAGCCTACGGTCATGTCGAAAGACCTTCAGAAAGAAGCCGAGGGCCTGTTGCGCATCACGCTCTTTAGCAAAGACCTTGTATTAACAGATACCGACAAGACGCTCCGTCAAATGAGACGCATACTCGCTCGTGAGGTGCGTGAGATGAGAAGAAGAGGGACCGTTCCGGGTATATACGCTTTCTCCAACGTTACCACAGCCGCTAATTGATGCTCAGTCTTTATATCCATCATGTGGTTCTTATTCGCATTTGCGCTTTCCATTCAAGATGCTTTCGGTGACCTGGGAAACAACTCGACTGCTCACGATTTGGCATTGGGCTGTTTGCTGGCCTGGTTCCCAGTTCTAATTATGGGCTCTATTGTTGACCGCAATCCCATAGCAGCAGAAGCGATCCGCAAAAAGCTCAGCACCTTGGTCGATCACGTCCGTCACGCACTACGCGACAAGCAACATCGGGACGAATTCATCAAGACCTTTAGAGATCAGCCAGACTACCATGAGCTGAAGTGCCGTATCGAAAGTGTGGCGGACAAGGGCGAGTACATGGAAGAATTCTTCGTGGATTTTGCTGGCCAGGCGAGAATACGATGGCATTATGGCGCAGCACATGCAATTCTCTCTGATATAGAAGATTGCTATATTGAGAGAAAAGGCCGTAACTGGCTGGCTAATGAGCGCGAAGCACGAGCAAGTCTTGTGCTGGGACCTGTCAATGAGGAAGGGTTGGTTTGGTTCGATGTCCGCGAGTTCTGGCAAGTGCTTAGTGCCATCATCATCGTTGCTGGAAGTTGCGGAGGTGCATTCATCTTAAGTTACTTCACACCCACCGTTGGCCTCGGTTGCCGCAGTGGAGGATACACCATCTTCTTCGCTGTTGCATTGGGGCTGCTTATTGTCGAAATGACCGTCTGGATGTTCCTTTCGCCGTACGAGTTCGATGCGCTATGTTCGCCGTGGCTGGGTAGGGTTGGAAGTCGTCTACACAGCCATGTCACCTTTAACCATTGGGAGGACGATGCACAGGCGAGCTGGGGAAGACTCAAGCGAAGAGCGTCGCGAATAGCTGACGCTATGAGCAGCCTTTTGATCCGTTGTATAGTCTCCATGGTTCTTGTAGCACCTTGGGTGGACAGAGGAGCCACTAAGGAAAAGATTCAGGTAGCATTGGAGAGGAAAAGAACTAGTTTCCGTGAAATGCCTCTCAAAAGGAGGTGGGAGCTCTTCTTTTTCCGGCCAGTAGAGACATTCAACACCATATGGTTAGTAAGTCATATTCCTGTCGACATCGCAGCAATAAGATCACCGGCTGATCGAATACAGATATACATCGTCATGGCGCAGGTTTTTGGTTGGTACAAAACTTGCGATTGCATGACCAGTAATTGGGCTTGGGGAGGTGGATACCTTGATTTCAGTCAGCAAGGGTAAAGTAGCCATCTCACGTAGAAAATATGGTTAACAATAGCTAACTACTAAATAGTACGTCCTCAATTTACTACTCACCCCCTGCAGAGATAGGAGAAAAGGGAGATACGGTTGCTTTTTTTTCCTTCAATCTACCAAAGCAGGACAGGTTTAATACGATACGCTCAATAGTCTACGGTACATTATTACCTGTGTTGACTGCTTAATAGATCAGTCAAATAGCCTATGGGTCGCCTGGTGCTGGATCTCCGGGACTGTCTTGACAACAACAGTGATGGGCTTATCCATGTTCTACATCACTGTCGAGGTAAGTTGTGCCTGTACGAGCTGTATGTGAGATATTCACTAACTTTGTGTCTTCATCTCTGCAGTGGTGTCAACAGTCCTTCTTATCGACCGAAGATTACGAAGACGCTATGAAAGGACTGAGAATGACACGAGCCTACCGGTCATGGACGCTCTTCGCTCGCCGTACCTCTCGTGTTACAATGAACCAGTTAGAAAAGCTTGCTCTTGCCATTGGTTTGATCAAGAAGCGTAAAAAGACGCTCATGTGGACAAGGCATCACACATGGAATCCGCTTGTTCCTCACCGGACTTCTTCATCAGGAAGAGACCATTTCCGCGGAGCGCCGTCGATTGAACTGACACCTTACGACAACGATAGAGTGCCCGATGTTGTCTTTGAAACCCCAGCAATGGCTCACTCATTGTTTCCACCAGCTATTACACCACGTCGGACACGCAACGAGAGCGACGCCTCCCTCGATCCACTTGACCTACCCGGTCGGCCCCGCACAAGCGGCGACTCTTCGACACCCCTTATACAAAGGCCGTCGCAAGTGTATCAGCAGAATGAAATAGACGGCCATATGGTGGGCGAAGAGCGCAGAAGCTCAGAGACTCCTCTCTTAGAAACAGATCTGGTGCGTAGTGACGCACAGACAGGGCCACATATACAGGATGCAGTGCAGAACCGGCAGGGCTATCATCGTGCACACTCGGATCAGGGATCTGCACGTCAGTCGAGAGATACTGAACACGCTGGTTTGGGGATATCGTCTTCCTCGCAAGACCATAACTACGGGTAGACTTAGACAGTCTTATTGTAAGAAGAAGTTTGCTTTGATATAAAGGACAATTACATGAGCAGTTGAACTATGCATAGACTCTTGCATCTGTTGCATAGGCTGTACTATACACGACATCTGTGTCTATCCACCAAGCTCGCAGACTTGACATAGTCGAGCAACGACTTGGGTATCTCCCATAGGAATAGAATAACAAAAGAACAAATACACCATACCCTCCGAATGCTTTTGAATAGATGGATGTCCCCCATGATGCTCTCCGAATTACGCCGTGCCATGCGCCACCAGTGCCATGTCCGGCTGTGCTAAAACGTAAAGTTGTTGTTGCTACCGTACTCCATACCGGCATCATCGCCCAGATGATCCACATTCATAAATTCATCAATGGAAAATGGATCCGCCATGCTACCAGCACCCATATTCAGGTCCATTCCATCGTGGGACTGCTGCTGTTGACCGATTGGTTGACTCGGAGGTTCCAGGCCCTCGACGATGCGTGTTCCCTTGGGCACGGAAGCCCCAAAGGCACCAATGCGGTCGGACTGCGCCACGCTTGCTCCCTTGCCCTTGCCTGTTGCATCGCCGCGCGAGTTCATCCAGATGCCATTACCGCCCTCGCCGTTCTTTACAGCTTTAGCGAAAGGATCCTGGAATATAAGACTCGTCTCATACCATCGACCTTTGATGTCGTCGATGTCGATCTTGTATGATGGTTGGATGAGCTTCCACCACGCCGCCGTGCGGGTTATAGGCACGAGCATTCGGTTTCGCCATACCATGTCGTGCACCATGCGCGAAGGAATGTTGGTGTTCTGCTGAGGCGGTTTTGGAGGGAGGTTGGCGTCTGGCGCATCCAAAGTGGCATAGCTATATATGTCACCGACTGCGATGACTTTGCTCTTGGGCTGGTTGGGCGGTGGGTTGGCATAGATTTGCTCGATGATGTCAGTGACGACCATGAGGTCAGTTCCGGTAGCGCCTATGCGCAGGCGGACGGCCTCGCCTTTCCAGATCTTCTCAGCGCCAAGGTACATGCCGTTGTATTGGCGAAGTTCGTTTCCCTTGTCGTCCTTTGACGTTTTGAGGGGCTCGAAGAGCGTATATGTTGTGTCAATGGCTTTTGCAGCTAGAATTGATGCATCCACGGACGCGATGCCCTCGCCTCCCTGTCCACTTATGAGGGCCCTCCAGTCAGTGTTGCCATATTCGAATTGCGGATTCTGTTGTAGAAAGGGGAAGGTGCAGCTGGGCGCAGACCACGCGAGCCAGGGCTTGACGTGCTCATCCGTATGAACGATTTCTTGTGGAGGCGTCTCAAAGGGGTGCGACAGTGGTTGGATCAAATATGACCTGCTCATGGGTTGTTCTTTGACGGCCCATCTTCGTACTACGAGTCCCAGACCCCAGGCTGACGTCTTGGGCCTGAAAAACCACACCACCTCTCCAGTTCGGCAGAGAAATTTGTTGTATGACAAGTCGACTTGCTGTTCAAAGGACCGCGGCTGAGGGAGAGGGGTGGATTGCAGGGTTGGAGGGGCTCTGATTTGCGGAGCACTGGGTGCAGGTGCAGGCTTGTTGGCAGAAACGGGCGTCGAGGGCTTGATGATGGGACTGGGGATAGGCGCACTGGTTGAAGGCCTTTTGGGAGGGATTTGTACTAGGGGATTGCGCCCGACGACGGTGCTGTTTGGTGTAGCGGCGCCGGAGCTGTTCTCTCGCTTGATGGCCATGGGCTGCTCTTGCTTGGCTTCCACCTTGACTTGGTGCTTCTCGACATCTCCGGCAGGCGAGCACATCTTGCACGTGCAATTGGCCATGTCGCTGTTCTCGTCGGTGCACAGCCACAGGAGATGGGGGAAGAATTCGACGGGACTCCTGAAGCGTTTCTTGGGGCCCTTTGGGTATCCGTAGAGATATGCATCTTGTCTGTCGTGGCCGCCGCCCGAGTGGTTCTTGACCGTCTTCAGCTGCCCGTCTGCCTTTGTCTTGATGTGCTCGTAGAGGACGTAGTTTTCCGGCAGCTCCCACAGGATGCATTGCTGCCACTTGTCTTCTTGCTGCTTGCCGCCCACCTCGCGCAGAAGCATGCCACCCAGCTTCTTGCGCCAGTCTTGGTGCTTCGGGTCGTCCTTGTCTATGAGGCGGTAGAAGTCGCGCTGGCCTTGGTCGTTGGGCGTCGTGTTGAGCTGTTCCTCGGTTGGGCCGTTTCGCAGAGGACGGCCTTTGAGGTTGACAATGTGCTGCCCATCTGACTTGGACGCGAAGATGGGGAAGAAGGGCGTCATGGGCTGTTGAGCCATGGTGTGCGAGTGGCTTGACAAATGTCACGTCTGCTGGTAGCTCGGAATGGTTCCGGAAGGGCCCATGGCAAGTCGCGCTAGGACGCGTCTGCGAAGATTGACGTATCGCCTCCGCGTACCTGACGGCGCCGCGACGTCTCACTTCACCGTGACCGTGAAGACGCCCAGTCGTCCCGATGCCCTCGTTTGGATGCGCTGAATCGCTTGCTCTCCTCTTCACCGTCACTTGCCTCGAATAAAGTTTTTTTTTTTTTCTCCCCGTCTTCTAAACTGTCTTCGTCCATTTCCAACTTTCCCTGCATTTCCAGGCTTACAACTCTGCTTCACCGTGGAACCCACTCGCACACACAGTAACGCATACCTGTCACAATGGCCCGGCAGCCGGTCATAACTCTGGGCTCTCCCCAGCCCGTCACCCCCAAGAGACGAGGCGGCCAGCTGCAGGACCTCCTCGCGCAGTTTGGATCTCAGAGTTCAGCGCAGTCGGCAACCAAGAGAAGACGTATATCCTCGCAGCACGAGACCAAGCAAGGCGAGACAGGCGACAGCAAACGGAGCCTACGACCGCAGCCGACACCAAACTACATCGCTTCCGATTCATCCGCAAACGAAGCCTCCCCGTCTACTCCCGACCACAAACAGCCCGCTGTCAAAGCCAGCAGGAGAACTCGTGCCTCGACCTCAGGACAAGCAGACGCCGACGCGGGAACCAGCCAAGACGAACTCGCCCCATCCGCCCGCCCAAACCGCAAGACTAGCGCCAGGATCTCTGCATACACTGAAGAGCTGAAGATGGAGAAGCACAGAAAGCATCGCCAGCGGACAGAGGGTCTGCGGCGAAGCGGGCGTGACAGGAAGACCACTATCTTGGAGTCGGACACCGTATCCACCCCCTCGCCACCTCGCCGAAAGGCTGCGCGACCGCCTCCTAACCTCGACACCGCTCGTGCTCGTCTGCGCGACGAGATCACTAACAAGACCAAGGCGAAGGCGAACAGCTTTCTTGTCGCCAACAGGCATCTCTTCCTCCCGCTACTGCCTAAGAACAACCAGGTAGCGAGGTTGGTCGCCGAGGGCAATACGCAGCCTATCGTCGAATACGAGGAGCTCTTGGAGCAGCCCAAGGGTGTCACTGCTGTCATGAAGCCATACCAACTATCAGGTCTGTCATACTTGGTTCATCTTTACAACAACGGTTTCTCTGGCATACTCGGCGACGAGATGGGTCTTGGAAAGACGCTGCAGACCTTGTCGCTCTTCCAGTATCTCGAAGAGCTGGATGAGAGGAACGGCGTGACGTCAGAAGAACTTCGCCCATACCTCGTCATCTGCCCTCTTAGTGTTCTCAACTCGTGGGTCACCGAGGCCCAGAAGTGGGTACCGCAGCTAAAAGTCATGCGCTTTCATGGCGCTGTCACTGAGCGGACCCGTCTGAAGCGCGTTGCAGCTGGCATGGAGGATATGAAGGGAAACGAGACTTTACACGCCAAAAACACGAAGGCCTCGCGCAAGGCTGGCCGGAAGGCATCCAAGCTCTCCTCGAGCAATGGAGGATCCGATGCCTACAAGATTGTCGTCACCACTTACGAGACCTTCCAGGCCGAGCAATCATGGTTCAAACACTCTTTTGCCTGGCGCTACGTCGTTCTGGATGAGGGACATAAGATCAAGAGCAGCGTCACCCAGATCTCTACTGCACTCAAGAGCATCAGCGCCGAATATCGTCTCATCCTAACGGGAACACCACTCCAGAATAACCTGGTCGAGATGTGGTCGCTCTTGACATGGCTGTACCCCAACGTCTTCGATGACAAGACTGCGACGCTATTCAAGGAATCTTTTGACCTAAGCAAGGGCAAAGCGAACAAGCAGACCATGACAGACGCCCGTCGCTTGCTTGAACTTATCATGCTACGTCGCATGAAAGATTCTCCTTCTGTCAATCTTGGACTCCCTCCCAAGGAAGAGGTGCTGCTCTACGTACCCTTGACGCCCATGCAGAAGATCTGGTACACTCGTCTGTTAACACGCATTGACGACGGCATGCTCGACGAGCTTTTTGCGGACGGCAAGCAGAAAGAGAAGGCGGCTATTGAACAAGACATTGAAGAAAACAAACTCCTTCAGAAGATGGAAAAGGTAGACAAGGTGGTGCGCTCTGGCGATGCCGGAAGTGATTGGGACGAAACTACCAAAATCTTACAAGAAGCCGTGGCGAAGGAGCAGGCTGACACAGATGCCAACAAGGGCGCTTGGAAAAAGCTCATGAACCTCGTCATGCAATTGCGCAAATGTTGTTCACACCCATATCTGCTCCCAGGTGTCGCGCCTGATCCGTACTACCTCAGCGACCACATCATTCGCGCATCCGGCAAGTTTATTCTTCTCGAGAAGCTCATCAAGCACACGGTTTTTAACGAGGGCAAGAAAGTCCTTATTTTCTCTGGCTTTACTCGCACGCTTGACTACTGCGAAGATCTCTTATCCCTCATCAGCAACCATGGAGAGCATTTCAAGGCCCTTCGCCTGGATGGTAGCACAGCTCGAGCTCGCCGCAACCTGGATATTCGCCTCTTTAACCAGAAGGACTCAGACTACAAGGTCATGCTTCTCTCTACACGGGCAGGTGGCTTGGGCATCAACCTCACGAGCGCCCAAGACGTCATTTTCCTTGACGAAGATTGGAATCCGCAGATCACACTTCAAGCTGAAGCTCGAGCTCATCGCATTGGACAGACAAAGAAGGTGACCATATACAAGCTCTGTACCCAGGGTACCGTCGAAGAGCAGATGATGGGTCGTATTCGCAAGAAGCTTTACTTGTCGGCAAAGATCACAGAGTCGATGCAGAGCGTGCATGGCAAGCAGTCGACTATCAGCAAGAAAGCCGGACGCGTATCTGCTACCGAAGACTTACCCCAGATGGGCACTACACAACTGAAGACACTTGTTCGACGAGGCGCCCAGACACTGTCACATCCGGAGATTGACGTCAAAGAGATGGTGTCTTGGGATTTAGAGACAATGATGGCCAAGTGTCGCGACAATTCTGCAGACTTGACCGAAATAGCGACACACTCTGAGGCTGACGAGGATAAATGGCTTTCTACCATGGAGCGTGTCGAATGCGCTGTGTTTGAGGGCAAGCACCACCAACGCCAGCTGGACACAACCTGGAAGGCTAATACCTCAGCTGCAAATATTCTTCCAGACACCATCACGCGCGAGGATCGTCGCAAGGGAAAGAACACTACAGTCATGGTGGACGGCTTTGCTATCAACAAAGAGTCCATGGACTGTGCCGACTGGGAGGCTGTACCGACGTACGCTGGCAAAGATCCTCGTCTTGCTGAGCCGGTACGTGAAAAGCGGCGCCAATTTGGCCATGAGGACCATTGTCTAAGCTGTTTCGACGATGCGGATGCTGGACACATGGTCGAGTGTAAGGGTTGCCCTCGTGCTTACCATATCGACTGTCTTGATCCCGAGTACAAGGCAAAGGTGAAGGGCTTCAGTGGCTTTCAGTGCCCACAGCACAACTGCGCAGAGTGTGGGAAGTCGACCTCGGATGCTGGAGGCCTCATGTTCCGCTGCCGTTGGTGTCCACAAGGCTTCTGTGAGGATTGTCTCGACTGGGACAAGACTGAGCTCATTGGCGAAAACCTTCCCGAGTTTGAATTAATGGGCGAGGATTCCACGACTGGCGGTTTCTACATCAAGTGTCCCACTTGTGTCGATGAGAGCGAGGAACAGAAAGCGTGGGTGGAGAACAAGGAGAAGGAGTACAAGAATCAACATGATATCTGGCTACAGGAGCGTGAGGAGATGCAGCGTCAGCTGAACGAGTACGATGCGAACGGCAAACAGGAGAGCGAACATTACAAGGCGAACATGATCAATGCGAAGACCAACAGCCGCCTCCCGCAGCTTATCGAACCTCAGCTCAAGCACGAGAACGACATGCTTGTCGACGACGATGATGTCACCTCTCCACCTGCTCTTACTGACACTTCGCTGCCTACTCCCGCGCTCGGCGGCTCTCGCGTCGGCACACCCATGTACACAGAGCCTACGCAGAATAGCAAGAAGGCCAACAAGAGAGGCGAAGCATTCGGTGAGACGCGCGCGGAGAAGCGGGCTCGACTGAATGCGCACTCTTAGACTATTCATGAGGATCCATTCATGGAGACTGTAAAGATATCAAAGTGTTGAAAGCACAAGACAGCGCAATCTCGGCTTGTTGAGAAACACCAGTCTTGGCAAGGAAAGAGTTGTAACAGTCGTATCTTGAGCATTCCGAGGGCGTTTGGGAGTTTTGTCTGGTAGCTTTGATGGATATACCCCCTTTGGCATTCAAAGCTCTAGTACCGTTGAGACCAGTCGATACATTAGTGTTAAGAGCGATGGTAGCAACGATTGTGCGACTGGCGCTTGACATGAGTGTTGCGCAATACAGTAGCATAGAGCGATGATAATGAAGCCTCTTATTGAATTCACCATCAATGTCGTGATTCGTTCCTTACTCTTGGTATTAATCATACTTGTCAAGCTGTCAGCAACGGCTCTCTGAGCCTCCAATTGATGGACGTACCTATGCATCCCGCCCTCTCATGTCCCGCGCTTTCGCTTCATTTTCCTTCACCTTCTTTGCCTTCGTTTCCGTCCTCCTTCGTACCTGAGTGCCGTCAGGCCCAACTTTTCATCCGAGAGTCCTCACGGAACACGTATGACTAACCAAACATGCTCCCCCCACCTCCACCCATCCTGCCTCCCCTCTGTGCCTCCCTAACCAGCCACTCCCTCAAAAAGTCCTTATTACGCATCTCCTCAGGCCGCGTCAACCTGGTATCAAACTGCGCCTCTTGTCGCGAAAACGCCAACAATGTCGGCATACTGCTGATGCGGTATTTGATAGGTAGATCTTCAATCAAAGTACTATCCATCATCACTTCCACAAAGCCCAGCCCGCCTTCTCGCTCCCCAATCTTCTCTTCTTCGACAAGCTGTTTTACAAGCGGCTTGATTGCTTGGCACGTTTGACACCAGGATGCGGTCCATAAGGTTATAAGCGAGCGGTTGTCAGCAGCGTTGAGAAGAGTGAGTGTGTGGAGATCGTTTGGTTGGCGGACAGGGTCAAAGACGCGGTTTGTGTGAGAGCGCGATTTGGGGTTCAGGAGGGAGAAGGCGCGTTTGTTTGTGGTTGTGATGGCATTGAGACGGAGAGTGGAGACAAGGGTTGGTCGTAACATTTTTGCGGGTTGTTACGTGGGATCGTGTGTTTGGAGATTGGAAATGGAAGCTGGGGTTTCGCGGGTGAACTTGACGCGTGCAGGTTTTGGGACGACGTCATCGGCTGCCAAGACCGGGGTTGCACCTAATCGCGTCTGCGCACCACAAACGACAACATCTTACCATGCTTGTAAGAATCAACTCCTTCTACATTCAATTTGATACAGTGCGCTACAGATACATCATCATTCCATTCGCGGTACAAATACAACGCCAGGGCACATTTCAGTACGTGTCAAGGAAAGACAAGACATCGCCTAATCGCTGTCTCTTCCTCAAAGGCGTTGGACGAGCTGAATCTACTACCTCCATGTCACAATCAAGCTGTGTATCGCGTGTGAATGCCTCACAGTAACCAGATTTCTCTCCTGGCTTGCGCTTCTTACTGTTGATCGTAGCAGCTTGTCCCCTTCCACCATATCCATGTCGAATCTGAGATCCCCCACCAAGCTTCTGGGTCGTATATTTAGGGTGACCAAAGAAACCCAGATCTGGGTCATCGTAGCTTCTCCACAAACTGTGCTTTTTGTTTCCCTTTTTGTTGTTCACCTCTGTCTTCGCCTTTCTTTTCTTCAACGCAGCGTTCGTCCAATGTACAGGATTGTTACCTTTATCGTAAGGTAGGTCCGCCTCAGACATCGCTGAGACAGTGATTTCATTTTGTTCATTCTCCCGAATCTTATCGGCCAAGGAATTCTCGTTTCCCCAGAAGTCTGTCATACGAAACTGACGATCAGGTCTTATATCGTCTTTCTCAAGTTGCTTTCTAAGTGCTAATCCTCGAACATCGCACAAATCTGCATGGGCCTCCTCAAGCTGAGTTTTGTTGAAGTCCAGATTCAACCTTCCATTCCGAGCCAAGTCGTTGGCATAGTCCATACAAGCGTCCGGGCTCCAGTCATCGGACGGAAAGGCTCCGATACTGTCATGTTGTCTGCCTGGAGGTAGCCAAATCCTGTTGGCATGCCCCAGTTCATTTACATCTAGCATTTCAGTATCCATACCCGCAAAATGAATGTCCTCTAACTGAATGATATACTCCCGTGCTTCTTCGACACTTCCTTCATTCAAAAGTGCCGTGGTATGAGTAAAACGCCGGTCGGCCGATACTTCTCCAGAGAGAACAAAGCCGTAGCATACGAGAAATCTGTAGATCAAGCTCCAGTCTGCTCGACCGATACGAGCTAGGTGTATGACATCTTGCAGGTCACCGTAAAATCTATCCGACCACTCAATGTTTGCATTGGGATCTGGAGTCAGACCAAGTGCGAGAGTCCAACCGTTCATGATAGTATAATAACCGCATTCATAGTCGCTAGGCTGTTGGGATACAGGAACCCAAGTTGTGTGCGCAGGCTTATGGTCTTGCCACTGAGATGCTGGAAAAACTTTTTCCAGCCACATTGACTCGAGAACAAATTTCCAGGCCCATTCGTGTATTTTTTTGCGACCATCAGGCGTTATATGGTATGCTTTCGAGTCCAACACTGAAAATTCTGGCTCATTTTTGTCATCGAGCTGAATGACGAGTAACACAAAATGTTCTTCGACATGAACCGGTACTAGTAACGGCCTTCCTGGGCGCGGCGTCCGCATAGCACCTGGAACATTGTTTTTTATGAGTTCAACATAGGTTTGCGTGATAAAACCAAACCCACGTAGATAGTCTTGTTGAGCATTGGTGATCGCAATGGTGACGGAAGCAATAGCGAGTGATAATTCCTCATCTTCTAGCCATTGTCCAAAGACAGTAGTGAGATTCTTAGAATCTCGGAAAGCTTCAAGTTGAGTCTTGTTCTTTTCGTTCTCCAGGATTTCGTTAAGCCTACCATTAAATTGAGCACAAGGCGTTTCTTTGTCTCTGTGAGATAATTTCTGTACTGCACGTTCTATCTGTGGCGAGAGAAATCTGGTAGACTTTCCTGCCTTGATCATCTCAGATATCCGTGTACTTCTGTCGGCCTCGTCGAAATCATCCCATGGGAAGGTTTCGTTATGCGCTAAGCCTGTATCCACTAGGAAATGATCGTAGTTAATGTTGTGACGGGCGCCAGTAGCCCGGAGTGTTCTTTCTTGGTCTGTTTTCCTGCGCTCATAGGGATTCGGTTTCCTGGTAGTCCTGAAACGGCGCTCCAGTGGAGGTAATTGCGTAGAGTGGATATAGCCCACACAGAGTAGGAACGCCCAGATCAGTTTCCAGTCCGCATTTCCATTCTTCACTGCTTGTATGAGAGAGAATGTTTCCTGGAAGAAGCCTTTTCTTGGGCAGAAATCGTTGTTGATAGGCAGACCAAGCAGTACGGCCCACGAATTCATAATGGCGAAGTATCCAGATTCCTCCGCCCGAGATTGCTGGGGTCCGTGCATCCATGTCAGAACTGATCCTACAATAGTCCTGGTTTGAGTTGTACCGGGATGAGTACCAACTTCCAATCGACCAGAATTTTGCAGTAGCCCATGCAAATGGATGCGATCTTTCGACGTGAAAGTCCACGGTGCAGAGTCCAAAACACGCGCTACAGCACAAGGGTAGTCTGCTTTGTTCTCGTGTTGTAAAACTACTAGTGTAAAATGCCCTTCTTCTGCCTCTTTCTGGTGAAGCATCAAGACTACATCGTCCAAGCATCCAGAACTCTTTCCGTCTGAATGCTTGATTACACCATTATATTCCCCCAATGTAAAGCCATGACTGGGTGGAAGTATATCATTGATAGCTCGTCCAACAGCCTCGATACTGTCGTAGACTTCACTGGGTATTAAAGCGGGTATTGTCGCTTCCTCGAGCCCGGTCTCGACGCCCTTCATGATCTTCTCTTCCTCAAAAAGCTTTTGTAACTCCGTATGAAGATGGAGACAACAATCGAACTCATTAGCAACTGGTTCAGTGTCTACATACGGATTTTGTGGTAGTGGAAGTGACGCAGCTGGCGGCGCACGTTCTTTCAAAAATGTTCTCAGCTCTTCTACTGTATCTGTGAATGTCCATCTACCCTCCCGAACGATGGAATCGAGATCACGCCTCTCGCGCTCGCTCAGGGAGTCGGAAGCGAACTTTTGGCGGTGTCGCTTACCGTGTTCGAAGCCAAAAGTGGTCGATTCCATGTCGATCTTGCCTTCAGATTTAGTATTTGAGACTGTTTGGCGAGTGATAAGATCCTGAAAGGAGCACTTGCGCAGATCAAATTGGCGCAACCTTTCCACAAATTTAACCTCTCCGTCTGCTCCTTTGACATCGACCGATTTAACAAATTTGGCGCACTGGCAGAAAGCGAGCAAGACCTTCCATGTCAATTCGCCTTGGAGGGCTAGATCAAAAATCTGCTGGGCTTGGATGAAGAAAGACTCGTAACCGTAGAGGCTGGGGGTAAACGAAGGGTTAGGTTCGAGACCCATAGCCAGTGCCCACGCGTTCAGTACAGTATATATGAAGCTTCCATCGCTGGTGGTGATTTGCGCAGTCGGGATCCATTCAGCATCAGCGGGAAGGTTGTCGATCATGTGGTTTGATGGGTCAAACATATCTTGGCACCACGTGCTGTTGAGCAGTAATTCCTTTGCACGATGGAAAATGGAGGTTCGAATACTCAGTGTTGTTCGCCATGTCATAGGATCGAGGACTGTGAGATTGATCTGCCTGCCAGGCTGATATTGAGCAGCTAGCAGAATGTAGTTTCCGTCTATGTCGAGTGGCACCAGCAGTGTTCTTCCCGGTCCGAAATCTCGCCCCTGAAGCTGGTAACTGAACTCAATACCATCTGATTGTCGCTGATTCACAGCAGCAAGCACCCTAGGAATAAGTTCAGCATATCGAACAGATCGATGAGTAGACAATCGAGCTCGCACATAGAAACAATCTCTCATATCTTCTAGGTCTCCTTCACCTTCTTGATCTTCAGTGCTTGCTATGCTTTCTACGGCTTCCGTACCTTCCGTGTCCCCTGCATTCCCTTCGCTTCCGGATTCTTTCCTTGATGAAAGAGCTGCGACTGGTCTCCATCGCACCGCAATATTCTCCATAGCAACATTGCCATTTCGATCTCGACGATTAAGCTCTTCTCTAGCGACCACTCTACTTGACGCTAGTTGTCTCAAACTGTCCCTAGTCCTGAAGAAGAAGACAGGCTGCGATAGTAGCTCGATGATCGCGTACCCTTCGAGTGGCCCAATGTAGAAAGGCGTGGACGGTAAGTCGTCGCTGTTAGTGTATGTAGTGCCGTTAACTGTTACTGTGATCTCGCGAGGCAATTGAATGAAATAACCCATCAGACCCTTAGTCTTCGAAGATGACCGTCGAACAAGATTAATATGGGCGTGCGTGTTATTAACGGTTCTACATATGGTCAGCTTAAAACGAACTAACGGAACTTCATCGTCTTACACTTCTAGTCGTTCATCTTCATTGAGGACAAAAATATCATCGTTCTCCGCCCGCGAAAGCACTACGGCAATGTTCTGGTCCTCTTCATTGAAATTTTGCTCGAGATGAGCGAGGGTGTAACGGACGTCCTGCACCGTCGTACTCTTTCTCTTGATTTCATTGAAAAGACTGCGTAATGACGCACTGGGACGGTTTTGGTCTGCGGCTAGCAAGTCTTTAGACTTCTTGATTTGGTAGATTGGTGTTCGGTGTTGTGGGTCTGGTAGAGGTGTCTGCTGCGGACTTATATCTTCCCGAGCTCTTTGGTACAGTGCTTGAGCATATTCGATGGTATGTACTTCTTTGTAGATAGATTTAGCCTTTTCTTTTGGTATAGCCCAGTTAACTTCAATCACATGCCGTTTATGATAGCGTTCATCCTCTGACTTCGTCCTTTTCCTGTGTTGTCTGTGCCTCTGATCATCCTTTCCACGTTTTGGAGGCATTCTGGTGGTGTATTACTTAGTATTCGATACAATCTGTTTAGTGAACATAACAACTGCAACTTGAAACCCAGACTTCAGACACACGATAATGTCCCACTGGATATATGCTAGAAGTATGTTCTTTCAGGTAAGGGTCTTTGTCCGTGGGAAACAAGAAACAGATGCCGGATCTGCTGACATATTGCGTGCTATCTTGGCCAGAAGCACAAAGGAAGTCGCGCAGATCCCTTGAACCTAGTGATGTGGCAATCGGAACAAAATCATGACAACATCGGACGACCATGAGCAGCAGCAAGGTCGCTAAGGATATATGTAAGGCTACAAACCAGAAGAAGCTAGTGGAGATTTTAATTAATTTGAGCAATTTCGTCAGCATGATGTTCGTCATCAACAGAGGTCGTTATGAAAGATCCTCGCGCATGGCATAACTACTTTCATCGGTCGTCTCGGTATGCTCGTGAGTTTCGTAGTTGCAGACTGTAGTTTGGTGAATGATTCGATGAACATACATTTACCGGCGTGAAAGGTCATACGAACGGCTATGCACAAAGAAAGGAGTTGATAGATGGACTGCCTTTTCTATTGAATGCATACATGAATGAAAAGACTTTCTTTCATGAATTTCTTGACCCTGGGCGAGAAATTCACAAGGACTGATACATGTCGAGAGTGGGATCTGACGATGAACCTGCTGTATAACTATTCCGCACGATGCAGTGATGCGGTGTGTACCTCCTCCGGGTGATTGACTCGCCACAGGACTCTTCCAAAAGCATACGCACGTCGAGATTGAAGACGCATGTCGAGTTGATGATGCATAATCATGCATAATCATGCCTTGCTTGTGTCTTCGGTAACAAGCTCCGCGACTCGGCTCTCACAGTTCAGCCTTCTTTTGGTACAGCTGCTGTGGTCCAACAGACTGATTCCCGACGAGCTTCACGCTTATATCCAAGAGCTGTCCTCTCTTCTCTTCATATTGTCGCGTTGTGTTGGGAATATCGATCCATGGCGCTGAAAACCGTTGCGTTATTGACATAGCAATGACGATCAGATGCGTGACACCCTAGATCGGCCTCCAACCCAGAGCCGACGCCAGCCCGCATCGTGCGGATGATATTAGCAGCGTCAACGCATGACGAGCTGTTGTAGTAAGAGACCGGCTGTGCAGTGTAGTTGCCATCGCTCGAGTAAGCCCATGCATTGCTGTATGGCTGGTCGTAAGGGTAGTCGTACTGAACATGCTCTGACTTGATTTGGGCAGCTGATGGAGTCATGGGCGTAGTGTAGAGCGTTGCTGGATACGATGCCGGTGGCGGTGTACTCATGGTTGATACCATGGATCCGGGGCTAGGTGAGTCGTTGTAGCTGAGTGCTGTTGGCCGCGTAGGTGGGATTGTAACGGGTGGCACTGGTGGTTTTTGCCGAGGTATTGAGGCAGCTCTTGTATATGAAGGTATAGGCGAGCTTGTAGAAGACACTACGTTGGTATTGACCCTTCGTTCAAGCATCGCATGCAATCTGGAAGCCGCAGTATCATGCTCGTATCGTCGATCAGACATGTCCTCAAGTGCTGCCAAAATCTCGGACTCTGATACTCCTCTTCCATGGAGCAGCGAGCGGAGTTTCTGATTCTCATGCAACACTCTCCTGGCAGCAGTCTGGATTTCTGAAGAGGCCTCGATGCCTATCTGCTCATAGCTGCGCAACTTTGCCTCCAGCTCGTGCATGTACTCTTTGCGTCGAGCGCGTGATCGGCCTAAAAAGATCATGATTAGCGAAAACTGTCAGTGATCGAACGTTCAGGCAACATCTGGCTGGGTGTATTATACCAAGTACAACCAGTCTTCGTGCTTGAAAAGGAAGATGGTGGGAACAGTGGCTGCTATTGGCCGGAGGTACTCACGCTGGTTATCTCTAATCCGAGCAAGATTCTGTGCTTTCTGTTGACAGTCGTTAGTTGGGCCTCCATGGGTGACAGATATCTACGTACGGATACTCTGCTGTCACTCATGGTGATGTTTGTTACGAAGCAGATCGGTAGAGAAGAGCTTGGTATTGGATGGGTTGGGAAGATGGGTGTTCAGTTGCGTGATCATTCTGGGTAGTATAACTTCAAACAGATGGCATCCCGTAGTCTTAAAGAAGAAGGCAGAGCCATAGGGTCGAGCAAGCCACTTGTATCCAAGCGCGCTGCAGGCCTCATCCTGGATAGCCCGCGTCCGCACGGTAAGGATGTAAGTGGGAGTATGCTTCGCCTCTGCGACCAGGGCTACAAGCGTGGGTGTCAAGCGGACGGGCCCAGAGGCGTGGTGGTAGACCGGGATAGCGCGTAATGTTACGAAAACGCGGGTGATCCTGTCTGTCCTTTCGGTGACCGAGACTAAATTGAATGCGGCCTAGCGCGTCGCACTAGTCAAATCCTCTGAGCTCGGTGTCTCTGCCCTTTTCAGCTTCAGCCTCGGAAATTGGGGGCTGGAGGACTTTTGCAGCTGTCTCGCAACACCACGTCGCATCATCGCCATCGCAAAATACTACGCGTCGTCTTTCGCGCATTACCCACGAACCAGTTTCTACGACGTCGGAACGTGCCGAGAGCCTGGCAACCCGATCTGGTGGCACTCGACAAGGATCCTATCTAACAGCCTCGACATGGCGATTGGCCGACGAATAACGGCACCTTACGCCGGCCTTTTCGATCCCACGCGGTTTGTAACGTCGTGGATTCTCCCACCAGGCGCCCTCTTCGCAATACGCGCGCTATTGGCCCTATACGCCTTCACCACCCTCTTTTTCATCTTCGGCTGGAACGGTACCCATGGCAGGTCCGAGGCGTCGCAGCAATCTTTCTCCTTCTTTACGGTGCTGACGTATTGGGGCCTCGCCTTCTATTATGCCTTTGCTGCTGTGCACACTGGCAGTTACTGGTTTACTGGGACTCCATTCTTGGCCCGGTGGCCCAAAGCGCTACAGGTGGCGCACAGCATGTTTTATTCTACCATTGTGGTATACCCGTGGATAGTAACCAGTAAGTCAACTTAGCTAATCGGCTTTGCTATCGATGTGCAGAGGAACTCGGCGATACCACGTTCGGTGTCTTCATGTCTTTCTATCGCGGTCCTCGCCATAGACCCTTTGGGCACATGAACGCTAACTCATGATAGTCGTTTACTGGACGCTTCTTGCGGGGCAATTCCCTACCACCTTCGCCCTCTGGTCAAACACTTCACAGCATGCCCTCAATTCAGCGTATGCGCTTTTTGAGATAGTGTTTCCCCGGACGGAGCGACTTCCATGGCTGGATCTAATCCCAATCATCATCCTGCTGGCCCTATATCTTGCCTTGGCCTACGTCACACATGCCACTCAAGGTTTTTACGTGTATCCTTTCCTTGATCTTCAAAAGAACTCTTCTGGTATAGTTGGAGCTTACATAGTGGGTATCCTAGTCGCCGCGATTATCATATTCCTCATAGTGAGGTATGTTATCGCACTGCGAGTTTGGGTAACGGAGAAGAAGCTTAGGATGACCGGGAAGACCTCAACACTTCACAAAGGGGCTGTCGCTGACGAGTATCCTTTACACAGTGCCATTCCAAAATAGTGGAGAGGCTTCCGATGTTTTGCGTTTCGGTCCCTTGACCTTTATATCCCTGTATGCCTATCCACGTTTAATAAGTTGTAGAACAAGTTTCGAAGATTTCTTCACGTCGTCCACTCGGGTGCCATCAAGTTCCACCGACTGCGCTGTTCACTAACATTACAAGCTACTAGTTAAGCATGACATGGTCACCATGTTGGCGTGAGTTTGTGCGGCTCATCAGTCGTATCCCTATCTTCACACATATAACTCATACACTTACTGGTATTTGCTTCTTTCTCGTTCTGCGCACACATCACCTAGCGACTACCGTCATTCTGGTGTCATGCCGTTCACCATCATCAGGCAGAGGTAGGCTCCGATCATGGGCTAGGACTGAATCACCAGGTTTAATAACATGGGATCTACTAGGGTTATCGGCGAACACTGTAGGGCATCGCTTAGATTGCCTGCATCACCCCACGCCCAGCTCTTCGGAATCGGTGCGGGCAAATTGCTTTTGCGAGGCTTCGAAGCAACCACCTCACCTTGGTTCTGGATTTGAATCTGCTACATCCTCGTGTCTATCGAATGTGGGACAATTAGTCGCAGCGGTGTCACGGAGCCGTAAAACTGAGAGATACCCCCACCTCCATGTGTCGCGTCGATCATATGGCTGAAGGTCAGTCGCCCATGCGACTTAGTTGCGCATTGTCCTGCGTCCACAGCCGATAGGGCGTCCACGTAAGCAAGTGAAAACCAATCAACCTCACACGTGAGCATTCTTCACCCAATTAGCAGCGACACGTGAGAGTGAAGATCAAAGACTGGTAGATAATGCGTCGGCATCGCACATCAGTCACCTCTAAAGCTACAGAACGTCAGCACGAGCTTCTAGAAGTACCCTGCTTCCGTCTACATGCAGGATTTAGCGCCCAGACTTTCCATATATCTCGTGTCAGATTGATACTGATTGGCCGCGCAGAGATTTTTTGGCTCTCATAAAGTCGCATTTGCTGGCACTTCATCCTTCGGGGCCGCCCGGTCAGGGGAGATGTGCTGCGTTACATCAGCCCCCGGCACTTTTCGACCCTTTCCAAGAGGCTGCATGCAGGATCCTTCCCACTTCTGCACGCCAAAGAGAGGTAAGAGCATGTGCCATGTGCTAACTGAAAACGCAATTGTAAATTTCTGGAAGGTGTCTGGTCTAGTTTTACTTGACAGGGTCTGATCTGCCGCTGTCACCCAGTGTTCCTCGCACCATCAGTGCCGTGTCATCTGAACGCTAGGGCTCATGGCTATAGGGCTCTTGGGCAGCATCAACATGATTGCTTTTTCACGTTTGTCCCAAGCTCCCGGAAGACACTTCGAACCTCAGCTGCACCAGCGGTAGACGTCAACTCCGGTGCTGCAACGCCTATTGGCTGCAGATGGCATACTACGACAAACCCACATGTGCGTCGCACAACCTAGGTACTTGATTGCCGCAGACCTACCTAGGCAATCACATGCGTGCTCATTGAAGTGCGCGTGAACATTCAATACACGTTAATTTCAATTCTCCCACTTCGGACCCGGAAAGCGGTGTCTCTGCGGTATGTCGGGACTGCCCGGAGTTCTATCCTTCTGGTAGAAGGGCAACAGTTGGTCGCACGGACCCGTTCTCACCGAACGAGCCCTGGAATCCAACCTGATGGAGACGGGATAACCCCTAGCTTCCTCCAGTAGTCGAACTTGACGCTGATCATTCCGAGTCCACGAACGTATTTGTTCCGAGAGTTATACCTGTTACACTGTGACCGCGATGGAGGCGGACCTCGGATGGCACTGCCGTAATAACGTCGTCGTAACCATGCGGTGATCATCGATGGCTTGCAGCTCATCACTAGGATTAGGACTCCCATGTTTCGAATGCGATTCAAGTTGGCAGGTGCTTTATTGTTCAGGCAAGCGCGGGTCGTGTGCCTTCGTTTCCAGTCCTTGATGGCCGTCAAGGCTAACTGCACCTTCTTAGTCAGGGCTGTGCGATGGGCATGCCCTAGAAACACACGTGTGAAGATCTTTCGGGCTTCATTTGCTGATGGCTCTGTAAGGTCTCATGTCCCACCACAGTCCACACATGTTCACCCGTCAGGCCTACCTGTTATCTCTGACCCCGCGTCCAGCTAATATAGCCCCCTGGAAAGGATTTTAGCCCGTGTCTCATCCATCGCTTTCTATGCCGCTGTCATCAAACCTCCCGCTCCCAGGCAAGATGCCGTTAGTTTCCGGCTACAGACAGCACGTGAAGCCTCGAGTCTCGCAGATTGTAGAGAGACTCGGAAGCACCGATGATGAGAAGCAAGGGTAAGGGCCAAACCGTCAATCACGTCGTTCATTCCAATATCGTGCCGTCCTCCAGATAATTCATACTTCCCGAAGGACCCATGTGTCAAAACACCCCTGCAAAAGTACGTTGCAACAGTTGCATTGACGTGGCTTGCGCAATAGCATACTAACCAACAAACAGCGCATCAGTGCAAAACGTCCCTGCGCTGCGCTTGCGCATACTGTAAGTGACAGTATGACGCTGCGCATTGTTTGAAGGATGGCTCGTTCCTGGGCTACGACCGCAAGAGTATGAAGTCCTGCATGTGTGTGCATGTAGAGTTCGCGTTAGCGCCTGTCAATGCTAGAGGCTGCACAGGGACGGCCTGAGCGTGGGGGCCCACCGATGATGGAGGCATCATATCGTGAGTGGCTCACAGTCGGACGCGGTAAACGACGATGGTGGCCATTGCTGAATTTGCGCGAAGGCGGTGCACGTGCTAGGAGGTGATTGTCCAGGTATCTACGAACGAGCAGTTGAGCTTTGTTGCATGGAAGCTGCAATGCTACAAAAGCCTCTGTTGCGGCGATAATGATACCTAGGAACCACAACAACAGTAACAAAGCCTCGAGTGTCTAACTGGGAAAGCAACCTCGTGCCGAGTTCTCTGCAACCGAAGTTGAAGCCTCGAAAAGCCACCCGAAAAAGGTAAAGTTGCCGAGGTAACTTGTGACCACCTACACCCTCCATCTCAGGAACACCTCGTACTCCCAACAGCAACCACTACGCTCAGAATAAACTTTGCCCTCCCAGAAACTCTCTCGGGGTAGCAAGGCGACGGAACCATGATTGAAGTCATCTACATCGTGCGGCACGCGGTACGTACAAAGCTCGACCTCCGTCGCCGCGCTTCATGCCCTCCGATGCTTCCACACGATAGTCGAGGAAAGCCTTCCGTATCGGGAAGCTACCCTGACAGCCATCTCCGTCCTCGCATTACCTCCATACACATCTCGCTTGTGTACACCTCCGCGTGTATCACATGAAACGCCATCCTTTACACTCTCCACTTGCAGATCCCTTGTTCCCCAAAATGGCATCCGTTCTAACGTTTCCCCCGTAATATCTAGTTCCGCGCCAACTGGTCCGTTGACCCCCAAACGGGTATCTACACCGCCTCTATGGCAAGGACTCCGACCGGGATACCCACTGATCCGCCTCTGACGTCCAAAGGTGTGGACCAGAGCAAGGAGTTGGCCGAGTTTCTGAGTAAGATCGAACCCCCGGTTGAGAGAATCTACTCAAGCCCTTTCTATCGCTGTTTGCAGACTCTTAAGCCATTCAGCGATAAGCTGTTTGAGGAGGGAAAGGCAAAGGGGAGGATAAGGATTGATCGTGGCATTGGGTACGTTGAGGCTGAGTAATGCTCATGTATGCGATATGCTGATGCGTGGATAACAGAGAGTTTTTTGGGCGCGCACACTTTGAACACCCTAATCCACCGCATCTCGAGCTTCTGACTCCCCATTTCCGGAACTTAGACGACCAATATGCGTCTGTACACATGCCGGGATCCAACGGCGAGTTGATCGTGGAGCTACACGAACGTGTTAGGAACGCACTAGATCACATCGTCACTACACTGGATAACGACCCCGAGCAGCCGAAGACCGTCTTGTTATGCACCCACGCTGCGACTATGATAGCAGCTGGCCGGGTGCTCACGGGAAAAATGCCGGAGAACCCCGACGAAGATGACTTCCAGTGCTTCACGGCCGGGCTGTCCAAGTATGTGAGGAGATCAGCGGACCCCATGAAAGGCGTTGCTGGAAACTGGGAATGCGAAATGAACTCCGAGACGTCTTACCTCTCGGGCGGAGCCGAGAGAGGCTGGTAAGTGTAGTTTCCATTCTTTGTGTCCATGTCGTGCTGCGTCCTTATAGCTTCCAGGTTCTTCCCATATCATAGGAAAGACTGGCCAAAATCAGAGCCTACGGCTTATGGCTGGGGCGTCGCATCGGCTCATCTTAAGATTTCTTTACCTCCTTCTCGCACAGACGAGCATCTCCTAGCAACCCCATAACCTTTTGTCACGGCAAGTGGCTAACGAACGATGACGGCAGGCATTTCAGTGGCGAAGAGAGTTTTGTAGACTTCTCGGATAGCGGTACAAAAGGTGAGGAAAGCTCGAAGTTGTGAAGAGTGGAGGCTGTCTCGCTTGCAAAAGATGGGGTATGGTGTTTGTCTGTTCGCTTGCCAAACGATGAAACTACGGCAGCTGTTCTTGCATTCATGGGGCTTTTGGTTTCCGCATTAGGCTACGAAGATACCCAGAAATACCCTCTCTTTCTCGAAATCAATTCTGTTAAGTGATCGTCGTTTGCCTTGCCCGAGTGACTAACGTCTGATGATGAGCACTGCATGCGGCTCTGCTCCACTTGCCCTGTACCCATCCCCAGTTCTCGGAATCACCCGTTCCCGTCCACCGGGTACCGATGGTGATTTACCGGCCTGTGCCTGGTCCACTATTCCTACTGTGCGTTTTCCAGACCCATTGTTGAGTTTGCGCAACGGCGTGGCGAGCACGTGGGATGTTTTGGACCCAGATGTGAGTTCGCCGCGCGGTAAAAAGCTGTGGGAGCGGGGTGCATTACACCGAACCGAGAGCAACCCTGAACAAACAGAAACGGTAAGAACAAGTTACGCACTGATTTGGGGTGCAGGTGAATGGGGACTGAAAGACTGGTAATTTTTTACATCAGAGAGATACTTGAGATGATGTGAAGGCGTCGAGGTAACAGTGTGTCAAAAGCCAGAAGCTGCAAGCGAGATTTAGAGACAAGAAATATGCGACAGCACTACCTTTGCTGCGATGCTACCGATTAACAGGACAAAACAGCTCCGGCCTGCGGACGAGGGTAAATTTGGTCGCACCAAAACTCCATTGCTTTCACACGGAGCATCAAAGTTCTTCTCTCGGATTCTCAGCCTCGTTATCGTCCTGCAAGTATCGATATCTTGTCACCTAATTGGCGCATTGTCCTATTTCCTAGTCTTTACCTTCCTAAGATAACAGCTGCGTGCTGTCATCTGACCCGTCTCTTACGACCTACGCGACCGTTACCTTTGGGTATCAGCAAAACTATTACTAAATGTCGCATTACAAAATTCATAACATCGTCCTCCTCAACAGACATCAATCTCTATAAGCCCCTGGAGCTCTCACAGCCCTCTACTCACGCCTCTTCAACATATTTCCCTCACTCGTCCTAGGAACGTTTTACCTCCCATCGAAACTCATCGGAGGCGGCCACACAAACTCGGATACATGGCTCTTGAATATCAAGATGTTTGGGCCAACTACATCAACGTACACTTGTAACCCAACCTCAAAAGTAACCCGAACGAGGAGAAGCTAGAGCTGACACCACTGATCGGGGAAATCAACAAGATATGGAACAAGTACGTAAGGCTGAAGATGGGCGGGTTTCGTTTCTGACGACGGTTCGACAGCAGGTGCTATGAGGAGATCACGAACTGAGCCAATGTAAATGCACCAGGTACGATGCAGAATGCGAGGTCGCTATATAATGATTTGGTCACCTGGGGTGTGGCTGTTGACGACGTACGAGAGCAATCCGGTAGGGGTCTCCACATGGGCTGGAACGGGCCTGAGGCAATGCAGGGCGCCGTTGGGGAAATCGAGAACCGCAGAAATGTGTGGACGGGTTGGAGGCCGCTTGGGATAGAACATTGATCTGTGGCTAAAAGCTGAGCACAATCAATCCGGACCGTAAAACCTCAGGTATCTTTGACCAGGGTTGTCCTCTATTCTACCTCCCCTGGTCGAGATCAAGCGAATCTTCGATATTGTTTCTCAAACAGTATTGCTCCCCGGTTTTGTGCCTTTATCCTTTTCCTCTTCATCAATGTGCATGCTCTCTGCAAACCCAACCCACTCGCTCATCCCCCTAATGAATGCATCCCCACTTCCATCGACCTCACCTCCATGTCCCCATACAATGACTTGGTCAAACTCTCCTACTTGCTCCGCAATGTTGACTTCGATAGGTATGCTCTCCTCTGTCTCGGCGTCTTCATCGTCCTCGTCTGCAGGCAGTTGTTGTGGCTGTGTTTGACTTTGAGGTAACTGCTGATCGGTAACATGTAGAATGGCGCCGGTGTAGTTCTTGGGAAGTGGAAGCGCAGTGCCATGGAGGTGTCGTCCACGGAAATATGAGTGTCGCTTTCCTGGAAATATGTCAGAACCAATGTCCATGTTTTTGCACGACGATGACCAATAACCTTTGTCGTCTGTCTCAGGCTTCCAGTATCGTTCAGCATCGTTTATAGATCCGTTGTGGTTTATCCGCGCAGGGAGCAAGTTTGGTGTGCATCTTTGAGGGTTGGAGGGCCGAATTGACAGCATGTTTGTCAGATATTAAAATCGAAAGTAAGCGATATATCGACTGAAACACAGATTACAAGAATGAACCTTGGGCTGATGCGTAGTTGAAAATGTTTGGGTTGATGTATAGGTACAAGCCTATGGACGTGATTTACGGAATACGCGTCGACGCGCCGTAGCGTGTCCCTGCGGACGCACGGGCGTTTTCCTGATAGGGTGTTCACGAGCTCAAGATGACGACGATAGTACGAGCAAGTACATGGTCTTGGCTTGGCTACAACCAAGTTCATATCCGTCTCTCTTCTTTTGCTCATTTTCATTCATTACCATAGTACACCTGTCGCAGAGTCCACGACATCCATTCCGTTCTTTCTGGCACAGTCCGGAGGCCGCGGCCGCCGCTACAGCATCGCCGATCAGAGAGATGCTGCATGCCATGCTTTACACCCACAGTACCTCTTCATGCCACATGGAAAGCTCAAGGATATGTACGAACTGCTGTCACTGACCTTCTGGACTCAACATAGACACGGGACTGCAAGGCTGAGACGCACAGTGAGTTGTGCCCCTGCATAACTTGCCCCTCCCAAACATGCCGCCAAATGATTTTGTGGACCCTGGAATGCGGCTTATCATCACTTACAAACTTCCTGTCCTAACATCGCATGGGGACAGACACTAGAAGTTACAGGAGGAGAAAAATACGCATATCCGAACTTCTTACATGCCTTTGCACGGCCTCAACCTGCGCCGACGTGTAAGAGTTACACTGATCTTGCGACATTCGCGATGTTTAGGCGGATCGACGGCGTCATAGATCACTCGAATTGGCAAGGTTTCCTCGCCCGATACTGCACCTCAGACAGAATGCAACACGCATGGCTTTGAAACGGCGCAACCAGATGCACCGTGTCGGCTTTCGGCCGTTCCGGCGATAGGACGGCGAGTTACCTGGACTTCTGAAATAGACTCTGGTGCCATGTGTTAGCCGACTAGCTACCGTCGTTCGACTTCTTTCTCAGCTCTTCTTCCGACGCGTTCACGATACCATTGTCGCATTGCTTTTGGACGATTGACGCGCTACTTCCCCTCCACGACCGCCCGCACACCGTACAGCCACCTATCTTACAAAGAAGCTCGGGCAGATCGAGACGTACTAGCAGATTTGTCTCGCTACTCGCACTGAAGCCACGCGCCTTTTGCTTTGAATTTGGACAGCTTCGTAGCCTAAACGTCTTTCAATTGATCATTTGGTTTTGCGCCAGCCGGAAAACCTCGATTTCAAAAGGCATACAACGGGATTATGGCGATTTATAGTTCTGTGACAGGAGCGGTGTCTTCATTGCTCAGTCCAGTTACGTCACAAGCTTGGGGGCCACTGGTCACTCTATGCAAAAATGGCACACTTTCCCAATTCCAGAATCTAAAGCATGGCAAGCTGGTACTATTTGAAGGTGGTTCGAGCAAGGCGACCGCTGCGTTTGGTTCTGACAAAGAGGGCCTTCCAATTGCATTCCTAAACGTGCTCGACGAGAAGTTCTGGGTGCGATTGGCGCTTTTTGCAGACATGGTACACTCCGGCATACTCGTGCGATCGGAAAGAACGAGAGCTGATTGATTTTAGGGCTTTGCAGAGAGTTACATGTTGGGAGAGTTCACAACACCGGACTTGACCAAGTTCTTCGAGGTGAGCTGCCACATTTGGTAACCGTTAAGATGCGCTTTTCAGCTTACATTCGCAGCTCTTCATCCTGAACCGCAACTATCTTTCCAATGGTTCAACTTTCACCTCTGCGATCTCTTCTGGCCTCGCTGGCCTGGTAAGAGGCAGCAACAATCTCAAGAACGCGCGCCTCAATATTTCCGCACATTACGACATCTCCAACGAAATGTTCGCTGCCTTCCTCTCCCAAGACATGACCTACTCGTGCCCGATATGGCTACCGAAATCGGACCCGAAATGTGCGAGCGAGAGCCTCTACGATGCGCAAATGCGAAAACTCGATCGCTTCATCGATAACACACACATCAAGGGCACAGATCATGTTCTGGAGATTGGTACTGGCTGGGGAAGCTTCGCCATGCGCGCCGTACAACGGACAGGTTGCAGAGTCACATCATTGACCCTCTCCATTGAGCAAAAAGAGCTGGCAGAAGAGCGAATACGAGAGGCGGGCATGTCAGACAAGATACAAGTCCTCCTATGCGATTATCGAAGTTTGGAAGTACCAGAGACAGGGCCTTTTGACAAGGCCGTCTCAATTGAGATGTTGGAGGCTGTGGGCAAAGAATATTTGGTGACATACTTCAAGTGCATCGACAAGCTGCTCAAGAAGGAGGGTGGCGTAGCATGCTTCCAATGCATAACCATGCCCGATGCTCGCTACGAAGCCTATGCCAAATCTGACGACTTTATCCGCCGATACATTTTCCCTGGGGGTCATCTTCCCGCCGTCTCCGAACTCGTTGCTAGCATACAAACCGCATCAGGTGGATCGCTTGTCGTCGACAGCATAGAGAACATCGGGCCCCACTACGCGAAAGCGCTGCGATTATGGCGTGAAGAGTTTCTGGATAACTGGGAAGGCAAGATCAAGCCACAACTTATTAAAGAGAAGAGCCAGGAGGGTATGGACGATGAGGGTGCGGAGGTTTTCAAGAGGAAGTGGGATTACTACTTCAGGTACTCAGAAGCAGGATTTTCGACAAAGACGCTGGGAGATGTTATCATCACGGTCGGAAGGGAAGGCGCCATGCAGATGATGGAGGATGTACCGCTGTAAATATTGTGCTTGCTAATCTTGTTGGATATGGTATATACCCCTCTCCATCTTCTGACTGAGCGTTACCGCTTTTGAATACTAAATATTTGTCCTTACAATGTGCATGAGTAGCTCATTACATGTATACGCGCACGAAGGAATTCCATGTTCATCTTCTTCCATAGCCTTCGTCAAACTGTGGTAATGCTGCTTGATACTCCATCGCTAGTATGCTCGAATCCAGGCTCTGAATCACTTCTTGGACATGGTGCGAAGCTTGCCGGTTATGCGTAGCAAAATAGTGTCCCATACCATCGATATCTTTCACTTGCATGAAGCTTGTCGGCCGGATACGGTGTTCGGTGCCAGCGCTATCAGGTGGTGAAACTGGATATACCTGCCCTGAATTGGGTATGGTCGTAGGCTGATACGCCTTGTATACCGACAATGGCGCTGGTGTAAGAGGTGGTGATGCAGGCAGAATGTTCGGTGCCTGTGCGAAGGAAGGAGGCGGGTATTGTCTTGAATATCTCGATGCGTTCGTTTGTGTTGTTGGATAGGTAGAAGGCGTGTTATGTGGTGGTGGTGTAGATGGCAGTTGGGGAGACGCATTGCCAACCATCAAGCTTGCTGGAAGTGTGCTTAACGAAGCGGACTCTGTACGAGGAACGGGCGGCCTATACGAGTCTTGTGACTGTGGTAGCGCGGGTTGCGGAGACGTGCGAGGATGGTGGCTGACTTGCAGCGCAGCATCGATGTCTGCGGAGAGCTCTGCAAGGATATCATGTGGTGGTGGTGTCGCGTCGAGTTCGAAGATTGGAAGGAAATTTTGAGATAATGTGGTAGCTTCACTGGCGGTTGGTGGTGGGCTTGGGTGATTCTGCGGTGCTTGGTAGACTCCCTGGGGTCCTACAACATGTAGGTTATACGCCTCATCTTTTGCTTCTGCATCATACTGTGTGCGTGATATAGATTCACTAGCAGAGTTGACTACTTGGAGTCTGCTCAGTCGCTGCTCTGGTACAGATGTTCCAGAGCCCTCTGGAGAGCTTTTTCTCGGAATCCGATGTGTGGTCCTAATATCAAAGAGCTGTGAACGAGCGCTGGACGTGTTCTTTGCTGGCAATTGCGCTGTACATGGTCCTGGGACGCCAGGGTGGACGTTTTGTGTTGAATAAGAAGCCGCACGCTCGTGGAGGGAAAGTGCCGGAGCTGGCTCGGATGAAGGTTTCAAGTTCGAGAACTGCATTTGTGGGTTGGATTCAGATTGAGGATCTGTGGGACTAGTACGTCTGCTGCTTGGGGCACTGGAAATACGGTATCTGGAACGTGAATCCCTTGTATAAGCCGCTGCATTTGGGGAGGGTCCTATGTGTTGCATGAGCGTCGAGGTCGCATGTTCCGCACGCGGGTGAGATGTTTTGATCTTCTGAGACTCTGGTGGACATAAGAAATCTGGCAACGACGCGCGGGAAATCCTTTGAACTCTCGGTAGCTCAGATGCGGACCGCGACCTGATGTGATCTGCTTCCGCTGTCGATGGGGCCAGCGTGGTGGCTGAAGGAGGTTCCCGACCTGTCAACGTACGATAGCATCTTCGCTGTTCTTCGAAAGGAAGCTGACTGACGAAAGCCGTTCGTAAAAACTTCCGTTCTATGGAATCCAGGTTCAAAAGACTGCGAATCGACTGTAGCTGATCTCCGTAGTGCTGGCACAAGAAGTGAATATCCTTCCGTGGTTCCCAAGCTAAGCCGCGAATCTGACAAAAGTGAAGTAGGGTCCTGACGAGGTATAGCATGTTCAATCCGTAGAATGTCCTCAACACCCCATCGGTCCTAATGCTCAGCAAGACGACATTTTTGGCAAGGGTTCCGTTCGATGGAGTCTCGTATGAGCCTATGCACCTTTAGCCGGAGGTCAAAACAGGCTCGTGTACAACTGACCAGAGGGCACTAGGGTTACTTCTATTGTCGCCGGACCTTTACATCCTGCATCTAAAAAGCTAGGCCCAGTTTGTACCACCATCTTGGAAGGGAACAAAGGGTTCATGCCCTCAGGCAGTCGTATCCTGACGTTGTTAGCCAGTCGCCATTTGGAAAAAGTAGGCTCCTCTGTTATACCGTCGGTCAGACTCAAGCTTCTTCTTGATCCGGTTGAAGTCTTTATCGTCGTACGCAATGAACACATCCCGCATCTCGCATCCATGTCCTAGACAAAGCATCGCAAGCTCGCCCATGATGGCATAAGTGAACTTCTTGTTCTCAAACACTCGACGGACATAGCTGGCTGCCGCCAGTACATTTGCTTGAGGCGGTATCTGCATCTCGTTCCCTTGCCTGGTTTGTTGTTTTCCATGCCCAGCGACATCGTTGTGACCCATGTTGGTAATCGTGTTTTGCGATCCGATCCGATCAGAAGCGGCAATCGTCAGTACACAACATAGGCAAGTTTCCAGCTGAAGATGTGAAGGAATGAATAAAATCCGACAGGTGTATGCAGTCACACAAACAAGACGAAAGAATGATCGCGTAAGTTTTTAGCAAAGTGATGGGCCTAGGGCATCCTTTTGCAGCTCCGCCATCCTGGTGCACGAGTGGAGGATCGTACTATAAGTGATTATGGCATCCTAAGGCTGGACGGCTCTCCTGATCCCGTATTTGAGATAATCTATATCCATGCTGATGGACTGTGAGCTCATTGGCTAAGATGCTGGTGAGAGCTGACAAGGACGCCGGCAAAGGCTGAGCCAAAAAGCTGAGAAGTGGACCCTTAACAAGGAAGTCGTAATCACTGAACAAAGTGGAGGTGAAATTCGTAACGGCGGGCCTTGGGCATTCCGACGATTCGTATGGTTGTCATACTATTTTCATCTCTGTTGTCGCTTTTCGGGCATTCTTGATTGAGGCTGAGTGAGTTAAATTTAGCATCGGATGGGTCGGCCAATCGTAACTAACAACGGATGCGGGTCGCCCGAGTACGAGCGAACTCGAAACAAATGCTCGGCGTATGCGAACTTGTTTTGGGGAGGTTCAGGCATGTTCTTCGTATGAAATACTGTTGTTGGTGTTGTTGCGCGTTTGATAAAAGTACATCGGGTACGGAGATGATCCTGCAGGTACCATGCGCTGCCAGCACTTCGGGGCCTTGGTATGCATCACTTGAGACAGGATACGCTGTAGATCTATTAATGCCCTCTTTTTGGCAGTAGCATACAAGTGTACGAACGAGTGTCGCTTCGGTGCGGATTGGGAACCGCTGATGGTGTTTGGTGTGGTAAAGAAAGGCGCCAAGCTTGGAACGCTGCAAACATGATGAAGGCCATTGCCTTGTGAAAGAAAAGGCTGCACACCGCTGGTCATATGCTGGAGCTGCCACATGGCAGTCGACGCTAGATTGTCGACATGCTCAGACACCGCCTCCTATATTCTGTAGTCAGCGCGATGTACGTATCGCAATGGTGAACCCTTGTCAGGTGGAATGGGATCTCGTACCTGACCTATCGACTGTGACAGTATAGTCGCCTGCAGCACGGTCTCTCTGCTTGTCGGCGAGCGCCTTTGACTTGAGGATGAAGTAGCCACTGCCGAGTGAAGCCAAAGAGACCAAAGTCATGTTGCGGGGACTGCAGGCGGTCAGCATCAGCTACATGTTCCAATGCTATGCATAAGCTCAAGCTAGACTTGTGCATAGTTCCCGACTTACGTGAGGAGCCTGGAGTAAGCCATGGTGTTTTGTCTGGGACGTGTTCAGCTGAGAGGGGTATTGTGGAAGTAGCAAGCAGACTGGCAAGTTGACCAAGACGTGAAGAAGTTGTTGGGACAGCCGGAGCCCTTCCGGGACCGTCGTGTGATGTATTTCCCCTCTTGAGAGTGACGCAGCTAAAGCTTCCCCAGATCGGCTGTCGAATCCCTAGCCGTCGATTACCTCCGAGGCTGTAACCAATCAAACGTCGCCGCCGCCGATCTGCCACCGCCCCAGAAAAAGTTCAGCTTCCCAATCTAGCGCTGCGCGACAGCCCTCCGCCTCCACGGACAAGCAAACTTCACAATGCCTCTTCCAAAACGACAGACGATACCTGTAAAGGGCGCCAAATCTAGCGCGCCTACCACAGACGACTCGCGATTCGCAAACTTCGAAACCGACCCCAAGTTCAGACTCCCCTCGAAGAAGCACACCAAGACCAAACTCGATCCCCGGTTCTCGCGACTACGGAGCGATCCAGACTTCTACAACAAGGCCACAGTCGACAAATATGGTAGAAAGGTATCCAAGGAAGCTGGCAAAAAGGCCATCGACAGGCTATATGCCGCCGACAGCGATGACAAGGACGACGAAGATGAAGACGACGAAGACGATGGAGACGAGCTGGAGCTAGAGCGACCGGCCAACAAGAAGCGGGACAAAGCGGTCAAGAAGGAAATGCAGAGGGTACAGCAAGAAGGCTTTGACCCCATCAGAGACGGTGGGCTCGAGTCTTCATCGGACGAGAGCTCCAGCGAAGAAGAGGACGAGGTCGAGCTGGAGGAGCAAACAGAGCTCGCCGGTGACGACAATGAAGTTCCGACAGGCGACATCTCTGCACGCTTGGCTGCTGTGAACATGGACTGGGACAACATACGGGCCACCGACATCATGGCTGTAGCAAACTCGTTCGTTCCGGCTGATGGGCGAATCCTCAACGTTGTCATATACCCTAGCGAGTTTGGTATGGAGCGCCTGCAGCGTGAGGAGATTGAGGGTCCGCCCCGCGAGATCTTCGCATCCACGTCCAACAAAGACAAGAACAATATCGGCGTGCTTGACAACGACTCGGACTTCTCGGACCCAGACGATGAGGAACAAAACAGGGCAGACTTGCAAGGAGACGAAACAGGCGAAGAATTCGACTCCACCAAACTGCGAGCCTACCAACTTGACAGGCTGCGATACTACTACGCCGTCATCACATGTTCCTCTGCCAATGTTGCAAAGTCCATCTACGACAATCTCGATGGCCGAGAATACCTGACGAGCGCCAACTTCTTCGACCTACGATTCGTTCCCGACGGCACAACCTTCGACCAAGATCCCCACGACGAATGCGCGAAGCTGCCGGACGGCTATAAACCTAACGAGTTCTCAACGGATGCACTTACACACTCAAAGGTCAAGTTGACTTGGGACGCTGACGACGCGACACGGAAGGAAGTGCAAAAGCGAGCTTTCTCCCGTAAGGAGATTGATGAGAACGAGCTGCAAGCATACCTGGGCACAGACGAGTCATCTTCCGAAGACGAGGAAGCAGCAGCAAAGGCAGACAAGGCCGCAAGTCTCAGGGCTGCTTTGGGACTAGAGGCTCCCGGCAAGTCTTCAAAAACGAAGAAAAAGACGTCTGCAAAGCGCGATCGCGACTTTCCAAAGCCAGATAGCGAGATGCAGATTACCTTCACAGGAGGACTATCCAATGGCGCTAGCAACGGTGACGTGTTCGAGAACGAAATCCCACTGCAAGAGACTACAATGGAGAAGTACATTCGCAAAGAGAAGGAAAGGAAGGCGAAGCGTAAGGAGAGGTGGGAAGCCAAGAAGGCCGGCCGGGACCCTGATGCCCCAGTCGAGCAGGAGGCGGATGCGCCAGCGGATGCGCCAGCGGATGCGAACGAAGACGATCCATTCAACGACCCGTTCTTTGCCTCTGATCCCGAAGAAGCTGCAAAGGCCGCCAAGCCCAAGTCGAAGAAGTCTGAGAAAGCAAAGAAGAAGGCAGAGCAAGAGCAGCAGGATCAGGCGGCCGCAGCTGAGCGCGCAAATCTGGAGCTGCTTATGGCAGACGAAGACGACTCCAAGCTGCGCCATTTCGACATGAATGAAATCGTCAAGTCGGAGAAGGCCAAGAAGAAGGGCAAGAAGGCCAAGAAGAACGCTCCCATCATAGAGGACAACTTCAAGATCGACACCACCGATCCTCGTTTTGCGAAGTTATACGAAAGCCATGAGTTTGCTATCGATCCTACAAACCCTAGGTTCAAGGAGACGTCAGGTATGAAGGCGCTGCTAGAGGAGGGTCGCAAGAAGCGCAAACAAGGCAAGGATGGTGATGAGCCAGAACTTCAACGAGACTCGAAGAAGTCTAAACAGGATGCTGCAGAGGGCGAGGATGATATCAAAAAGCTGGCTGCTCGCGTCAAGGCGAAGAGTAAGCAGAAATGAAGTAGGCTGTCTGAATAGTACTTGATACCCAGCGAACCACCTTGCACTACACACAATGTATAAGATTCGTACACGAGACTTCGTGGTTTATTGTTCCAAGGTTTCCACATGAGTGGCTCGCGAGCTTCAATGGCAGCACTTTCTTCAATTACTCTTGCCACGTGTGATAACATGTATGAGGCTTGACAAAATCGTCACTCAAGGTCATTCCAAACACATCGACTGCCTTTTCCTTTTACTCTTCTTGTCTCCATACCTACGTTTCATCCTACTATCTACGCACACATAGTCCACCCAAACCTCCCTCGAAGCCTCTCACAATGCCCTGTTTGGGCAACTCAGACATCCTCATCCTATTGACTTAACTGTTTCAAAGCGTCCAATTCCACACGCAACCCAGCTTTCGATTCGTTGCTCATGCATGGCACCGCCATGGGTCACATTTGACAGCATAGCGGCCTGGAACGGGAATTGCGCCAATGGAGCAGAGCCAGACATCGCTGGTGTAGGAGTTAGAAACCCAAATTACTTTGTATGGTATCAGTTTAACAATGTCGCAGGTCGTCCTGTCGTTTGTCATCGCAAGCTTCATGACTACGTTTGCCTCTATCCTCGCTATGCTTCTCGATCAAGCATTCGATACGAAGGGTCACTTCACGCCTCGAGCGCCGCTCACATATATCCGGGAGCGCTTCTTGGAAAATGAATGGAAGAAGCATTACGCGTGGCGTCCTTTCCTGGACCCACTCATAATTGGTTTCGGCGATCAGCAACTCATTACGGGCTACGCTGTGCTTTTGAGTGGATGGATCAAAGTACGGTCGACGTCTCTTGATGTTATTACCTACTGACAGTATACCTTCAGGTGGCGCAACGCTCATTTCGTGTCCAAAGTGCTCACTTCGTCCTTATCCTTTACATATGCGCTCTCTCATCGTCATCGCATCTCGCTGCTTTGATCACGCTCCGAAAGTACTTCCGTAAATACAAGCTCATTGCAAAGATCCGCCTCGCGCTTGTCGTATGCTTCGCTCTATTTCTGCTTACGTCCATGGTCACCGCCATTGCGATGCCGCCCAGTCTTATCGAAGACGAAGATGGTACATCTATACTTCGCAGTCGTGTACAAAGACTACCGTTCCTCGTACCACTATTTCTCATCCTAATCGGCTTCTCGACGGCTTTGGTTTGCATCCTATACGACCCGGAAGGCAGAGGTCTGGACACACCATCTTCTTGTTCAGAGTCTTCAATACAAGCCCTCGTACGCCGCTTGACCGACTCCGCACAAAAGGAGAGAGGGTTTTCACCACGGTTCATATGTCCAGCGCGTCTTGGTCTGCGTCTCATATACTTTCTCTTCCTCAATCCAGCCATTGCATTCGTGGTGCAAATATTGCTCGCAATCTTGTCCGCTATCTTAGTCCTGACGCAGAAGTTCGCGGCACCTGAGGACCCGGCAAACTTCTGTGGTTTGCAGGATAACGAGGAAAACGTTTGGGGATTCGGACAGACGTTGAGTGTGGTCATGCTTCTGCTACCGGCTATCACAGCATTGCAAACATACCTTGAAGCGCGACAGGATATCAAACATGGATTCAGTAGAACACACGACTGATAATCTGCATGTTACTGGCGAACAGGAGACTCCATAGACATCAGTACCAAAATCAAAGCATCATTTGCCGCCACAAATCTAGCTATACATGACGCTCTACAAATTCGCCTTCTTCTCGTCCTTTTCCCTAAGATACCTCACCGCAAACTCGATAGCTGCCTCGTATCCATATACTCCCAAACCACAAATTACCGCCTCGGCCTTATCGCTCAGATAACTGTGATGTCTGAACGCCTCCCTCTTATGTATGTTACTGATGTGCACTTCAACAAAGGGTATTTCCACGCCGGCCAACGCGTCCCTCAATGCGACGCTGGTATGTGTGAGCGCGCCGGGGTTGATCACAACAAAGTCGACTTTGCCGCGTGCCTCGTGTATACGGTCAACGAGTACGCCTTCGTGGTTCGATTGAATGTGCGAAAAGTTCACGGATCGTTCGGTACATTGGGTATGCGCGGAGGTAATTACGTCTGAGAGAGATGTAGAGCCGTAGATTGTAGGTTCGCGCGTGCCGAGGAGGTTCAGGTTTGGACCGTTTATTAGGAGAATGGATTTGGGCATGTTGGGCTGTAGGTATGGAGGAGACGTCCTGAAACGATAGCTTTTGATACGAACTGCGCCAAAAAGCCAATACCGGTGCTTTTGAAACCGTGCTGATGTTGGGAGATATTGCGATAACACGACTGATCTGTCTTTCATGTCGTGTATGGTCTCAGTGCAAGATCGTTCCGAGATTCCGGTGGCTTTCGGAAAGGGAAAAGTCCTTACCCCCACCCTTACGATCGGCCGTCTTGCTTCCAATCCCAAAGAATGACGTCCCACTTCCCTACATGTAGCTATCAGGACCCTTTCCGTTCCTAGCCGATACGGCTTTAGACGGATGATGTGCGACGCGATCGCTTCTGGCGCGTGTTGGTTTGCCATGGCGTTTCTGCCATGCCAATCTAGTATTCTTTGTATACACGACAACAGGCAATCAACATGACGGACATTTCAAGAGAAGAACTCGATGAGATCTACGCGTTTGCTGTCCAGTTGGGGCGGAAGGCGGGTAAGATGCTCATGGATGCCGCGCAATTGAGAATCGATGGTGGGAATGCGTCAGGTGAAGAGAAGGAACATGTTCAGAAAGAGAATGCTGTCGATTTGGTTACGGAGACGGACGAGGATGTCGAGGCATTTATCAAGAAGACAATAGCTGAGAAGTACCCCAAGCATACGTATGTCTTCGATCTTCGATAACAGAAGTATATGCTGATCGTCTACAGGTTTGTCGGCGAGGAATCCTATAGCAAAGGCTCCTCCCGCGACTACCTAATCGACGCCTCACCTACGTGGTGTGTTGACCCTCTCGACGGAACAGTCAACTATATCCACCTGTTTCCCATGTTCTGCGTGAGCATCGCCTTCATACACAAATCCAAACCGCTCATTGGCGTCATATACGCGCCTTTCACGAACCAATTCTTCTCGTCCTGCGCTGGTCGCGGCGCCTTCTACAACGAAACCCAACGTCTCCCGCTGGTGCGCAACCCCATACCACCCATGCCAGCAAAGGCGCCTAGTGGTTGTGTTTTCTCATGTGAATGGGGCAAGGATAGAAGAGATACGCCAGATGGCAATATGCATCGCAAGATTGAGAGTTTTGTCAATATGGCGGCTGAGATTGGAGGAAGACAGGGAAGAGGAGGCATGGTTCATGGAGTTAGAAGTCTAGGAAGTGCCACACTAGATCTGGCATATGTTGCTATGGGAGCGTTTGATATCTGGTGGGAAGGAGGGTGTTGGGAATGGGATGTTGCGGCTGGCATTGCTATCTTACACGAAGCTGGAGGACTGGTGACAACGGCGAATCCCCCAGAGGATGAGGCCAATGCGCCTATTGAAGAAGTGAAGCTAGGGAGTCGGTTGTATTTGGCTATCAGACCCGCTGGACCATCGCCGACGGAAACAGGGCGACAGAGTCAAGAAAGGACAGTACGTGAGGTATGGCGGCGGGTCCGTAATCTCGACTATTCGCGACCTGGAGCGTAGATAGTTTTCGCATCACGCTTCGAGCTCATGGCCTGTGACAAGTATACGTAGATATGTTCAGTTCGATTAACGACTACAATCTTGCCTCGCTCAGCTTCCTGGCGATAGCTTCTTGCACCTTCTCAACTGGCAACTCAGCTACTGCCTTTCCGGTCCAATAGCGATCTTGTTCCAGTCCCTGGTATATTAATGCCTCCGTTCCCAGCACAATCTGCCAGTCATTCTGCTTTCCTACCTCTGCGATCTCCGTCCAAGTGGTCGGATGGTAACACATCTCTAGTAGCGCTCCCTTGTGTGGTTTCGCCAAAAAGCATTCAAGAACTTGCCGCGCCTCAGTCTCAGCTGGTGTGACGGGTGTAAAGTTTGGTACGCAGGCTACGATTGCACCAACACCCTCTATACTCTGTGCTTGTGCGACGGTGGAAACGTGGACGAGAGAGTCGCCATAGCCGCGGGATGTGCATTCGCTTATTACAGCTTCGACTTCTGATGGGTCCCGGTTGACCTGAGAGTTTACTATCAGCATCATCTTCAAACCTTGAATCTTTTGTAGTATAAAACTCACGAGATATATCGCGCTGGCCTTCATCCATTTTCTCAACGCGTAGACTGCGCTTCTTGCTGCACCGCCTCCGCCGATCACCAACGCTGGCCTGTTCTCAAACTTGGTTGGTTCTACGTTGTATGCGAACGCATCCCTTATGCCTATCACGTCGGTATTGGTACCCATGTACAACCGATTTCCAGAAGCGTCTTCTTGGATGAAGAGGGTATTTACTGCGCCTACATCCTGTCCCTCTTCTGTAAGACCATCAAGGTGTTTGAGTATCGCGACTTTGTGAGGCATTGTCACCGAAGCTCCGTAGAAATGAGGATGTTTGATCAGTTGTAGGAACAAGCTCATGTCTCTCGACTCCAAAGGATATTGTGCCCAGTTTAACCCTAGGTTGTCGTAAACAGTCTTGTGTAATAAAGGCGACATCGAGTGTGCGATTGGGTGGCCGAAGAGGTAGCCATGGCGCTCGGTTTGCGATACCTCCGGTATGCTGGGTTCAGTGGACATGATGGTATGTGGGTGTCGTGTGTTGCGTGTCGGATATTCAGGGAATGGAATTTATGGTTGGTGAGGTTTGCCGAGCAATTGATAACTGATGCTGTTCCAGATGATGAGATATTGGAAGAATGATGCTGGTGGTAAAGCTCAAGGCGTGTTCTATCATGCCGTCTAACGCATGCGCCAATACCCCAGATTCAACGCGTTGGGAACCGGAAAAAGTCATGTCGCACGTGGAGAAGACGCGAGTCAAGCGTGTTGACGTTGATGCTACTGACCGGTGTTCTTCTGACTGCTACGCGATTCATCCAATCAGCGAGAAAGCTCCGGCCACTAAACCTCGCGTGTAAATGTGCTTCCGGACCCTGCGGCATCACCAACCCTCTGGGTAATTCCATCACTTCCCGACTAGGAATGACTGGCGTGAAAACTCAGGTTCTCGGGACCAGTCCGGGGTCGGCGAGAGCATGGTTTCTCCATGCGATCGCACAGTGTCCGATTCTTCCTGGGGTGCTTAGCGATTCTTCCGGGCCAAGGTCAGCATCAACCTCTCTACGAACCAGACGGCCAATGATTGTGTGCGCGATTGTTTGACTCCTTTGTAGCTCATCTCCATGGGGTTTGTGGCGTTTTCTCCACGTTCTCCGCAAAACAGCACGTTATCGGACTCATCTCGGCTAGGATATATAGGTGCAGACTGATCTTCATCTGTTGGATTGCTCTTTCATCTCGCCCAAGCCAAGCCTACTTGCCTGGCTGACGACCTCAATCTCTACTTCGGCACCAACAGAAACCAGCAACCTTGAAGTCTACAAGCACACCGATTCCTCGACTTCAACATGGGTCTCCTTACCCTTGTCGAGGACCGACCGACGCCCAAGGCTGTCTACAACTGGAGAGTCTACACAGCAGCATGTGTCGCATCATGGGCAGCGTGCATGATTGGTTACGACAGTGCCTTCATTGGCACGACACTGGCTCTACCATCTTTCGTTGAAGAATTTCGCTTCGCGGAGATGGATCCCGCAGACCTAAACCTCACCAAGGCCAACATCGTCTCGGTATACCAAGCTGGTGCTTTCTTCGGTGCTTTTGGAGCATATGCATCTAGTCACTACATCGGCAGGAGGAAGTCTCTTATTCTCTGGGTCCTCATAGTGAGTCACTCAATGCTTTCCTGATAGTAAGAGCGGTCACTGATACATTCAGTTCATCGTGGGCGCTGGTATGATGTTGGGTGCCAATGGCGACCGAGGCCTCGGTTTGATCATTGGTGGCCGTGTTCTAGCAGGCCTGGGGGTAGGTGGATGCAGTAACATGGTCCCAATCTATATCTCCGAACTGTCACCGCCAGCTGTTCGTGGACGACTTGTTGGTATCTACGAGCTCGGATGGCAGGTGGGAGGTCTCGTTGGATTGTAAGTCAAGCACGATCATGATTCGCGAACAGCACACGCTAACTCGTAGGTAGCTGGATCAACTATGGTCTCCAAGAAACCATGGCGCCTTCTCACAAGCAATGGATCATTCCTTTTGCCGTGCAGCTCATTCCCGCTGGTTGCTTGTTGCTTGGTGCTTTCTGGATGAGAGAATCACCCCGATGGTGTTTGAGCAAGGGGAAGCGCGAGCAAGCGCTGAAGGATCTCTGCTGGATCCGCAACCTCCCCGAAGACCACCCATACATCATGGAAGAGCTTGAGGCTATAGATGCTCAAGTCGAACACGACAGACTTACCGTTGGACCCGGTTTCTGGAAGCCATTCCTTGCGCTTAAGCATCGTAAGGTACAATACCGCCTCTTCCTCGGCGGCATGCTGTTCCTTTGGCAGAACGGATCTGGTAAGCAATTGTCTCTTTACAAACTGCATGTGAAACGTTTGCTGACTTTGTGTACCTTAATCAGGAATTAACGCGATCAACTACTACTCTCCAACCGTCTTCAAGAGTCTTGGCGTTACTGAAGGGTTTCTTACCACTGGTATCTTCGGTGTCGTCAAATGCGTTTTGACTTTTGTCTGGCTCATCTGGTTGATCGATCGTCTCGGTCGCACGAAGCTCCTTATGTACGGTGCTCTAGGTGGCTCTCTCTGCATGTGGTACATTGCTGCCTACATCAAGATCGCAGACCCCGCGAACAACCCTAACCCCTCAGGCAACCTCTCCTCCGGTGGTATCAGCGCAGTCTTCTTCTTCTACCTTTGGACCGCATTTTACACGCCCTCATGGAACGGCACCCCATGGGTCATCAACTCCGAGATGTACAGCCAGCAGACCCGTTCTCTTGGTCAAGCTTTTGCTGCGGCTAACAACTGGTAAGTTTTCACTGTACCAAATGCCTGTAAGACATTTACTGATACCTTTGCAGGTTCTGGAACTTCATCATCTCAAGATTCACTCCTCAAATGTTTAGTGCCATGGGCTACGGAGTATACATGTTCTTCGCATCCCTTATGCTGCTCAGCATACCGTTCGTATTCTTCTTGATTCCTGAAACCAAGGGTATTCCGCTCGAACGCATGGACGAGCTCTTCACCATCAAGCCTGCATTCAAGGCACACGGCGTCCTGGTTGACAGGATGAAGGAGAACGAGGAGGTGAACCTCGTAATCAGGGATGAGAAGGCAAGGGCGGATGAACACAAAGAGATGGCTTAAGCGCTCGATTGTCTTGCACACGTGCAATCTCGTACATAGCAATGGAACAATCAATTTCACTAAAGCCACTCTCCAACCATACAAATCTGAGCTGCGAAGGTCATTCGCCGTGATGTATCGCTTACGGATGTTTCAGCAGCCCGACAATAATGATAGAAAAAGCCTTCACAGTAGCTTGTGTACCGACGCTATGCTCAGAGACAGTCTATTCTACACGTTCGCGACAAAATCCCCCACCAAAATCATTGCCCAAAAAAATCTCGGAGTATTTCTAGACGATAATTTGATCGCAACATACAAGTCGAATGAGTGACCACAGTGACATCATAGACCCTGCAGCATACAAAGTATTGTCACCTTTCACGAGACGACCCTTGACACCTTCAGGATCAACGGCTATGTCGGCTACGAACCGCTCATCGTTACCAGCAGGAATAATGCCTTCGTCGCCCATCTCCACATTCCTTCTGTGCCGAGCTCGCAGTGGTACCGCGGAAACAACAATCGGTGACCGAAGTGGCGCCGTGCTCGGGGTGTAAGTTCTTTTCCGCTCGGCTAGCGCCAAACCTCCATCTGCACCGACACCAGGGCGTGCTTTCCTACTGCTTGCGCCGGAACAGCACGGTTGCGAAAGGCACCGTCTCACATTTTCCAGCATTATTCCGGGGTATTCAGCATCCAGTATTCGCCGAGCTTGTCTGAATCAGTAGTATTTACCGCGTATTTACACGGTAGGAAGCGGTGGTGGAGGGTGTGTAGATCAAGATCTCGGACGGTTGTGAACGGTCTTAGATATACGTCAGTCACCTCATAGACGTCTTATCAGTCGAGTCACTGCAATTGCTAGCTTTGCAATCCTCAACCCTATAGTTTCGTCCTTACAATATCATACTATACACTATACAAAAATCCGCATCCTTCTTACATCAGCATCACATCATGGCGTGCCGTCCGGGTATCTCGTCTATGTCTCTAGGCCGGTGTTACGCTGGCCACAGCCTCGAACACAAGCTCTCTATGGCTGCAAAACATGGATTAGAGGGCATCGAACTCTTCTACGAAGACTTGGTTGATCACTCCGGGTCCGACTCTCCGTCCGATCTCCTGGCAGGCGCTGCCTCGGTCCGTGACCTATGCTCTTCATTGGATCTTGAGATTATTTGTCTGCAGCCGTTTATGCACTACGAGGGTCTCTTGGACAGGAAGCGACATGCTGAGCGGATCGAAGAGATGAAGCTTTGGATGCAATTGGCACATGTTCTCCAGACCGATGTCGTGCAAGTGCCCTCAACCTTCCTTTCCCAGGACGAGTGTTCTTCCGATATCAACCTCATCGTAAGCGACCTTCAAGAGATCGCAGATCTAGGGTTACAGCAGACACCAGTCATCCGATTCGCATACGAAAGTCTAAGCTGGGGAACACACGTTGACAAATGGGAGATGTGTTGGGACGTCGTACAAAGGGTTGACCGACCGAATTTTGGCATCTGCTTGGACAGCTTCAACATCTTGGGCAGAATATATGCAGACCCTACCTCGGAAACTGGAAAGGTCACAGGTGCCGATCAGGAAGTTCGCGAGTCAATACAGCGGCTGGTCACGCAGATCAAGCCTCATAAAGAGAAGATCTTCTTCATCCAGATTGTCGATGCTGAACGTCTCGAACAACCCCTGCGACCTGGTCACCCTTTCTATAACGCCGAACAACCGGCACGCATGTCTTGGAGCAGAAATTGCAGGCTTTTTTATGGCGAGAGTAGCCGTGGAGCGTACTTGCCCGTCAAAGACGTCGCACATGCTATCATCAAGGACATCGGCTTTGACGGCTGGGTCAGCATGGAATTGTTCAATCGAGTCATGAACAGTGAGGATCATGGAGTTGTCGAAGAGCTCGCGGAGCGTGCTGCGAATGCGTGGTCATCCATGTGCTATGATTTGCAACTTGATCCAGGAGTTAGGTGTGATAGGTCGGGATCAGTGGGTAAAATGCGGAACGAAGTCAATAGGACTGAACAAGCCGAGTATGCGCGGTTGTGAGGTCGGAGCTGATATTTTGTTTGATTTGATGACCTATATTGTTTTGGCGTTTTGGTGGTTCGAACGTAGAAGATACCCAACAATCAAGCATCGTTCTTAAGCGTCTCGAGCATGATATGAAGCACGCACATCTCGGCTGTACGCTCGGATCAAATCTCATCTAGGGGCTACTTTTTATTTCATCCAGCATCATAAAATGTGTTCAACGGAAATTGGGGAGATTCCTCGCTGTTGTCAGCGCCCATGTTCGACGCGGTAGGCATGAACCGCCCAGGGTCCGCTGCTAACAGGTCGGCCATGCTGACTTCTGACGAGAAACCTAGATTCTCCATGAACTGTGGCTGGTTCTGCAGTTTTTTGGCACCGTGTTTCGAAGCGAAGTCATCGAGAAAGCTTCCCAGGTCACCAGACACCAAAGCATTATAGGGATCATGGGGATCGAAGATTGGTCCTGCCATCCCGAAGTCGAACAAGTTTGGTTCAAATGGCGGTACACTATGTCCTTGGTGATTGCTATCCATGTCTGGTAATGTGCCATGAACCATACTAGAAGGGTCAGGTGGTTGCTGGTATCGTTCAACGAACGGGCCACGAAGTTGTGGTACAAGAGGCTGGGGAGAGGTCTGTAAAGTCCCAGGATTTTCTGAAGATGTATCTCTTCGGCTAATGGATACCGACCTTGAACCTGTCGATGCTCCTTCTGAAGGCTCATAGGATGATTGGCCGAGCGCGGCAAACAATTCTCGAATCCGGGTGTGAGTCGGTTGATCTAGGTTTAAACTGACGGTACTTCTCCTGATACTTTGTAATAGGCAAGCAATGATCGCTGGCATTCTCGTGGCTCCAAGTTGCCGTTGCAGTACACTCAACATGTCTAAGATCTGCTGAAGCCATGCCTGTGAGGGGACAAGCGTGAACGCAGTAACGAGATATGTGAATCGCAAGAGTAACGCGGGCGGCGTTGCTGGAGTAAAGGCAGAGTCTTTCTGGATGTATTCAAGTTTCTGTGGTAGTGCCGATTTCCACATCTCAAGCCGACCGATCATCTCATGTAGGAAATTTGGTGCTGTCTGCTCCCTAGAGGTACACCCGAGAATATCAACCAACTCTAGGAGAGCGTTGAAGGTACTCAAGGCAAGTGTTGGAGAGTTCGGCCGACGCGTTGGATCAAGATTAAGATGCCCACTCCACGGCTGCCATTCTTCCATTCCATCCTCTTCTATCTTGCCCATCCACGACAGTTCAGCCCTGTCGAGATAAGGACGTCGTTTCAAATGTAGAGAAAGGAGACTGTCAAGTACGAAACACCCAGACATGACATGCTTTCGTCGAGACGCAGCTACATCCGATGTTCCAGCAAGCATGAGTGCTATCCGCAAAGCAGCGCCAACTAGATGCCAAGAAGCATCAAAAAGTCTTCTGCTAATGTTGAATAAGGCCAGATTAAGAAGAGCCTTCACGTGATCCAACTCGAAGTTGCCTAACTCGTCAGGGATGAGTTGTCTAGCAATATTGTAAAGCTTGATTGGCGACCATGCACGGTAGCTTTCTCCAGTGACATTGTTGTCGTCCTGCGAGGAACCCACTGCGAACATGCTCCACATCTCGGCATGACTTCCCGAGCTCGACATATTGCAGGAAAGGGCCAGTCCTCGTTCCGGATAAGAATACGATAGCTTCAGGATCTCAAGCTTGTCTGCGATAGGAAGCCAGCATTGCGTATAAGTACAGTATATCTCGATCAGCCGCCAGCAGTCGCCAGGTAACGGTGTAAGAGACGAAGAGCCCGTAGACTGTTGCAGACTAGGGGAATGGAGATCCGGTATCGAAGGTGGACCCATCTCTTGTGACATGTAACTTGCACCGCTTTGCCACGAAGCCTGCTAATGTCAGCTTTTATCATTATTCCAATCTGGAACTAATACCGAATGCTGAGACTGAGGTTTTGGTGTCATCTGAAGAAGTGTTGCATCCTCGGTATCGACCTCGCTGTCATCGTCGGAGCTTGGCAGTCTGTCTTCGCTTGCCCCTATCTGCTCTCCAGATAATGCTTTGGTGACGTCCCGACAAAATCTGCTCTTGGTCCAGCTCTTGTGTAAACGGTTTGATTCTTTAGTACCCCTTGCTAGCAAGACTGTATTCCTTTGGGCTAATTGGTCGTGTACCAAAGACTCGATTTCAGTGTTTTGTTGGAAGATGAAGGCCAATGTCATTTCAAGGGTGCGTATGTACCCAGGTTGTAGTCCTCGTTTCTTAGGATTTGATGTATAGGTACAAATGCGCCTAGCGTCCAAGCAGGGAGAGCAGTTGGGCTGATTTGCATCACACTTCTCGCGAGCGTTGCGGCATTGATCGCACGCTCTTGATACCCGAAATCGTTTTACCGGTACATCTTGTGTGGCCTGGCGGCGTTTTTCCTGGGGTTGCAAAGACATAGGTCGGACAGCTCTTCTTTCGCGTCGCAAAAAGAGCGAAGCAGCGCCTCATGGAGCCTTGCCAAAGGAGTGGATTGAAGATCGTACGGGCGCTGGGTATCTAGACATCGTTCGTCCGAGTAGCTTACGAAAGAAGCCATCGAGCTTACCGAGTGAGGCAGTGGAGAAGCTGGGGAAGCGTCTGTGCAGGAGGATAAAGTTTTACCCCCGAGGAAAAGCGGGGCGGATCGACATCACGTGATTCGCTAAGACACCTGTCGCTGCCAATTGCAACGCCATGCTGTGCTTCATGCTGTTGACACCTCGAGACAATTTCGGATCGCAAATTCTGTAAGCGATGGCTTCCGTGACGGTTGGTACCAAGCGTTCATTTGCCGCAATGAACACTGAAACCGGAGCGAAGGATGGACGCTCTTCTCTGCCAACACCATCTCCGCCTGCGTCGTCCAAACAGCGAAGTTTACCGAATTCGGCAAGGTCAACACCGGCACCCTCACAGTATGAATGCCGGAGGGTATTTGACTCCAGAGCGTCTATCGTGCTCATTGGGATGCATGGAACAGGCAAAGCAACGTTGGCTATGATGGCTTCAGTAGCCTGTCAGCGAAGGGTCATCGATATGGAGAGTGTCTTCCACTCTGCAACAGGCTTCTCGACCACTGCGTATCGCAAACAATTTGGATCTTCAAACCGTAGTCTCAGGCAAGAAGAAATCTTACGCGACACACTGAAAACTTATAGCAGAGGCGCCATCATCGTCTGCAACGGAGGTTTTCCGTTGGATAGCAGCAGCCAAGCTCTGCTGCACGAATTTTCGGCATCTCACCCAGTCATTCATATTACACGCGACGTGCGTAGTGTACGAGAGTATCTTGACACGGACGAATCGAAAGTTCGAGAGCTGCTTGCTCTTAGCACTCCGGTTTTCCGACGGTGCTCAAACTATGAGTTCTACAACATCTCCGAAACGAATGCAGCCCATCTCTCAGTCGCACCTGCACATCAGCCCTCTGTTCCTGCTTTCTTGACTCTGAAACGAGCCGAGAGAACGTTCTTCAAATTTCTGGCTTTGATACTATCTCCCCAAAACACACACCGGAAGATCAAAAGCGATGCGCCCACGCTAGACCCTGGCCACTTTCCACTCTCCTACGTCGATTTGGAGCTGAGGAATTATACTTGTGCTGTCCAAGTACAGCTATCCGATCTTACGCCGGAGGAAGTCGATATTGAGGAGCTGGAGTTTGGCTGCGATGCATTTGAGATTGTCACCGAGCCAACACAGCTTACGGCGGATCACGCTGAAAACATCAGCAAGAGCATATTCAGAGTCCGGAGGAGTACCGTGACTCCGATTATCTTCCACGTTATGCCGCCTTCAACACGCGCCAGCCATTCCACATCTTCTTATTTGGCGAACTTATGGTATGGTCTACGGATGGCGCCTGAGTTCGCCACTGTTGATCTGACAATGGACGAGGAACTCATTCGAGCGATTGTTGCGTCGAGAGGATCAACAAAGATAATTGGCCATCTGCACGCAGCTATGGATTGGTACGATGTTTTCTGGCTCGAGAAGTACGACACTGCAATGCGCCTAGGTTGTAGCCTTGTACGCTTTACCAGGCCGGCAAACTTTATGGATGACAATGCCGCGATTCAATCATTCCGCAATACCATATACGCCAAGTCACAGAGGATACCCATGATATGCTACAACACTGGACGCGCAGGTCGTCGTTCCGCTTGCTTCAACCAGGTTCTTACTCCTGTAATACCAGAAAAGCTTCGAAAAAGTGCAAACTTCGAGACCAGAGCGCAAGAGAACCCAGAAACTTCGTGGCTTACTGTAACAGAGGCGACGCATATTCTCTACGCGTCTTTCACGTACGATCCTATGGAGTTTTATATTATCGGCGCGGCAGCAGGTTATAGCTTGAGCCCAGCTATGCACAACGCGGCATACCGAGCCTGCGGCATGCCTCATCATTTCGATCGGCTTCAAACTGCGACACTGGACGAGAACATAAGGGAGTTGTTGCGGAAACCGAACTTTGGTGGCACTGCAGTCAGTCAGCCTTTCAAAGTGGATGCTATTGCACTTACTCACTCCCTGAGTCGACATGCCCGAGCGATTGGAGCCATCAACACGCTCCTTCCAATCCGTCATCTTAATAGCGATGGAAGCATACCCGATGCGGATGGTGTTGAGCTCTTCCAAGAACGAAACCAATCTGGGCCTGTCAAAGCACTGTTCGGCGATAATACTGACTGGATAGGCATAAGATCCTGTATACGAAGGGGGCTCTCTCCAGCTAACGCTGTTCGGCCCACTACCACCTCTAGCCTCGTTATTGGGTCAGGAGGAATGGCCCGGGCAGCGATCTATGCCATGCTACAGCTTGGAATCAAGAACATTGTCATCTTCAACCGAACAGTCCCGAATGCACGGAAACTAGTCGACTACTTCTCTCAGCTAGCTGCAAGTCCTTCGGCAGCCAAGCTCTTTCCATCATTCGTCCAAGGATCACAACCCACATTTCGCTTACTCGAATCTAGAACTGAAGCTTGGCCAAGCGATCTCCGCGCCCCCACTGTCATTGTTTCCTGCATACCCACGCACGCCGTTGGCGAAGAGCCATCACCCGATTTCACGCTTCCCCTTCACTGGATGCAGTCACCATCAGGTGGTGTAGTCATTGAGCTCGCTTATCGTACCCTCAACACGCCCTTGACGAAACAAGTTCGTGAAGAAGCATCGGCCTCTTGGATCTGCTTGGACGGCCTTGACCTATTACCTGAGCAAGGATTCGCGCAATTCGAACTTTTCACAGGAAAGAGAGCTCCGCGCAGGATCATGCGGGAAGAGGTATTGAAATGCTGGACCGACGAGCAAGGGCGATCGAACCCTAATATGGTCCGAACACGACTCGAAGCCATGGCAGACGAACAAGAGCCTTGAAAACATGATTCTGGATGTTCTTGAGGTCTTAAGCTTCACACGGACGTAGAATACCATGGAGGTACACATCAGCGCAGGCCAGCCTTTGGTAGTGCTGCGCAAGCTGGCTTCATCTCAACCCAAAGACGATGGGCATATATTGAATGTGGTTGCAAGGACACAAGCCAACGGAAACGATTTGCGGACCCAATTGCACACTCTGCTTCGTTCTGTTCTCTTCCTCGGTTTATGTTGCTACTCCACGGAAGGTGGCTGTCGATGCTCTTCCCCGAGAGTTTCCTAGCTCAGTCGTAGAATGCCTTGATAGTGCTGAACGAGGAATATTCACCTAGTTTCCCCCAAACTGAAGAGCAGCCTTTTGCTGCCATTGCAGTTCACAGATATATAGACGAAATCTGTATTACAGAAAGTGTAGGGAATCAGCCTCCATCATCTCCAACCCCTTCTTTTTGCACCAAGGGACATCTGGATACCTACCTCGGTACAGATTAGCCACAGAACAGACGTCCATGGATGAGGAAAGCAGGATGCGACAGTCATCCTCGGGCTTCTTGTATCTGTTGACGTCATGGTTCGCCCAGCATTCGACGGTGATAGTGAATACTATGAAAACAACGGTGGCTTTTTCAGTAGCCGAATCAGCAGTTACTGTGGCTGCTTCCGCCTCGTGACACTTCAGTTGGTTATGCCGTCAGAACAAGGTAGAAGGAATCAGAGTGAAGTACAGATCACCAAAGCTTTGCATTTGTCATCGGAAAATATAGAATAGAATTCAGAGCAGCATCATGCCGCCCTCTTGAACTTAAAGAATAATAACAGTCTACACAAGAGAAGACAAAGAGGTGCCGGAAAAGGATGTCGGTCTATAAACTCTAAACTTCGCTACAACAAGCCATGCATCGATTAGAAGTTCATCAAGTCTGTTTTGACGTTAGCTTAGTCACATTCAAGGAAAGTGAGCAACGGAATAACATACCTCGTCCAAAAAGTGCTCTCTTAGTCCAGTCCATAGCAAGCAAACACCTCGTCCTGAAGCTCACACTCTGTGCGAAGTACACGCCTCTCCACAGGTAGACGGCCAACAAACCACCGCTCAGGCCATAACCGTTGTAGTCGAAGATAGCTGCATTACCAATGTAGGCCAAGCTACCAAGATGCTTGTACTCGAACGCTTTGTATACTGCATCGTCTAGGTCGCCGTAGTCAACGTTGTTGAGTGCCATGCCAGGGGCTGCCTGAGCAATCTTGTTGAACTTGCGGCCGAGGTATTCACCCTGCTGGTTGGCACGTTGGGCAGTAGCGGGTAGGGATGTGAGCTTCGAGTCAATCTGGAAGAGAAGCTCTCTAAGCTCGCCAAAGTCTAGGGTGCCAGACTTGTCCTTGTCGTACTGTTCAAATAGCTTGTCTAGACGGCGAAGGTGGTTCGCTGCCTGTGGGAAACGCTGCTTGACGCGCTTGGCAATGCCGCGCCAGTCTGAGTACGAAATCTGCAGCTTCTCGGGGTCCTTACCCTTCTCCCAGGCAGTGGTGCGGAGGAAGTTTACGATGTGGTCAGAGACGTTATTTTGGACAGTCGCGCAGTCACCAATAGCGTATACATCGCCGAGGGGTGAACCGTTTAGACGAAGATGAGTATCGGTTTCGAGGGCATGCCTGTTGTTCTGGCCGTCAAGTTTAGCAGCGAGACGCTTGCAAAGGTCTGTCTGTGCAACACCGGTTGACCAAAGACAGAAGCCCATTGGAATCTCCTTGACTACCACCTTGCCGTTTTCATCCTTTTGTGAGAAGAGGATCTTGTCTGACTGGACCTCCTTCACGCGCGAATTTGTGAGAATATCAACAGAGTCGTGTGCGAATCGTTGCTCAGCGTACTGGGACAGCGCCTCTTCGTAGGTGTTTAGGATATGACTGCGGGACTGGATGACGTGGACGGAGATTTCGTTGCGAAGAAGTCTTGGGTAGAGCTTGCAGAGGTCCTCGTTGAGCATGTCGAAGAGCTCAGCCGCGAATTCTACTCCAGTGGGTCCACCACCACAAACCACAAACGACAGGAGCCTTCGCCTCTCTTCGTCAGATGTTGTAGGTAAGCATGCGTGTTCAAGATTCTTTACGACCTGGTTGCGGATGAGTCTAGCATCGCTGATATCCTTGAGGAAGTGGCAGTGCTCAAGACCCTTGACGCCGTGGGAGTTTGAGACAGATCCGACGCCAACAACCAGCTTATCGTAAGGGACGTAGAATCTTTGCTCCTGGCCATGGGCATCGACAGCTGAGCATTCGATGAGCTTCTCGGAGAACTCGACGTCTTCGGCCTTGGCCTTGAGGAAATGCCCGCGCACTCTCCGCACAATTTTTCTGACTGGTTCGACAAGGGATCGCAGCTCCAGTGTACCTACGGTGGCAGACGGCAGCATAGGTGTGAAGAGGAAGGTGTTGGACGGCGAGATGACGACAACGTGGTAGTCATCCTGGTTCAATTGCTTCAGGAGGGCCACGCTGCCCCAGCCCGTACCTAATATGACCAACTTTGGTTTGTGCTTGAGCTTCTTATTCTCAGGACATTCATCGTCGTCGACGAAGTGGTCGGCGATTGGCAGATTCTTTGGTCCTCCTCTCCTCGGGCTGAGTGCGAGTTCTGAGACGGGAATGTCGGTCGCGATGGGGTCTTCGTTGTATGTGTAGGCGTCGTAGACGAAGAAGGCGATGACCAGAACACCGCTAACGGCGACGAAAGAGCCAAGCATTGCTGCTGTTCTGTAGGCATAGCGAGCAAAACGCGATCGCGGAACGTCTAGAGGTTTTGTGGAGGCGGTTCTTATCGCCGTGGTGGTGGGGGTTTGCTTGCTCAACTGTGAGGTTTGTAGGGCAGCGCGTCTCGAAGCAGGGGCTGGACTGCCATTGCTGAAGGAAGCGCGGAGTTGTGCGGGCGTCGCTCGGGGCAATCTTGTGCAGAGAAGTGAGGCTCTAGAAGATGCATTGTATCCGCGTGATAGCGATGCGGCCTGTCGTGGTAGCATTGCGGGAACTCGGAGCTCTCGCGGAGCAGCTGGAAGCGGCAGAGGAAGCTGGGGCGGACAGGAATGGCGGGCAGGATGCGCCTGCGTGAGGTATGCGAGCAATTGACTCAACAATCGCAGAATTAGAGTTGGAATATCATAGGTAGATGGGACAAGCGAATGTACTATACAAGTGTGCCAGGTGCGTTGGAACAGGGTAGGCGTCTAGGGAAGTGCGGAAATGTTAGTCGGCATGTTCAGCGTTACGTCACCATGGTAGATCGGAGCGTCGCAGGCCATCCCTGCATCGTACAACCAAGCTTCCATCGGCCCCAGTAAACGCGTGCTTGTAACGTGCCGCGTCAGAACTGTATTATTTTCTTGACTTCACGACGCTAGTATAGCTTGGAAGGTTGACTGTAATCAAACAACATGTATCCTGCAAACTGCAATCTGAACCGTGTCAATCTTAAACGCCCATATCCTCCTCCACTAAGCATGCATCCCGCCCGGGCAGATTTCACATCTCGTTGAGCTTAGTACGCGAATTGTGGATAAAGTCTGCTACATCAAGACATTGGCTTGAGCGGCCCACATGCGTCACGACTGACGCATGGTAAAAAACATCTTGGTCATTGTGCTATCGGCAGATTGGTTGAATAGTCATGTTCCAATAAGCATTCTGCAAATAGTACAACACTGCCATTTCCATGACTGGCATGTATGCGCACCAGTCATGTTCTTATATACAATTCTCTCAGCTCCTGCTTTCAGTAGCTCTACTAGCACGACCACACACCAACTGTACCATCTCTGCGTCCTTCAACGAGATAGCCATCCTTTATCCTAACATGCTCAATGGTGGGATACTTGGTCTCGTCGCTTTCGTCGGCGCCGGGTCCACAGCTCCAGTGTCTTCCATCCGTTTTATCGTAAACCTTGACTACGTCCTCACCCGCTGCAGACACAATGCGGCGTGAGTCGAACATCATGCTGGTGATGGGGTGGTCGTAAGCATAAGCATCGGCAATGGCGCCGGTTCGGAGATCCCAGATCTGTGCATATCAGTAAACAAGCCTAGATGAAGACGAAAACCATCAACTTACGCGTATACTCCTGTCGGCACTACCGGTTACGAGGTGGACATCGTCGAATTGCAGAGCTGTGACAGGGCCTGTGTGGCCGACGAGACTTCGGTGTACTTGTCCGCTTCGCAGATCCCATAAGCGTACCATACCGTCTGCGGTACCACAGGCCAGTGCGGCATCGAAGACTTGAATAGCGCCTACGAAGTCGGCAGAGGAATCGGCGGAGCGTCCAGTCTGTCGCCATGTGCTCTGAGAGGTGTTTGTAGCGGTTGCTTGAGCTGCCGCCCAAAGGACATCAAGCGTCTGAACGCAGCGTCCCTTGACCAGATCCCACTGTCGTAGTGTCTTGTCAGCTGAGCCAGAAACCAGAGTGTCGCCGCGGAAATGGAGCGCAGTGACTTCATCGACGTGCGATTCGAGGGAGAACAGAGGGCAATCCTGCATGCTGGTCGATGGCGGTGCAGGAGGTGCGTCTTCGGAGTTCTCAAAGGCCAGACCATCATCACTTTCTTCATCGTGCTTGTTTATCCGGTTGTCCATGGGCGCATATTCAGCCTTGCTCAAGTCCCAAAGCTTGATAGAAGCGTCCATTGAGCCAGTTGCAACGATGTTCTCTTCGACCTGGAGGCAGCGCACGGAAGACAAATGACCCTCGAGCATTCCGATGCACCGGCCGGCGCTCAGATCCCATACTCGTACGGTGTCATCCAAAGATGCCGTGACCATCATACCCCATGGCGCGTCAAAGTCCATGGCGGTAATGGAGTCCATGTGCGCGGGTAGCTCCTTGATCTTGGATCCTGATTGCAGATGTTCGTGTAGTACGGGCATGGACATTCTCTTGGAAAGCCTCTTGGCCTTGTTCTTCGTCTTTGGCGATTGCGGTATCTTCTGGTATATCGACTCGGACATGAACTCGCCCTTGCCTTCTGACTGTTCATCGCTTGTTTGCGACTCTGCCGTCTTGGGTGCCAAGGCGGCTTCGTCGTCGAGCTCTTCTTGGAGGTCCTCGATGCGGTTGTCCACGGTGAGGAGATCCTGCTCAAGCTCGCCCTCTTCGAGCTCAAGGCCGGCCAGGCGGTCGAGCACCATCTTGCGCATTGTGTTGAGGTTGGCGATCTTGTTGTCGATTTCGTGTATTTCGGCGACACACATGTGTTTCCGCACGCCCATCATCTCCAACCGGTGGCCCATGGCGTTTCTCTGCTTCCTCAGTTTCTGCATGGAGGGCGGGACGTTGGGGTCGTCTTCGTCTTGGCCGGCGCCGATGAGCCTCTGGCCGCGCGCGTTGTGGCGGCCATGTTTGTTGGCGTGGCTGTCGGGCTTGTCGGGCAGCGAGGCCTCGAAGCCCTGGAAGAGGGAGAACTCGCTGTTGTCCTCGGGGATGTTGGACAGCAGGTCGTTGGGGATGTAGGCCAGTGCTCGCTGCTGGATCTCGGGGACGGAGATTCGCGAGCGCACGATCTCGCGGGGGGTGGTCTGGGCGAAGGAAAAGACGGATCGCTGCATCAGAGGGCGCTTCAGCTCGCGGTGGAGCTCGCCAATGGCGTTCTGGTAGTGCTGGGTGACTCCTTCGGCGCCTATCAAGCTGCCAGCGGTGGCAGTCACTTTTTTGCCAAAAGCTTGCAGATGGCGGGTCTAGCGAGCATTAGCATCACCGTCTGCGAGTTGGAAATTGCGGTGGGGCTACATCGGGGAGGGCGTCTAGATAGCTGCCCTCGTCATTGCTGTCGTCCAAGGCCTGCGAGTACCGGGGCGAGCGCGGGCTGGTGGACCTCCCGCGACCTGGTGATCCATTGCGGGCGGTTGACGAGGCCATGCGAGCAGGCGTGGCGGGTGGGACTCAACGGGCGGCGCAGTGCAAGAAACCGTCTTTATGTCATCATTTGTCTTGGCATTCCAGTCTCAGTGCTGCTCGCGTGCTCAATGGGAGAGGCCAGGAGGCGGTGCGGCGCGTGGTGGTGCTGAGAGGTGGATGGATATGTTCTGGTGGTGGTGGTGGTGGGTGGTGGAGCTCAGCCATCGGCAATGCGCCTGCGTCATGGGCCGAAGAGCAGCGCCGATGGTCGGGTACATGGTCGTTGTACCACCAGCGCCGACCATCATGGCTGCCAACACCATTCACTTTCTGCATCTTGTCGACGGGGAACCATGGACGCGGCCATTGACCTCTCCGACGCCTCCAAGGCGCTGGACCTGGCCAACATCCGCTTCCAGCTCATGTGCGCGCCCTCCCCACCATGCGCGCGTCTGAGTCAAACTGACAGCCAACAACAGTCGTCTCGAGGACACAATCACCTTCCACCTGATTGAGCGCGTCCAGTTCCCGCTGAACAAGACCATCTACCTGCCCGGCGGCGTCGACATTGGCGAGCCCGACACCAGCCTGTTCGACTGGATGCTGCGCGAGCAGGAGCGTCTCCAGTCCCTCGTCCGCCGCTACCAGTCGCCCGACGAGTACCCCTTCTTCCCAACAGTCCTCCAGGAGCCCATCCTCAAGCCCCTCAACTACCCCCAGATCCTCCACCCCAACAATGTCAACGTCAATGCCAAACTCAAAGACTGCTACATCAAGCACATCCTACCCGCAGCATGCGCCCCCACCGACCGCGAGGACAGGGGCGAGTCGCAAGAAAACTACGGATCCTCGGCCACATGCGATGTCATGACCATCCAGTCCTTGTCGCGGAGGATACACTTTGGCAAGTTCGTTGCCGAGGCCAAGTTCCAGCAGGAGACTGAGCGCTTCGTCAAGTTGATCAAGGACCAAGACAGAAAGGGCATCGACGAGGCCATCACAAATGCCGCCGTGGAGAAGAAGGTCCTGGAGAGGTTGAGACTAAAGGCGAAGACATACGGCACAGACCCAGACCTGGGCGCTAATGGTTCGTCCAAGGTAAACGCAGACGCAGTGGTTGGCATGTACAAGGTAAGTTATTCTATTGCATTTTCACCAGGGCATTCTAACAACCTCGCAGGATTGGGTCATTCCTCTGACCAAGGAAGTGGAAGTCGAGTACCTTATGCAACGACTAAAGGGCACGCAATGGGAGTAAACCTCTGATGCAATCAAAACAACATATCCACTGCGCCATATCTTGAAAACTCATCTATGTGATTCGCAGAGGGAGGGGCGGGTCAGGATCGCTTGACCGAAAAACCTCGTCGCAGCTGTGTTCTGGAGGAACGGACACTGTCCTTCGGCTACTTTATGAGATGGTTGTGCAGTTGATTTGGATGAGGTTGTGTATGGCGGCCAGTTCATCGTGTTGTTTAGCCTTTGGAACAACCTTGGAAGCTCGTTCATCGCCACCAACCTGCTTCTTTGTAGTTGTTCTGAAAGTAATATGGAAGTTTCAAAGATCACATGCGCAACATGCCCAATTATCTCTTTCATACAACACAGATGACGATCTTATGAATAGCGCTAGTCGACAGCCAATCCAATACTCAAGTAAACCTCAGTCTCCCACGTTCCCGAGCTTGTTCCACATTTCTATATCGGTTTGTACATCGACTATATCATTGTCCACTGATCCATCAATATCGTTCCATATACTTGCTACCTTTGCTTCTTCGTCAGCATCACTAGATGAACTCGAGAGGCTCTCTCTAGCTACGTTCCACAAAAGTCGCTTCCTGTGTTATCGACTTGAGAATGGTCAAGATCCTTGTCACTGCTCTCGCTATTCTTATCCGAGCATTGGTCCTTGTCGCCATGTTCATCCCTGTTGATTGTAGAATTATCTTCGGCATTATCCTCCCCATTGCCCTACTGAAAGTCAACTCCAGTACTATAGGGGTATTTGCTCTGCAAAAGAATCCACGAGGTCAGAGAGCCAACAATCAAAAGCAAGCTGCGTGGTAAGCGTTCATAGAAGCCCTACTTGTGTGCATTAGATAGCGACAATTACCCGTTTTATAGCTACGACACGGCCTTGAGCAACTAGCTTTGTGTGTACGCACCCACAGTCGTGAGCTCATTAGTGTGATTTGTACGGCGCAGTATGCACGCTACCACTAACATGCTCGGATGAGCGTATTAATTTGACTAGCGAGGCATTGTAGCAGGGTAAGTACCGACTATTGCACGTTTCCATCCTTCGCAGCGTTTTCCGCATCCACTACGCTGCGATCTTGTTAGTGGCTCTATCCTTATTGTGGACGTAGGTAACTCTGCAAACCCATTTACTCCTGGCTGTAGACTTGCATGCTGACAACCGGATCTCATGTCTCGGATTGTGATTAGTGCACATCCTATTCACACGAACAGTGCTCCAAAGTTTCTCGTTTTTAGGACAGAAAATTCAACCCTCTTACCCGTTCTTGTTGGCTCCTGCTCTTGCATCTCACTATGACCAATACGTTGACTGCCGTCGTCTCATCAACACTTCCGTATGCGTCCAGCACCTTCGCACTCCCAGCCGTCCTGAAGTAGTTCAAGCTAGGCAAAGCCGAGATGTCCTACGATGAATCCCCACATCTTGTCACCCCATACTTCCGGCTGTTCCTGAAGATTCGAAGACCAATCCGCAGTGTCGAAGTCGAGACCCCCACCGTTGATAGGTCATGGACGACCATTCCGATGGCTCCACTCAAATATTGCCAGCGTCGACAATACGATGTCACGTCCAATGTCATTGCTAACTAGGTACCAGTGCAGAGACATCGATCCGTCAGGCTCCGATTGAATTAGCAAACCATTCAGTCAGGTTCCGAGGAAATGACGGGTGCCGTCAATTCGCAAATATAATAACGAGATCTTCGTGAATGACCGAAAGTGACCGTACAATGTTTGTGCTCGGCCTCAGATCATCACTCCGTGTATCTGGAACTTCTTCGTGCACGGTAGGCAAAACCATTGAGCGTCTGTTGCCACTCATGTATTTCCCCAGGCTAGATGGGCCTCTTCGTAGCGTAGGACGCATGGTATTCGTTCTCGTTCAAGGCTGAGCCTTCGATCGCGGGTCCAGAAATAGCAAAAATAGCGTACCGCCGGAACAACTCCGATCGGGCATCAGTGGTGATGGTGTCGATGGCAGTCTCCGCTCTCTAAGCGTAGACCCTTGAACACGAGCCTTCAGGTGATCGGCAGCCACACCCGTCACAACCGTCTATGATGCAATGTACTCACGGCTCAAAGTTCCATCATCTCGGTTCATTTCCAAGCGACATCGTATTTTGATCCTTCGTCCAAGAAAGATCTTCATGCTAACTATTCAGGCTCCATGGAAAGAACCAGATTACTGATCGTACTCGGGCCACCCAGACGGCGGGCGATGAGGCCGCTCGAAGTTGATGAACGGACCGACAGGAACTCTAGGAAATTGAAGTCATGATTGACATTACCATATTTCCTAGAATTCACAGCACTCAGACTCTACATCTCAGCACGGCTAACCTCTTTGCCGCGTTCCGAGTGTGCCGATAAGCTACAGTTGTTCTTACCCCAGCATCGGAGTCTGTACCGCAACAATACGAATCTAAAAGATGCAGTCGCCTCTCACCATCGTATCCATCGTAACAGCAACTAGAATACCTGTAGCCTAGGACGTCACGTCGCTAGCATCCCGAAGCGAGTTCTTGTGCAGCCGATCGGCCAGCGCACGATGCTACTGCGCAGACCCTATTCATCCTACTAAACGTCACATCTCGTATATTTGGCACGGTTCTAGCGCCGCTAGGTTTACCAGCTATCTGGATAGGACGTATTGTCGCCTCATCCGGTCACCCCGGATGCCGCTAATAGCTCATGACACCGTTAACAAGGGTTCTGAGGCTCCAAAAATGGGGCAGTAGTGTCTTTCCGGCGCTGTCGGCATGGGCCGATGCTCGTGTTTCCAGAAAGGTTTTCATGGTGTACCCCTCTGGTGTGTTCTTGTGGGCATGGCCAAGCGGGACGCTTGATGCCTATCCCCTCGTATTGAACCTTGGAAGAGGACGGGCATGATGATCGTGGTAGCAGTGGCATACCCCAGATACGAGATGCGATGATATATAATGCCAGGCAAGTGTCCTGTCTTAAACTCATCATCCAACAACAGTGTTCACATCCAACAGCAACTACTCAACTACCAACACTCTATTCTTCAACCTCAACCCTCAAATCAACTTCATCAAAATGCAGTTCACCACCATCGCCTCTCTCTTCGCCGCCGCTGGCCTTGCCGCCGCTGCTCCTCTTGAGTCTCGCCAGGATACCGCATCCTGCCCTGTCACTACCGAGGGTGACTACGTCTGGAAGATCTCCGAGTTCTACGGACGCAAGCCGGAGGGAACTTACTACAACAGCCTCGGCTTCAACATCAAGGCTACCAACGGAGGAACACTCGACTTCACATGCTCTCACTCAGCCGACAAGCTTGAGGACCACACTTGGTACTCTTGCGGCGAGAACAGCTTCATGGACTTCTCTTTCGACAGCGACCGCAGCGGTCTGCTCCTGAGGCAGAAAGTTAGCGACGAGTAAGTTACCCTTGTACCTTCGATTACTTCGCAGATTTAGATATACTAACATATTCCCAGCATCACCTACGTCGCTACCGCCACTCTTCCCAACTACTGCCGCGCAGGCGGTAACGGCCCTAAGGACTTTGTCTGCCAGGGTGTTGCCGACGCCTACATCACCCTCGTCACTCTCCCCAAGAGCTCTTAAGCGATATTTGGTCGAGCATATAAGAAGCATCAATTTCTCTTACTGTAAAATTTTTTAGCGCATTCAAGATAGACATTCCTTATTCTAGACTTAATTTAACCATTTATCTGGTCATTCAAAGTGTTCGGTCAGTGTTGAAGGTACTAAAGCGGTGATGTACGGCTTATCGACTACGAGTAGAATGGATGAATCACACACAACAATTACATTACATCCTAAAGTAAGCAAACAGATTTTGAGTTCGACTAAACATAAAAAGATCATCGTAACAAGAACGGAGAAATCCTTGACAGCCAAAATCTCGCGCTTACCCTTATAAGCATAAAACAGATGCATGCGCATCGCTGTCTGACACTAAAATAACACATCCACTTCACATCAAACTACTATTTACATACGCCTCGCACGAGGAAATCGATGCCTGAAACACACGTCGCGCGAAACCATCATCCTTGAAACTTCAAACCTCCTTCCCACGTGACACGCGACGCGAACTATAACACCATCGTCAACCCGCGAACTTGCCATCCTCAAAACCGCGTACAACAACAGCCCGCCATGTCACTACTCGCCCGCGCGAAAGACCTAGTCTACAATCCGGATCACACAAGATGGATGACACCTCTCTTGCTCATTGCAGACGCGGCGCTTTCAGGCGTGATAATCGAGAAGATACCATGTTCGTGCTCTCCTGTCTTACTTATAAACCACCACGTGTCCTAACGAGGATATTTTTCAGATACAGAGATAGACTGGACGACATATATGCAGCAGATATCTATCTATTTGAAAGGCGAGCGCGATTACAAGAACATTTCGGGCTCAACAGGTCCGCTTGTGTACCCTGGTGCGCACGTATGGATCTACAAGCATCTGTACAAGTGGACAGATGAAGGGCGAGATATAGGCCTTGCGCAGTACATCTTCGCAGGAGTGTATCTACTTACGCTCGGTGTGGTTTTCCAATGTTACAGGAAGGCTAGGGTAAGTACTTTTCTGTTCTGATTATTGTTTGTCGAGGCTGTAGATGCTAATGTCTTGATAGGTCCCACCTTACGTCTTCCCGCTGCTGATTCTATCAAAGCGTATGCATAGCATTTTCATGCTGCGATGCTTCAACGATTGTTTCGCTGTACTGTTCTTTTGGTTGGCTGTCTACTGTTACCAACGCAACCAATGGCATCTGGGAAGCGCGCTGTATAGCACGGGCCTGAATGTCAAGATGAGCTTGTTGTTGCCATTGCCGGCGATGGGCATCTTGATGGTGATGAAGTTGGGCGGAAGAGAAGCATTAACGCAGGCTATGATCATTGGGCAGATGTCGGTACGTATATCTTCAAATTTCCATACCTATCACTTCTCAATTGGTATTGATCAATTTGTAGGTCCTATTTGGGTATCCTTTCAGAAAGCGCGCACCCAGTTACTTTGCTCGCGCTTTCGAACTCAGCCGTGCCTTCCTCTACAAGTGGACCGTGAACTGGCGCTTCGTCCCAGAATCAACATTCCTCTCCCGGCCTTTCGCCATGGGCCTACTCGCTCTCCATGTTGGCCTCCTTGTCTGGTATGCGCGAACCCGCTGGATCAAGCCTTCGAAGCGCAATGTCCGCGAGTTCCTCAAACTTTGTATTCCAGCCATTGAGCCACGCGATCAAGATACCATGTCTAGCAAGATTACGCCCGACTTCATCATGACGACAATGCTGACCGCGATGACGATTGGATTACTCTGCGCAAGGAGTCTGCACTACCAGTTCTACTCTTACATTGCATGGAGCACGCCTTTCTTGCTGTGGAAAGCAGGTTTCAATCCGGCCGTGGTATATGCATTATGGGGCGCGCAAGAGTGGGCGTGGAATGTGTACCCAAGTACATCGGCTAGTTCGGCGACGGTTGTGGGCGTTCTGGCGATTACGGTCGCAGGCGTATGGTGGGGAACGAGGAAAGAGTACGAGGGCGTGACGAAGGGTATAATCGAGGAGGATCATGAGCACGCCGAGTGAGTGCAATCGCAGGCTCAGTCTGCGTCTGAGTCAGAGGGCGGCATCTTTCCGACGGTTGATTCTTCTTCGTCGCTATCCTCGACATAGGTGGACTTCTTTACGAACTCCTTGGGCCTGTATATCATGCTATTAGCGCTCTATACACATGTCACATGATATCCGGTTGCAACATACCAGTACGCCATCTTCCTCCAGGCCTTTTCGTCGCGAACCACATTGACAATCTCTCCATCCAGCTTGTTCTCCCGATCTGCCAGTGCAGAAGTGTCTACAACCACATAGCTACCCCTCTTGATCCATACTGTCGATCTGAACCTCGCTTCCAGCTCTGCAAGTACAGGCTTGCCATCTGGTAGCTCGGCGGCATAAATGTTCTTCCCTTCAGCTTTGGTAATGCGCGCGATGACGTGGTTTGGCGACAGCGCGTCAGGCGGTGTGATGGTGCTGTCTATGGTGGCGAGCACGTTGCGCTTTGGACGGGCCATGTTGAAGCAGAGCTTGGATAAGCACGGTGAGGGGTGATTGCTGAGTGCGATGGTGGTGGTGCAGCAGTGGAGGGGTGCTTGGGAAATTTCCAAGTAGGAAAGGTTCGCCGCGCTCGCGGGGAAGTTTTCACCGCTCCGACCTCCAAAAGTTCGCACTTTGGCGACCGACTAGGCAAAGCGGCTTTCCATCCTCAATTCTAGACTCAGTCCTTCTCCCACTGTCGGATCCGTTACCATCTTGGAACAGCTGGTTGCAGTCGTAGACGCGTCTGTTTCGCTGCACAACGTTTCACGAGCTTCGTGATCGACTCGGTGACCGTTCACGATCTCCACACGGCTGCAGCGCGACCACACGATAAGTACTCCGTCGCCTGTGATAGGCTTCAAGTCGGAGCCGGTGGTTCTTTATCAGGTATGATATGGTAATTATGCGCTTTACAATTTATCAGCGATTGCGCCCTCAGCCCTTTGATTTGGCTAGTCGCTTTCGTTGAGCACTTCGTGGACTACCGCTTAAGGGCACAAAGTTTTCATACAATCAGTGCTCGGTAGACCTTCTCGTTTATGACTCTACCTTTTCGAAAATCTTCAACACGCTTTACAGCCTGAACTCTACAATTGAAAAGCAATTATTTTCAAGTCGCACAGCCCGATATCCTCTCCCCGCAGATCGAGGGTATCGACAACATGTCTGCATTCCATAAGTTCTTCGATATACAACCCGCGTCGAACATTACCAACCCGGAACCAACATATCAAAAGAGCAAAAGCAAAGCACCTCAAACACTTGGTGATGTAGGTGTATTGCCGGATGTTGAACTCACGGATTTTGCTTCTCGCAACACAGACAATGGTCGCCAGGCTTCAGTCTCGGAGTCTGATATGCCAAAGGGTGCGCAAACCCCCAAGACTCCCAATGAGCTTGAGATGAGTCGCCCGGCTACACCGACTCGAGAAGATGCGGTTGGCAGGGAGAGGATGTGGAACGCTGACCCCATGACCAAATGGAGGATCTTGTGCTGCTGCATGATCTATTTCTCAAATGGAATAAACGATTCAGGTATGGAAGACTGCGAATCTGAACTTACACACCATTTTCATGGTACCAAGTGTGGACAAACACTGACTGTTGACCAGTTGTTGGCGCTTTGATCCCATACATGGAGTCGTACTACCACATCTCATACTCGATCATGTCTCTGGTCTTTGTCGGCAATGCCATCGGTTTTATCTCTGCTGCCTTTTTCACCAATTCAATTTTGGGAAAGTTCGGAAGAGCAAAGACGTTGATATTTGCAGAGTTGATACAACTATCTGCATATATTATCCTTGTGTGCACGCCTCCTTATCCTCTCGTCATCGTATCGTAAGTCTGCGGTCCAAGATGTCAAAAACGCACTGCTAATATCACTAGCTTTTTCTTATTAGGATTTGGTGCCGCTATCAACCTAGCGCTCAACAACGTGTACTGCGCGAATACGCATCCACCCAGTGTCATTCTTGGCCTGGCGCATGGTAGTTATGGCGTCGGAGGAATAATAGCACCTATCATCGGGACAGCGATTGTTTCGCAAGGAATCCTGTGGTCACGCTTCTACTTCATATGCGTCGGGCTGCGACTTTGCTGCATCGCCTTCGCCGCATGGTCCTTCTGGTCATACAGGGAAGACTCTGAGGAGACCCTCTTGGAAGCCACGACCAGCAGGCAAACTTCCGCAGAGAATGCCGCGTCAAAGCTGAAGAACCTAAAGCTCGCCTTGAAGAACAAGGTGACCATATTCGGGGCACTGTTCATTTTCGCATACCAAGGAGCCGAAGTGAGCATCTCAGGCTGGTTCATCTCGTACCTCATAAACTACCGTAATGGAGACCCTGCGAAGGTTGGATACGTCACAGCAGGCTTCTGGGTATGTAGAGCGTCTTTATGCTGCAATAGACATGCTAATTCTCCAATAGGCTGGAATCACTCTTGGCCGTTTTGTACTCACTCATGCTGCACCCAAAATAGGCGAGAAGAAATTCGTCGTCATTCTCACAATTGGAACAGTAGGCCTTCAGCTTCTGGCATGGTTGACGCCGAACTTGATTGGAAATGCGGTCGCTGTATGCTTGCTGGGTTTGTTGTTGGGCCCTGTCTACCCTTGTGCGCAGACCATCTTTTCGCGTCTCATGCCTCGTCATGTTCAAACAACTGCAATCGGCTTCATAGGCGGTGCAGGAAGCTCAGGCGGTGCAGTCGCTCCATTCACAACTGGTGTCCTCGCACAAGCCTCTGGTAAGTTACCACTTTCCAAGACGCAAACATCGACTAACTGATCCCGCAGGTACTTGGGTGCTTCACCCTGTTGCAATTGGTATGTATGCCGTCATGATGGTTTGTTGGTTCGCATTGCCCAAGGTGCGCAAGCGGACTGAGTAGAGTTACCGATCTTGCGACAATGTCGGGGTCAGTGGACACCGCAACCGAAGTGTTCGTCTGATGCGAGAAACGCCATGACATCATCTCGATAACCGCATTCCTTACGGGGTCCACGGAACGCGTTGCTTGTGCACCGACAAAACGACCACATCAGCGCCTCTGGTATATATGAAGACAGCGTCACTTTTCTTGAGTCCTTCTTAACTCCTTTGGTGATTGTTACCATATCCCCCAAAAAATCCCCCAATTTCACACTAGCCCAACAACATGTCAGCAACACAAACCGTACAAATCATAAGCATATCCACAGCGCTGCTAGCGTCGGGTGGCATCGCAGCATTGTCCCTTTTCGACATACCCATGATGCAATCACAACCGGCATCTCGCTCTCTTCCCATGATACGCTGGCTTTTCTCACGGGGCTCTCACACCTTCCCAACCGCGGCAATTACTTCAGCCTCCGGCTTCGTCTATCTCGCTTACAGCGCCCTCCCCACTTCATCTCTCAACTCCACATCGTCATTGCTCCAGCATGCTGTGAAGGGAAAGCCAGGTCTCTACCTTGTAGCCGCAGTACTTTCCTTCAGCATCGCACCAATCACCAGTTTTATGATACCAACCAACTTTGCCCTTATCAAGAAGAATGAGGAACTGGGCGGGAGCCGAAGTGCAGCATCTGCTGAGTATCGAGAGAAAGCTGGATTGAAGGGGCGAAGCGCTGATGAATCTGTCGATAGCAAGGATGACGTGAGTCAATGGAAAGACTTGAGCGTACCACAAGAGAAGACCGAGAAGAACAGTAGCGAAGCGGAAGATAAAGAAGTGAGCGAGCTGTTGGACAAGTTTGGTAAGCTAAATATGTTCCGGGCGCTGGCTATTGGGTTGGGTGGTATTGCGGGGTTGATGGCTGCGTTGGCGTAGGACTACTACAAAAGCTTGGTCGTCTGTTCTTAGATTGAGAGTAATCAGTAATCACGCCAAGCACTTCGAGATGCCGGAAGTGTCCGCCCTGCGCCTTATCCCACGAATCACGTTACATGTCTCTTCTAATCACGACATCAGTTGTACAGCTGACGTGAGATAGCCTACTGCCACTCCTGTAGGGAAGTCAAAGCAGCCAGGGTGATTGTGTAGCGGAGTAGGAGTTTCAGCTTGCTTCCGGCTCATCTTCTAATCCAGTAGTCGTATATAACCTCACTCCGTGCCCATGTCATACCCTGATCAAGTCGATTGCTACCACTCGTACCACACAATATGCATCACATCTTTCTACTCCCAGAATTGCTCATGGAGATCATCTCCTTCCTGCCACCCGCAGACCTTCGTACCTGCGCCTCAGTCTCGAGACACTGGAAAGAAACACTCCGGCTCAACCTCCATCCTCGCAACTTTCCTCTACCTAACACTATGTATAATAATCCCAGTACTCCAAGACCACATATACTCAAGAAGTTACCTCAATCCATCTCATCTCTTGCCCGAGATATCGTCCATCGAACAACACTGTGGCAGAATGCAGGGGTCGTTTTAGATATCTCAGACGATTACTACTTCTGGCACGATGGCGCTTACAGTAACCTTCTCTCTGCATTGAGCCAATACTTGCATCCTTGGCTGGGAAAGCATGTATGTGAGTTTGTTGGTGGTTTGGAAGAGATAGCGAGGGGAGACATGGGAATTTGTGTCAGGACGAAGTTGGGTGCTGAAGAGTTGGATGAGTGGTTTAGGGAGGGTGAAAGGGAAGTGAGCAGGGAGAGGAGTGTGATAGATGCGTACTTGTCAAAGCCTGTAACACGGAGTGTAGAGATTTATTGTGTGGAAGGGGCGGCGTGGGATCAAGAGTACGTCAATGTACTACAAAGAGGAGCAAGGAGACAATGGCAGCAGCGCTGTGTAAAGATCGAACGGAGAAACGGGATTCGATTAGGAGATGTGGTCGATGAGTTGAGGGGCATGTTGAAACCTAATGAGGCGGTGACGGAGTTTGGGGGGGATGTGCAAAAAGAGGTGCTGCTGGAATGGAGATTCGATGATGCAGCAATCAGAATGATGTGTTTTGAGTGGTTGGACAGCACAGGATAAGGGCCGTACTACCAGGGAAGAACGAAATGCTGTGAGAAAGCGCTGGACGCTCTAAAGTAATGTCAATAAGAGTCTGGGTATACTATGAAGCATTAAACTATCAACGCCACGCGCCAAACCAATGATTACGAGATCAAAAGAAGTGAAAGGATCAAAAGTTTTACCAATTCCATGTCCGACTTGCTGCAGAGAACACGGGTGGCTTCCAGATCAGGCGATCGGGATCGATGCTCCTCTTGCCTTTCAGCTTTTCCTTTGCCTTTTGTCTCTCCCGCTGCGCAATAACTGCATCTGTAAGGACGACGACATGCTGATTCTTGCTATATCGCAGCATGTTCAGATTCTGCAGGGTGTGTAGAACATCATTCGTGGTCATTGCGGTCGCAGCACCCAGATCTTCGATATTTGCTTCTGTACGGCCAGGCTCCATGAGTATGTCGACAAGAATCTCCTGCCAGTAGGCACGATATCCCAAAAGACCCAAATCAGACAAAGGCTTTTCTGGAGACCCGAGCTTGTTTTCACGCTTGGAAAGGAGATAAGAAAAGTCGATGAGCAGTTTACCAAAACCTTTCCGTTGGTATTGAGGGAGCGTGAGGATACAGGCTACGTTGTAGCCCTCTGCGGATTCCTTTTCTTTGGAGAAGTAGCCTACGAAGTGGCAGCCGTGTTCGTCGCGAGTGCACATGCAGTAGAACAAGAAAGGGTCAACATCGTAGTAGAGCGTCTTATGATCCAAAAAGAGTTTTGAAAGCAGACAAAGATTACGACACCATGTTCGTTGCCGCCTCCCGTCGATCTCGAAGAAGGATACGTAGTCATCTCGGTATATTTCGTTGCCAGGGGGGTGGAGGAGGTGGCACTTTGAGCGGTGGCGCTCGAACTGCGTAACTTCGCCGTAGTAAGAGAGACAGAATTCGCAGATGTAGACTACATCTGAATCCACAAAGTCGACTGGGTAGGGTGAAAAGTACCAAGGCTCGACCTCGAACTTACCCATCTGAATCTTCTCCAAGTTACGCACTCGCGAGATTTCGGTCTGGTTCTGCGTCATGGATCCTGATGTACGAAGCTTTTCGATTTCGTCTTCTCGCGAGTAATCCTGGGGTGGCATGGCCTTTGCTGCTGCAGCGGCATCCTGCACGTCGACGAGGTCCATCTCCTCGTCCTCGGGTTTTGGCGTGCCATCGGTAACTTCGCTTGTCACTATCAACTCTTGATTTTCTTTTCCACTTGCTTTAGAAGGCCTTGGTGCTTTGCCTGGCAAGTTGCTAGACGTCGACTCTGGGGTGCCAGAGATCTCGCGGTCAAGTTTGCTGCGTGATCGCTTGAGATTCTTCTGATCAGACTTTGAAGGTGCTTTGTCAGTCTTGACGGCAGTACCCTTCTTCTTGTCGGCTTTTTCAGGCGCAGGCCACTCCACTTCTCTCGAAAGATCTATCCGTTCGGCTTCGATCCATTCATCCAAACGTTTGTTGAATTCCTCATAATGAACATAAAACTTGGGCCTGCCCTGCCGTGTTTGGATGGACAATATTTCAGCTTTGCGCTTCTCGCCGTCCTGTGGGGTGTTAGTTGGGATTTTAGAAGACTTGGTGTTTTCATCCTGGTGATGGATGCTGCTGGGGCTCGCGTCGCGCATCACGCTATTCACGTACCTTCTCAACCCACGCCTTGACGCCAGTCCTGCACGCAATACATCAGCATACGTGTTCAGATTTTGCGCATGGTGTCGCACTCACCTGAGCTGTGCAAGAGTGGCAAAGCCAGTTTCTACCGGCGCCGGCGTGCCGGAAGGCTCATGCGAGTTCTCTCGAGGCGCCATGGTGATGCGCTGCGTGTTCCTCGACTGTTGCAGTTGTTGGGTCACGTTGTGAAGTTTGATGTCGCGATGATGTTGGGGGTGCTGTCCTGTGTCGCGATGTTGCCGCCTGCCGATCGGGCCTTTGCGTCGCGTCGAGCCGACATGTGGAATGTGCTAGCGCGCGTTTGAACTTTTGCTCGCGGGGACTGAGCGGAGAAAGTCAAACGGCCAACATTCTCGACAACCACTGACGGGACGACCCTCACACCGCTATGCCGCGCAGCTAACGACAAAATGGCTCCAATCGATCTCGGCACTCTGTCCAGCAACTGGAAGATACTGCAGCAGCGCCTGAAGCCTTCAACGCCGGCAACACCTCCGAAGAACAAGAAGTCGGAAGAAGAGAAGCCGTCTTCACTCAAGCGCAAGCGACCACAGCACGTCAATGGAAAGCACGGAGATGAAGCAGCAAAGTCTGTAAACGGCTCACAGAAGAACACACCACGCAAACCCCTGCCCTCGAGAAAGCGACAGAAGATGGAAGAGCCTACGTCTGTGGGCGCTTCAGTCAAGCAGCATGACACCAAATCGCTTTCTAAGAGCGTCTCGATGCCCTCTCTCAAGAAGACGCCTCTTCTGAGCGACCCGCAAGACGCTGCAGCTGCTGTGTCAATTCTCGAACCACATCCCGACTTTCCCGATGTAGAGAATGAGGGCGTGTCAGAAGTAGCACTACCCGGCAAATACGTCGCGTTAGATTGCGAGATGGTGGGAGTAGGACCAGAGCCCAACCGCGACTCTGCGCTGGCGAGGGTGTCTCTGGTCAACTTTCACGGTCACCAGGTCTACGATTCCTACGTCCAGGTACCACGGCAGATCGAAATCACCGACTATCGAACACATGTCTCTGGTATCGAGCCCAGGCATCTTCGCAAGGACGTCGCGCGACCCTTCGACGAAGTACGAAACGACCTCAAGATCCTTCTCACCGGGCGCATCCTTGTTGGTCACGCAGTGAAGAATGACCTCGACGTGCTCATCTTGAAGCATGACAAGCGCTTCATTCGCGATACATCCAAGTTCTCAAAGTTCAGAGAATTGGCTACCATACCAGGGCGCACACCAGGTTTGAAGCTATTGGCAGAGAAGCTGTTGGGCGTGGAGATTCAAGTCGGCGCGCATAGCTCGGTCGAAGACGCCCGTGCTACTATGGCGCTCTTCAGGTTGGAGAAGGACAGCTTCGAGCTTGAGGTACGGCAGAAGTATGGTAATATCCGCCTCGACGCAATTGGACCAGAAGTCGACGTCGGTGGTAGTGAAGATACCAAAAAGAAGAGCCGGAACAGGAAGAAGAAAAAGAAGAGGAATTAAAGGGCAGGGAGATGTAGTCTCGCCATTGTTGTTGTTGTTTCTGATTTTGCTGCATTTGCATGGAGTCTTGCATGGTACGGATACCCTGAAAAGTCTACGTGTACATGATTACTGTTGGATTCTGTATTGTTGGTAGCAGTAGCTTTTACAAGCTCTGCCCAAGGTTGTCTTTAGCCGGGAATGGATCAGATATTTCCACCACCTGTATTGAACAGAGGCCTTTTTCTGACGTGAAATCTTCCGTCCATTTCTGAAGGAATGACCACCCAAGCCGTAGATTAGTACGAAGCCAAATGCGATTCTGACGATATAGCATCAACTTGAGGTATCGCGAGGTGGGGCGTCATGCACATGGCTGACCTGCCAACACCACCTAGGTATCAACTCCCCAGATATTCGTCCGCTACCAATCATCGTCACGTCCAGCCGAAACCCACTCCGCTTAACGGGTGCTTTCCGAAACTTCTAGACATGATCAAAATTGCACAATTTGCACTCGTCCGACACAGCAAGCTCGACGACACATACCCGGAGCTTAGCGGAGATAACATCTACCATGATCAAAGCTCTCCACATCAAACGTGCAAGATGTTACCCCTCCGCTTAACGCCATCCGACAGCGATCGGCCCCGAAAACCTTCGGTAGCTTCCAACCTGGACGTAATAGAGGAAGGAAGCGACCATGGACCCTGAGGTACTCTAGCCTAATACGTCATGCCCATGTAGAGCTCCATTGATATAAGAAGAGGTTTCGTCCTACACTAATCGCCTCACAAAGAGCACTATAACATCTTGCCTCTCAATTCTACATCTTTTTCCAGAATTCTACAAAACCCAGATTCAATATGCCTTCTCCATTCGGTGATGCGCCCAAGGCGGCGTCCCTCCTGGACTTCCACCGCGTCATGTCGCCTACTGCCGGAGTTCGCGTTTCTCCTCTTTGCTTGGGTGCCATGAACTTTGGTGATGCGTGGGAAGAGATGATGGGTAAGTGTGATAAGAAGACTGTGTTCGAGATCCTAGATTTCTTCCACCAGCAAGGTGGTAACTTCATCGACACGTAAGTCCTTGTACTTTCCCTACGCCAATGCTACTGCAGTATTTCACATGAACACAACAAGGCTCCACTACTGAAGTTGACACTAAACAGCGCAAACAACTACCAGAACGAGGAGTCCGAGACCTGGATCGGCGAGTGGATGAAGGATCGAGGCGTACGACACGAGATGGTCGTAGCCACCAAGTTCACCACTTGCTTCCCCGATCCAAACAACTCTCCTCGCCAACGTATCAACTATGCTGGTAACAGCACAAAGTCTCTCCGCGTTTCGCTTGAGGCATCCCTCAAGAAGCTTCAGACTGATTACATCGACCTGCTGTACGTGCACTGGTGGGACTTTACAACATCTATCCCAGAATTGATGCAATCCCTCAACGCCGTCGTCAACTCCGGAAAGGTTCTATACCTTGGAATCAGTGACACTCCTGCCTGGGTCGTCAGCAAGGCGAACGAATGTAAGTGCCACCTTGTGAAAGTATACAGGGTCTGAACTGACGGTGCTAGACGCCCGTAACCACGGCCTGCGCGGCTTCAGCGTCTACCAAGGACGTTGGTCCGCAGCCGAACGTGATTTCGAACGCGAGATCATTCCAATGGCACGCGAAGAAGGCATGGCGCTCTGCCCATGGGGTGCTCTTGGTGGTGGTAACTTTACATCCGAAGAGAAGCGCAAGAACAACGAGCAAGGCCGCAACTTTGGTCCCCCATCTGAGAAGCATGTCGCAATCTCTAAGAAGCTAGAGGGTGTTGCCAACCAGAAGAAGACCCAAATCACTAGCATTGCGCTGGCATACGTACGACACAAGTACCCCTTCGTGTACCCGATCGTTGGCGGCCGCAAGATCGATCATCTCAAGGGCAATATCGAGGCGCTTGAAATCGAGCTAAGTGAGGAGGAGATTGATGATATCGACTCTGCTGTTCCCTTCGATGTTGGCTTCCCCATGAGCTTCTTGTTCGAGTTTGGCACCGGCCAGAAGTATAAGAACACCATGACTAGCTCAGACGTTGGCCTTCTGAGGTATGCTGGACCCATGGACAGCGTACCAGTACAGCAAGGGCCTAAGCCGCATTCGCTACAAGGACATGGAGGCAACTAAGAGCGTGGAATATTGAAATCAAACATGTATAGCCGAGTGCAAAGCTACATGAACTAACAAATGTAAGATCTTAAAACTCATATCAATCAAATATTATATATCTATCTTTGCCCCGTTTCTCTATACTGTGTCTTTCTGACACATCTTATACTTGACCGAAGCATGCTCTTGATGTGCTAGGCCGACCAATGAGAATCTAAGCAGTAGCCCCACTTACACACCCTTTGCACTTTCCAATTCGCTCGCTCAGTGCAGCACATCACACATCCCAAACCATGGATTCTCAAATCACTTCGCTATCCGATTTCAGGCTACCCGACTACCCCGATGCTGCACTACGCCTCAATGGGTCCCTTCTCAGTGCTATCGACCCTTCCACTCTCACACCAGAAGCTTCCGAAATCATAACTCCAGCAATCGGTCTAGCGACAGTTCTCTACAGATGGCACCCCAACGCTTTGGCAGCTTTCTTAGATCTGGATGCCTGGTTTTCCCTAACATGGACGCTGAGCACTGCAGAAGGTACACCAGACGGCTCAAAAATCGAAATCGGTCGCATAGGCAACCAAATCACTTTCGGCAGTCTGGATAGCAGTGGCGATAACTGGACATTGATGCTTACCTACAATATCGTTCTAGAGGGCGAAAACAGAGGGAAGTGGATACCAAATCCCAAAGAGAGCATGCTAGGTGAAAAAGACGTTACGGATCCTGACGACATTGAGAAGCTAGGCTGTGAGTTCGCGAAAAAGATAATAAGGGAAAAAAGATGGGAGACGGGGAAGAAGATGAAACATAGGTTCTTTGTCGAGTATGCGCCCATGGATGTTTGGGGTGACGGAATACCGACGAGTCCGCATTGGCTTTATTCGTCTCTTGATCTCTCGAGTTGTACGGCTTGCAAGAAGACGGGAGTTTCGCTACAGAGATGTGGAAGGTGCGGTACGTCGACCTACTGCTCGGATGTCTGCCAGAAAGGGGATTGGGCTGTGCATAAAGATGTCTGCACTATGAGTATGGAAGACAGAGGACAGGCAATCAAGTTGTCAGAGAAGGGCGGACTGATCAAGTGGGACGTGGAGAAGACTTACGCGAAAGAGGAGGGCGAGATGAGCGCGAATCCGAACTTTGAAATCCCACAAGCGAAGCGTAGGAAAGCCGACTGAGGAAAGAGCGCAAAGAAGAGCGAACAAAGACGATAGAGCGGTTTGCCTCCCAGCAGCTACATTGCTATCCCTGTTGATGTTATAGATAAAGTACTCCTCAACATGCAGGTATGTGGTCATACGACGTCTCTTGATGATTTCATTCTCGTCCTAGAGCTACTACGATCTACCATGCACAAAGGTGCCCGCATTGTACCCTGTCAATCTCGTCATCGTCTCTTTCTTTTGTGGATATCGAGCATTGTCTAGTTTGGCCAGTGTCGAGCTTTTTGTAATATCGCTTACATGGTCTCTTGTTCTCTCCTTCATCTGTATTCGGATGCTTGTTGCTCCAACCAACAGGATACTGGAGAGCGTTTGGTCCAGTGATACGACGCTTGCGCTTCATCCTTAGATCGTCTTGGGAGCAAGCGCTCAATCGTGCGTTAAGCGCGATACAGCTTCGTACCAGCCCTCTCTATTCATAATTGGCGCAAGCCTGCAGCAGATATGGGGAGAGGCGAGGGACCCAAGTTCGAACATTTTAAGCTTCGAACTCCCTTTCGCTCCCTCAGCGGATCAGATGCGTAGAAGACCTTATAGGTCTCAATCGTTCTAGTAAGTCTCACTCCTCCTCGGCCTCCTCCTTGACCTCTGTCTTGATTTCCACCTTGACTTCCGTCTTTGCTTCCTTCTTCTTCTCCTTGTCCCACTCTTTCTGCTCCTTCATGAACCTCTCCTTCTTCTCTACATACCCATTATGCAGCTTAGCCTTCTCCCAAACCTCTCTGAAGATACCACTGGCCTCCAATTTCTCCTCCTGCCCCTCATGACCCTTGCTCTTCTCCAATAGCTCCCCAGTCTTTTTATCATACTTTCTTCCCCCGGCATGGTTTGCATATCTCTTTGCCCTAGTCATGCCCATCTGCAAGAATTTGCGAGACATGTCCATGCCAATGAAGTCGTCGTTGTTGTCATATTCTAGAAATTTGCTGTAGATGTCGGAAGAAGACTTGCGAGCGATAGCAGGTGTTTTGAAACGCCATAAAGGGAGGATCTCGGACTTGTAGGGCTCGAATGTCAGGACACCGGTTTCGCCGCGTCCGATGCGGTAGGCCATCCGCTGAGATTTTGTGAGGGGCTCAGAGGGCATTTTGACCACGCGCTTAATCATGGAATGACATGTACTAAGCGGGTGTCGAGTTCAGAGTCCGGAAATGTTGACGACAAAACGCGGTGGTTGGCGAGGTTCATGACGTAGTGCGTTCACGCTACGCGACACGCGGTCACGTTCTTTTGTTACGTACTAGGCAAATCTCCGAACAGTGCTAGGCTTCAGGGTCGAGGCGCGTAGTATAGCGCCATAACCTCCAGAAGAATTGGCGTAAACTAGTGTATGTTCTCATGGGGTCTGAAAAGTCGCTGCGACTGATCTGTACACGGATAGAAGCGGTGTTGAGATGTTCGATCAGGACTTGGTCCTTTCTTATATACAGTCTATCGCGGTTCTCTTTTTAGTGCCACTATATATGTGCAGATCCTTAGATGCAGTGGTCGCACTGGCGTGAGTTTTGTACCCCATGTCTGTGAACTTGTCCAGTCGCGGCATGTCTATTTCGTTGAATTGTTCCGCACGTCTCCTGTTATTGATTGTCGTTCTTTCCCCACGGTCTGCAGACGACCTTCTCGACCCTTTGTACGATGGACAATTGTTGCTCCTCCTTGCTCTCCTCGTCTTGCACACCCAGTACCTGCCCGATCAGACCACCAGGCTTCGGCACTGGGCACTCCCTCTTGGCAGCCAACTTGTCTTCCAATAGGCGCTGCCTCCGCCGCTCCAAGCTCATGCCTTCATTACAGCTCTCGTCTTCTGATATTCTCCGTCTCCTTCTCCGCCTGTTTTCTCTTGTGGGGTCTGGGGAATCGGCGAGCGTTCGAGGATCGACTGGGCAGGGTATCAGATGTGGAGCGGCGACGACGAGGAATGAAACCATGAGGGTCGTTCCAAAGAGCGAAGTCGTCATGCGCGACCGTGGGTGGAGGTGCGGAGGCATTTTATGTGTATGAGTGTAAAAATTGGAGAGCGGATTGCGGAGGCATCACTGGACCTGACGAGTCGTTAATAGCTGGTAGATGTAATTCCAATGATCGCGAAGAGCATACTGTGCCAATTGAGATGCCTCGAGCAGGTGTGGATGGCGGGGAAGCGGGGTTGTCGGCGGTGATGGTGTTCTGGTGGAGTGAACATAGAGGGTCGAGCTAGCTGAACGGCTTAACGAAGATCCCTGCGCGTTCGGCATGCCCGCTGTGGATCTCTCTCGTCCTCGACTTCACCAGCCCACCATTTTCGACTTGATAACCCACCAAACGACTACCGTCATATTACAATCGCTATCTTCACTTGACAGTCTTACACAACCATCACGTAGTCGTACGGTCCGCGCCTTGATTGCATCCAAAACGCGCCATACGCGTACCGCCACCGTCTATACTATTCGCGCCCACCAGAATCTTCAATTACGAACAGCTTCTGCTACTGCGAAACTGTTGCGCACGTGATAGAAAAACAAACCTTCATACGTCCCGAAAAGCCCCGCGCGGGCGTGTAGCGCATAGCCATCGCCATGAGTGCCGGTGGTAGCGACCTTGACAAGTACGGCTACCCACTCAGCCTACTATTATACATGCGATACACAGGGCTGACAAAGATCGCAGGGCGATCCAGCAGCTCCGCGCATGTCGTCCGATTCCCGAGAATCAAGTCCGAGAGCTATGTTACAAGGCACGCGAGCTGTTGATCGAGGAGGGCAACGTGGTTGGGGTGGATGCGCCAGTGACAGTAGGCACCGTGTTGTTATAATTCGTGAACATGGCTAATTTTACGTCTTCTCAGATCTGCGGTGATATCCATGGTCAATTCCATGACCTCATGGAGCTCTTCCGAGTTGGTGGAGATGTACCAGATACAAATTACCTCTTCATGGGTAAGCCGACCGGGTTCCGCCACGTCCTTTTATGCTGACTCTGTGTAGGCGACTTCGTTGACCGTGGTTTCTACTCGCTCGAGTCTTTCCTCCTACTCCTATGCCTCAAAGTCCGATACCCAGACCGGATAACCCTCATCAGAGGCAACCACGAGTCTCGGCAGATTACAACTGTATACGGTTTCTACGATGAGTGCTTGAGGAAGTACGGCAGCGCGAACGTATGGAGGTAATGACCATTACCCAGCTGGTTTAGTAGAGCGCAATACTAAAAGGAACAGGTATTGCTGCGAAGTATTCGATTACCTAGCCCTCGGTGCTCTTGTCCAAGGCGCTGCGACTTCTCTCCAAGCCACCGATGGCCCCATAGCCGAGTCTAGCAACGCTGAAAACATGCCCGACATCGATCAAGACATTGAGATCGAAACGCTCAACGCTAACGGCGAGGTTATGTACCGCTACGCACGTAACTCAGACTCTCAATCAAGCGCCGCATCACAAGTAAGCGCAAACATGGGCTCTTCATCCCCTGTCGCTCCAACACCTGGACGTGTTGGCCCTGCAGGAACTGGCGCAACTTCCTCCGCCAATGGTTCTGCTCGGAACGATACAGGAGCCATTCTATGCGTACACGGAGGTCTATCACCCCTCGTTGACTCAGTGGACAAGATTCGACTATTGGACCGGAAGCAGGAGGTGCCGCATGAAGGAGCCATGTGCGACCTCCTATGGTCTGATCCCGACGAGATTGACGGTTGGGGCTTGTCACCGCGTGGTGCAGGATTTCTATTCGGGGCCGACATCGTCAAGACTTTCAACCATAAAAATGACCTCAGTCTCATTGCTAGAGCTCATCAATTGGTTATGGAAGGATTTAAGGAGATGTTCGACTCAACAATTGTTACTGTATGGTCAGCGCCAAACTACTGTTACCGTTGCGGTAACGTAGCTGCCATTTTGGAGCTCGGCGAAGACGGATCAAATGCCGGTTTCCAACGGAGGTCAAACGGAGACAGAGCGGGTGGTGGCGGAGGCTGGGTGTTAGGTTCAAACGCTGGACCCAACGGCGAGAGGAGATTGAGTTCTGTACTCAACGACAATTTTCAGAAGAATAGAGACGGGCCGGGACGGCGATACCGGGTATTCGAAGCCGCTCCACAAGACTCACGAGGCATGCCAGCAAAGAAGCCAGTAGCGGACTATTTCCTTTAAAAGAACAGAAGGCGCATGAGAACGCTTTGAAGTTAATTCTGTCAACAAGCTTGGGCGTCTGGAGTTTGTAACAAGGATTGGATGAAATCGAATGACATGCCTGACTATATTGCGAGGCTAGCACACTGCCATTCGACGCGACGAAACAGTTTGGACACTATCATTCCTCTAAACATCTCAACACCAAGGCTTCCTTCCCTTGATACATTGGCAGTGTTTACGATTGTTTACTCCACGGGCCGCATGACTCCACAACGACTAGCTAATACTCGACAGCGCTAATGCTTTAACTCGTCACAAGGTCATTGAACTAATCGAGCGTTCGTCAGCACTCAAGGCGCAGACCGCGCAGTACAATAACAATACTTACCGGAAACGGTTTTTACTTATGCCAAGTTCTTTAGGGGCAACGACATGGCCGCCATTGTGTCCCACATCCCCGAGTTCAACACCTAGCATTTGTCGGAAGCTAGAATCTGGGGCAATGCTGAATCTGGACATACCAGCTTCTGGGCGCAGAACTTGACGGCGCTGCACAAACTTGCGTAACAAGAGCGCCAAAAGGGGTATGCAGGTGGCTATTAGGGCTACGAGCGCTATGATAGCTTCAACCGACCAGGAAGACATAGTAGTATTTGTGTATCCAGGTAATGCGAAGCTCACGGAAGTGCTTCCAGTAAAGTACGATGCAGTTAAAGAAGCAGCGCGACTTTCATTACAGCTTTATCACGCTCAAGAAGGCAGAATCTGCCAGTGAAGCCTTTACAGAATCTGCGATCATGCTTCAACAGGTTTTGCATGATTGGGCAACATGGCTCCGCCTCCTTCCGGCCTGGTATGAGAACAGAGATCACTTTTACAAAATCTTGCACTAACCGACTTGGATCGCACCTGTCCTGTCAGACACTACAAGATTTTGTTGAGCAACGTACACCGTGCTCTGAGACCATCATAGATTTTGCATGATTGGGCAATCTGCCAGTGGTTTGGTGCGCTGTTTACAAAATCTCGCTGCAACTTTATGCATGCAGGTTTTGCATGATTGGCCAGCTGGTATGAGGCTGACAGAAGCAGGACGATCCAAGTCATGCTATTGGCGCACATGGAGATGTGGCGCGAAGGCGCAGCATGCGTCAGACACTGTTTCGAATCCAAGCCTGGCCGGTCAAGTGCCCAGGTATGCTTAAAACACTCAGCCCAATCGTCCATTTTTTTCCCTCAATGTCTTCCATTCAGCTTCACACTTCACTGTACAGAATGAACAACACCACCAAGACCAACAGTATCGATGAGAAAGTATGGGAACGCCATCGTTCGAAGATCGAGAGCTTGTACTGGGAACACTCGCTTAGCACGATCGATACGTATATGAAGAAGTATCACGGTTTTGCTGCGAGGTACGTTTATCGCTGCGTCACAGGAGATAAACACTCACGGAAGAAGTAAAGCACAATACGAAAGACACTTAAGAAAATGGCAATTACGGAAAAATCTGACTGGATCTCAATGGGGAATGATCATCAGGCATATCAAGAGGAACTCGATTTGCCTTGAGCGAGTCGAAGTGTTGTTCAAGGGACACGAGATTCCGCAGTCACGGATTATACAAGAGATTGCGCGACGCAGCTCGCTGATCAACACACTAGAGCATGGTTCGTTCAAGTTGAGATCCTTGTGTTCATCGCTCATTATCCCTAGGGTCCGACAGGCTTCCTATGAATATCACCCTACGACCACGATCAAGCACCCCGAACATGGACATCGCGAATGGCCTTCGGACATCATCATCCCTTGTTACAAGCTCTTCGTCTTCGTCTTTGCAGACCGAGGATGACCTTGATCTAGTTACAATAACCTCACCAACGATCAATAGCCTAGGTCTGAACAAATCCACCTGTACCGGCCTGTACACTCCGTCGTTTTCGTGGATGCAGCTGGGAAAGATGGACTCGCTCCTACTGACCTCCTCTGTTTTTCAACAGTTAGTGAAGCAGACACAACCTTCCGAAACGCAATTCAATGCAATCTTCTGCCCAACACATCACTTCACTGCAGGTGGAACGCAAACAAAACACGACACGGTACTTCCATCGTATATGATCGCGTCACTGCTCAACAACGTATCCTTGGCCGTCCATCCAACCTCAAACAACGCGTATGCACTGATCAAGGCGCTCCCACTCAGCGCTGTATCACAAGGCTTGAAGGCTCTCTCGATCCCGATCCAGGATGCTTTCAAAGAAAGGGTCTTCGCTATTTCAGTCCAGAATGGAGACTTAGCTCTTATGCTGGCCATGCTGAAGCTGAAACTCGATCCTTGGGAGCGAATCATGATGGACTGGGAGTTTGTATCGCAACCAACGTACCCTCTTACGTTCGCGACAGCTGTAGGCCATCACAAAATTGCAAGAACACTTCTTTCACAGATGTGTCAAGGTGCAAACCAATCACAACTTCACGAACTATTTGGTCAGATCGTCGAAGGAAGAAAGCTCGGCAAAAATATCGCACATTGCGGTGAAGACAGACATAGGTCTAGGATGCCAGAAACGATAGAGTTGATGTGTATCGTTCTCGCTGCCGGAGCCAGTCCTATCCGCAAATGCTTAAACAATTCAGATCCTATCTCGATACCTCATCTCAAGCAACTGATTGACAGTACAGCAGGTGGAATCATGGCATGGCTGGAGATAGGCCTATTGGACTATTATCTTACCAAGCCTGAAGGGTGGGAAGCACCACATATGCTAAGAAACCGTGTGTCTGCGGCCCACGACATTCTACAATGTGTCTTCAACGACTACCGAGATCATCTGCCGAAGGGGTGCCCAAGAGTCAAGGAAGTAATGCGGGACGTATTACGTGTTGTTCAAACTGAACTCGATGACAGTGCGACCCAGACGATTCTGAATGCTTTCAACCTTGTCGGGTACCGCCTTGTCGGCGAAGAGATTCACGAGGAGGACATAAGTATGCCTGGTTCTATCAACGATTCAATTTTAGAGCCTTTCGATAGCACAGACTGGACAGCGGCGGCATCCTTGATGATAGCAGAAGGTCCAAATTCGGCTCCATCAATTCGAGAACTCGAAAAAAAGCTCAAGGACGCTATCGCAGAGAAAAATCTCATATATTCGCTCTCCGCCATACGAAAGCACCCTGCACTATGGTACTTGCTTGGATCACAGATCCTCAAACTCGCAAGCAGCCTTGGAAATGACGTTAACTCTATCATACGAGATATGGAAGACCGTGAGAGCAGCGGAGATGTAGGACTTGCAGTTCTACTTGAGTATGGTCAAACAGCAACACTCAGTGCTCTTCTGACAGGTCACACTGTATGGAGATGCGCGTTAGAAGCTGTGAGCGAAAAGGATGATTTTGGCCCACTAGAGGCCATGATCTTCCAAGGTTCACCCGCGCCCTTCTTGGGGGACCCTAAACCACAATACAGAGGCGATGCTGTCAAGGGGCCGGATGAACATCAGCTGTGTTTCCGAGCCATCGCTTACTACGCCATCGCAACGAATGACTTCAAACTCTGCAAATGGTTGCTCGCAGTCGGTATGGACGCCGAAGAACTCTTTATTCTCGACCTCGATGACGGGTTGTTATGTTATGTACGCAAAGCTCCAGCTATGTACTGCAGTTTTGGTGGCGGTCGAGGTAACCCCTTGGACCAAGTCAAGCATAAACTACCTTCCCTCCTCGAAGTTGCAGCCCAACACAACAATCAAGTGTGGATCGAATTCCTCTTGGCTGCAGGTGTCTCTGCTATAGACTCTATGGCATTGTTACGAGCGACACGGAATAGAGCATCTGATGCTATAATTCATCTTCTTCTGGAAGCAGCTCAAGTCAGAAAGTCTCTAGTTGAACGGACTTATGGTGTTGCAGCACTTCGACAAGCCGTCCGGTCTCGCAACTTCGGATTGATCAAAATTCTATGTGCAGCTGTGGATATGAATGCCATTGAGCCGTTCCCCGAAGAGTATATACCAGTGGGACATCCATCCCCCGATATTGTCAGTCCCCTAGGCGAAGCAATCATCACGAACGATCTCGAAATAGTCCGGATACTTTTACATCACAATGCCAGCCCAAACGCCTTTGTGTCATTAGATGGACTGGAAATATCGGAGAAAGCCCAAGGTTACATGCAACGAGTAACGCCACTACTCGCCGCTATCGACATGAAAAGTCTACCAATGGTGAAAGTACTCTTAGAATGCGGGGCAGAGCTACACTACACGTGTAACATGGGGACTACTCGCACGCCTTTGCAAAGGGCCGCGGAAATGGGTTGCCTCGATATAGTGCAATACCTTGTCAATCAACACGCAATCATCGATACAATCCCTATCTATTCTGGCGCTACCGCTTTGCAATTGGCTGCCATGAACGGGTTTTGCGGAATTGCTGAATTCCTGCTTAAGCATGAAGCAAATCCAAATTACCCACCTGGTAGAGGCCATGGTCGAACTGCCTTCGAAGCAGCGGCAGAACAGGGCCGTATTGACATGATGTCGCTTCTAGTAAAGTGGAATGTCAACCTTGATTTGGTGGTTGGAGAGCCTCCTGAAAGTCAATATGAACGGGCTCGGCGGTTTGCGGAGAACAATGGCTTCATGGCGTCGAAGCGATACGTAGAACACATCTACAAACAAACAATGGGTGATCAAGAATGGGGGAGCGAGTTGGCATTGGATTTGATGTCATCGATAGGATGATAGCGCGGAAGGCTGGGAATATCTTCAGGGTACGTTATTGTGTCAGGCTTCATGGTACTCCTCACTAGGTATAATTCATTGCTGATCCAGTTGGTCTCTTTACTTACCGAAGCCAATATCTTGCAACTATCTTCTCATTGAGTCTTCATTGTTCAGCACTAGATGTTAGTTGATGATCATCAGATATTTTAAGAACCAGCAATTAGGCAACAGAATTAGCGACAACTGCTAGACCAGAACTGTTACGTCTAAACTTCCTGTAACTACAACCTCAGTTCACTACTGTAGCTATCCTCTCGCTCCCTTGTTGCCTTCTCGCTGAACTCTTCCATATGCACAAGTTCAGCCTCATCATTGTTCTCCTCATGCCGCACATCAAACGTCCTAGTATATGTAATCGTGCTCCGGTCAACGATCACGCTCTCTTTTCCACTTTTGACACTCCTTATCATGTCGACATTTCCTTTTGTGCCACGACTTCCACTTCCATGATAGTTCTTGCTGTTTCTCTGAGTGCTTCCTTGTATCGTGCTGATGACTGTGGGAAACGCGCGGATGAGGATTAAACGGAGAGTCGGCATGCATACGCATATAATCCCAACATTAATCTCGTAAACCGACCACAAGACGACGTTCGTCTGCTCCTATGTGACATTGCTCGTTCCGCCGAAAGCAATGAGTGATCTGAGGCGGAGTATGGATACAATTGTAACACTGTGGACATGTTAGCTGAAAGCCAGGTTGTGTAGGTTGCAAGAGTACTGACAAGGTACCAACGAAGAACATCAGAGCTACGCTGAACTTCTTCGTCAATGTCATCTGGAGGTGAAAGACCTCGTACAGAGGGATAGATAGCATCCAGATGTCGACCACGATACATATGGTAGCGTGTACCCAGATTACCGCGTATATGTTGAGACACTTGGTTGGCTTAGCCTTATCCCAAGCTGTCCAGTAATCGGCAAGCTATATTTTGAAGCACCGAGTCAGCGTACACCTCACGCACTTCTTGAAAGAGTTTTGCTTGCAGGCAGGCATGGGAATGAGCCAGGAATGAAGAAAGATATGGTCCATATTACGATAAAGGCGATAGTCCCCCACAAAAGCTGCACTGTTCGCCTTCTCGGAAATATCCGCAAGAAAAATAGAATCAGCAAGACCTTGACCATGGCACACTGGATAAAATATAGTAGGGTAATGGTATACAGCCATCGAACGAAGTGCTCGAGGTGATCAAATGGAGCAGTCCAGAGATCGACACCGATCCCGTTTGTAAGCATACCCCTATCTATGATTATCACTGAAGGTATAGATATGAGTACCGTAGCGGCCACGGTGCAGTCATCCTAGCCAAACCCGACAATCGTGGAATATCTCTGGTAAACGATACGTAAGATGGCACAGGAAACTATTACCACGCACACAAGCATATTCGCGACTCGCAGATGGATCGTTTCCGACCGGACCGGCGCGTGGCAGAAGGTCGAAGTAACGTTTTTAGTCGCTAATAAATGCAGTGAGCTATAGATCAGTGAATGATGATAGTTCCCGACTTACTCAAGCTCTCCTTTACGGTACACGAAGAGACAACGCATTTCTCAACGGCACCCTGAAGTTTAATGTTGGTACATATACATGTCGAGTTTGTAATTTGACAAGGTGAGTCAACAGCAGCAGTCACCAAACATAATTGCTAGAGGCGTCAGCCATATATCGTCTGCTCGGAACTGGATCCAATATACCACGCAGTTGGAAAGCTTGGCAATCGCCGTGAGTGAGTCGGCATCTTGTGCCTGTCCAGTAGAGATCCAAGTGGCAAGAAGGAGTAGTAGATACAGCGGTCCCCCCATATCTCGTCACGTCTGAAGACACTCTTTATTCTAGTTAGAGTCGTGCAGCTAGCTATGTGGGCGAGGACGAGGAGCCTGTAGTAGTATTACTTTTCAGGCTTGGGTATACGTGCTTGTCTTGTATTCGGGGAAGTCCTAGTAGAGTTGACCGGACTCGCATCGTGGCTTGCTGCAAGGATGCGTATTAGAATGGGGCAAAACTTAATCTGCACGTTATCCTTAGATCTCCCGACCAGAATAGCTGCACCCCTAAGCACTGTTGAAGATCCCCTAGCTATGTTAAGCTTTCACTTCAACATCTCCTTTTTGTGGCGTATCGACAGCATCGGCTCGTCTAGATCGACCTTGGACCTCGTTCACATCTACGAGTACTCGCGTAACATACTAAGTATGCCAAAAAGATTGCTGTGCTGAAAGAGCTGACATCCGTGCCTGAGGAGGATATGTCTACATTCTTGGGAACGCCCACGCTAGCTTTCGCTCTAGAGGTAGCTTGATGAGCTTCAACAATCCAGTTCACTGATCGCGGATCATCGGAGGAACACTAATGACGAGTCTAGAAGGATTAATAAACAGCCTGTGGTGAGGTGGAGGTGGTACTCGGCACATTTGGGAACGTTCGCAGAGACCGTCTCTCTCTGGTCGTTCATAGTTCCCGCCTTTATCCTTGTATACAAGTCTCCTGTACATGTGGTGTAGATCAGGGTGTTACCTTGTCATGCCATGTGGCGAGTCCCTTTGGTGGCCGGCGGTTCGAGCTCCCCATGGTACCTAGGTAGTTCCTGCTACTAGCCTAGCGTGGCAGAGAACCAATTAGCTGCGATACCAACGCATTATATTTCCACCATGGCTCTACAGCAGAGTACGTCTATGATGATTACGCTCTCGTTGGCTCCGTGTACTCCGTATGCTTTGAAGCTCTAAGTTCTGGGTCAAGGTGAGAGCTCTGGACTGGGTCTTTATCTGCTTGAATATTTCTTGCTCTATTCCTTCCACCTGACCGTAAGTTCGCTGTTTCTGGGTTGAGCAGTGCTGTTGTCTCTGGCAGCCATCAAGTAGCTACGATTGGTTCTTTGCAGATATCCGCTCATAGCCCACTATGGGTTCCTTGTTGCTCCAGCAGAAACATGTATACCACAAGCATTCCAATAATCCACCAGGTACGGTGTCAAACTGTATCTTGCGATCGACCGAGCTAGTGTCTTGACGCACTGTAGCAATCGAATATCTAACAGATCTGGAGCTGGAAACGACGGCTCGTCATTGGTCGGCTCTTGTCTAGCTTCCTTTCGACAACGGTAGGGCACTGCAAGCTAAGGCCCGATTACTATTCATCAACCTGATGGCATTGCGACGGAGACTAAGCCTGGCTACCGTCATCATAATTGTTAGCTGTGGATGCAAGAGACGTGGGCAACAGGAACAGGATGATCGCCATACCGCTAGACACGCCAGGTTCGGGGCACTCATGCGTCCTGGTCGTTGGGAATGTCTTAGCTTGCAAGGCACGTTCTCGCGGTTCTCGCTCTCGTTCTTCCCTAACAAAACATGTTGGACGAACAAGCCTCAGTGATGTCAACACGATGAGAAGAAAGCATCGCACACGATGACCATCATGACGAAGCTCATACAGTACATACGACAAAGAAGAGCACATGGTACGAAGGACTGCAAAAAGGTAAGGAGGGTGGGAGCAGATGAACAAAAACAAAAACATACAACAGCGGGGATTCGCTAGTGGTCACCCACCTAACTACTAATCCGCCGGTACACTGCTTGTATATGGCTGAGCGGACGGGAAGCCTAATTTTCAGTGTCCTATGGTCGTATGTGAAAGGATGAGCCGTTGGTAGTGTATATATCGTGGAAGCATAGCGATGTGGTAGGAGTGCAGCACAGCAAACTACTCGGCTTACCAGTATGAATCGGGTGGTCGACTTGGTCTCTGCTGGCATAGTGGTAGTCATTGACCTAAAGTATACGAAAAGGCTGCGTCGGTCCAGGCAACCGTCAATCTCTTCTGTTGTGGTGCTGGTGTTGCCTCGTGTAGAAACGCATCTGTGCATCGGCTAGTCCGCATCGCAACGACTGAGCGAGGGTCAAGAGCGATAAAGGTGTGAGAAGAGCCGCGCTGCTCGAGGTGACGAAAGACAAGCCGGTGTTGAAGATGAAGACGAAGACGAGCATGGGATGAGGAAACCCCTTTGATGGCGCAGCAACCAATGAAACCAGGTATGACGTTTAGCGCGGGAGCTTGGCCGTTGTTACCTTGCAACGTCTCGTCGCAGGCCCGACGTTGCGCAACCCCAACCATACTCCCGAGCTCTGTCCTAACAAGCTCCATTTTCCATCTCATCCCATCCGTCCCCTCCCCAGCCCGTTGCGCGAAGTCGTCAAAGTGCGGTTCCCACATCTCGCCGGTCAATCGTCCGCCATGGATTTCTCAGACATCTTGTGAGTACAGCTGGAGCTGTGGGGAGCTGTCTGCAACTAGGCAGCCGCTTCCGACAGAGGCATTGAGCACTCGGAGGTGTTGAGAATAGGAGCTAATTTACAATTGTATAGTCGCATGGTGAATTTCGCCGTTGCGGTCTTCGTGGTCCTTGGTGGTATCGCGAAGTTGTTCCCGTTCAACGACTTGTGAGTCTGCCTGGCGCATCCATTGTCACCCCAATCCCGTCGCGTCGGCACTCGAGTTCGTAAAACAATTAGACGGCACTCCATGCCTTGACAGGCGAGCCGTGATGAGCGCATGTGGGCTTTGAGGACAGAGGCAGGTTGCATAATCCTGAGGACTGTCGCGAGCTTAGTCCACACACGTCTCGGCACGCGCTCGCATCTTGGGAGGGTGTACAAACAGTACGCGAGCTTGGAGCGTTGCATAACAGCGGTTATGCAAGCTCGAGCTGGCAGCGCTATACAAAACATCAGACTACGTTGCATAGGCAAGCGCTGACAATGCCTAGCTCTCACATCATTCTCGGTGTATACCTGATAATATTCGGTCTTGGTGCGTTCAGCGGTCTTGTATTACCACATGTTGCTGACAAACAACAGGAACCGCTCTACTCGAGTTCCAGATTCCCCAGCAAGTGGCACGCTATGCCTCTTTCATGTTCTCTTTCCTCGGCCGCGGCATCTTTTACATCTTCATCGGTTCGGTCATCGTGGGTGAGCGCTGGTTCCGCATTGTGCCAGGCACCATTGTCGGCATAATTGGCGTGGGCTACGCTGCTCTGGAGTTCATTCCTTCCATCGAGCCCCCAGCGAACATGCGGTAAGTTCTCCATACTTCTTGGAAACATTCTGCTTGTGGTACTAACGACGTTGCAGCGACGCCGACGCTGGCTGGGGTGCCGAACAAGTCTAAGTCCGCAATTTGTCGACAAGAGGATGGCGGTAGAGGATTCCTCATACAAGAGCGCTTGCCTGGTTTTTGGACCTCGGCATAAGACCGTCGTGCGCTTTCTATGTACTCAACCAAGTATCGCATGTTACGGATTGGAGTTGCCCACGGTTACGTCTACGGATGTTAACAAGGTGGGTTGAGTATGTCTTTCTGAATTTCGTTGGTTGGTCCGGTGATCACATCGAGGTTTTGGTTACACGGGTGGAGAACGCCTTGGAAAGAATCGATGTATGATAGGTTATCTGATTCAAACGAGGCTGTAGTCGTCACACGTGTTCGCTTGTCTGTCTAGTGTCCGCAGTGCATGAAGCGAGGACAGACTACCGGTACTTGCATTGCTGCTAGTGTATCGTTTCGGAAAGGACTGCGTTGAGCAATTGTCCAAATCTAGTCTGATGCTGCTGTTGCTGCGATAGTAACGTTGACGCAATGTTGGTTGTATCATCTCAACCTCTTGTGATTGGTGCCAGCTATGCATCAGTGGCGTGCGGAGCAGCAACCATTACAAATCGCTAGTCGTAGGCGAGCCGGATCTTGATCCGCTGACAGCTGGTCTATTGCAAGGCTCAAGTGGAGTCCAAAAGTGATAGAGCCGAATTTTCCTTTTTCTTGCCGCCGAGCATATGTATCGGAGATAAGGACGCCCGGCCTGCATCTTAGAATGCATGTACCTGACTGATGGTTGGCTCCGCATGCAAGCACGCGCATGTGTAAAGCCAAAGTCAAATCGTCTTCACTGCTTCTGAACCCGTCTGTTGCCTATAGTCGCCGTGGACGTGCTTTCAGGGTTGGTGCGCTAAATCTCGGCTTATAATAGCAAAGCTTTGATTGGCCACCGCCTCCCATTCACCGCCTAAGAATTCCAGCTTGTACCGCACCAGCATCGCCAGACCCAGTAGGCACCTTGCTCAGAATTATGACGACGGAGATCCCGAACCCACCTGATATCCTCCCTTGCTAGACTCGTCCTTCTTAAAGTTGTTTGCCAGCCATCCGTGTGCCACACTTCCCAAACATTGTG